TAAGCGGATTCTGGTGAATAGTATACAAAAAGCTATTAATTCAGTGCTGATTATCTACTATATTCTACCTATAATCTGACAGAGCAACAGAATAAGTGAACTAAGAAGTAGAAAGGATTATAAGGATCTTTACTACCTATGCTTAGGATAATTAGAAGGAATTATTGCTAATAATCACTATGGCTATTAATAATCAGAATACCTTATTAACAGGACTATCTCCCTTTTTCTTTACCTACAGATATTATATTAACCCCCTTAGTATAGATAATAATAGTATAATATAAACAGATAAAGTAACCCTGCCTACTGCTATAGGTAAACTGTTTATAAAATAACTATAAGAAGCTACTGAATAGGTATAATCTATAATAGTACTTACCTAGGAAATATAATAAAAGTAAGCGAACCAATCTTAATATACTGCCCTGACTTACTATATAGGCAATAAGGTTTAGCTAAACCTATGTAATATTTGATCTTAGTGACCATCCAAAAAGTTTAATTAGGTATATATACAGTATAGAGTGGTTAAGGTACCAATACTATATACGGTATAGTTAGATATACTGATAGGTATATATCTAGTATTTAACGTTAAATTAGTACGGCCAGCGGCTACAGACCTGTTTCCCTTTTAATTTATCAACGATATACAGCTACCCCCTATAGAAATTAACAATAAGGCAGAGTATAAGGTTAAGGGGATACTTACCTACAGAGAAAAGTATATTGGCAGAGGAAAACAAATTAAGGTATTAGTAAAATAGACTGGGTATACAGAGACTATATAGGAGCCAGCAGACGAGATAAAAGATTATTTAGCGATAGATACGTACGAGAAATAATTCGGCTGTGTTATAAGGGTGTCTTGACTACAGGTTACGGCCAGGAAGAAGATAGCGATACCAGTGCTACGTCTTTCAGCCAAAAAAGAGAGGACTACAACTTTCAGCCGAAAGATAAGGCGAGGAGGGGGGTACTGTAACGGGCCCAGGCCCGGGGATATATTACGTGGCGTTATATGACCTTTTCCCTGCAGGAAAACAAGGTAGAAGCTATATAGATAACTCTTCTTTAAGATTATTGTAAACAGCATGCAGGCCTAGCCCTAATTGAACAGTTGTCGCTACAGCCCTTCACAGCAACAGATTAAATAAACGTATCTAGAAGCCTGTAGGACCTCTGGTTATTAAGATAGTGCAGTACGTTAATTTCGCCAAGAGATAGTTGTTTTTTATCTCTAAATTAATAAATAGAAAAAAAGACTTAACTAAATTTTAGAAGATTATTTTAAATATTTTATTAATAGAGAATAATTAAATTAGGCTTAATTTCTTAAGATAGTATAGTTTATATATAATAATACTATTAATATATCTACTAATAATACTTTTTTCTATATACTATTAGAATATAATTCTAACTTCTAAGTCTAAGCCCTAAAAGAAATACTTAAAAAAAGCCCTAAATACTAAAGAATAAATAATTTATCTTTAAAATATTTATAAAGAAACTATAAAAAAGCTTTAAATTATATAGAAAATATAGTAGGAGTTATATAATAAAATCTATAAGCTAAAAAACTTTAAAATTATAGAAGCTTTATATTTCTTTTAATAAAAAATCTCTATTTTAAAGCTAAAGAAAAAAAGTTATTTTTTTAGTAAATTAGATCTTTCTATATTCTTATAAAGACTAGTATTTAGATATACTATATTATATTATTAGAAAAATATTTAAGATTATATAATATTTTCTTAGTTTTTTTTTTAAGCTATAAAATAGCTAAAATAAAGATAATTTACTAATACTAATACTAAAATTTAAAGATAAAGAAAAATAAAAAATTAAGAAAATTTAAAATAGAAAAATCTTTAATAAAGTACTATATTACTATATAAAATAGACTAAATAATTTTTAGAATATAACTAATAAAAATCTATAGAGTATTTAAAAAATTTAAAAAATTTGAAAAATTTATTTAAAAAAAGTAAACCTAAAAAACTATATTCTAATAATAATAAAATTTCTCTAAAATTTCTTTAAACTATATCTAACTTAATACTAAAAAAAAGACTATTTAACTATAAAAGAAAAGAATAAATAAGATAAAGAATAAAGACTACTATAGAAATCTATATAAATCTAAAAATATTTTAATCTAGTTAATAATCTATACTATAGCTAAAGTTAAAATAATATTATTTAGAGTTATATTATACTTAAACCTTATTATAATCTCAAAAAAAAAATTAGTATTACTAATCTATAGCTATAGAAGATTATTAGGATAATTAGAGAGATAAATAAAAAATAAGCTAGCCTTGGTATTTAACTTTTATTATTATTTAATAGTAAATATAGTATATCTCTCTATAGCTTAATCTATATTCTATATATTAATCTGAATATATAGCAATAGCCTATTGAGCCTAATAGAACCTCATGGAACCTGATCGATAGTGGCAAACTATCTGGATGCTGTGGCAACTCTGGCCATCTGCCACCTACATAATTGACTCTGCCACCTACATAATTGACTATGGTGCTAACTATGGCAACCTATATAATCAATTACTATTCGATGCTAACCATGATTAATACATTACGACGACTTATTGTCGTGTGACCAGTATAATTACTAATAATAGTGGCCTGAGGCCTGCTAAACCTCAGGGATAAATAGCATCTCAATCTCCTGCAATTCTAAGATCATACACATCCATACAATACATCAATCATCCTATCTATTACCAACAAACAGCTTCGTATTATATCATCTGATCTATCTCCACTTCTACCATTACTTCCCTGAGCCTAGTAAGACGTATAGTCTTATAAATAGGGGGTATTTAGGGGTAGTTAGAGGCTTAAGAACAGCAGATTTAGCCACTTAAGTAAGTAGGGGTCTGGGGAAGTAGATATTAGTTATAGTATAGAAGGAAAAGCAATACAGTATAGTTATCTAGTAATACAGGCCTCAGTAATACAGGGAAGCTACCTAAGGGGATAGTATATAGAGGATAGAGATAGGGATAAATATAGCTAGGAGCAATATAGAGATATAGTTTAGCAGGGATAATAGCCAGGATAAGCAGTTTAAATAACTAGCAATGCCTTATCTATATAGGTAAGGGTATTATAGTATAAGGCCAGAAAGGTATAGGTTAAAAAGGCCTCTTATGGCATCGTTAGCAGAGCTATAATAGTTTCCTGTTTAGGCCTGGGCTGTTTGGCTCTGGGTCATTCTGTATAGTATTACTGCTTTCCTTTATTATACTCCCCTTCTATACAGTAACTCAGCATCCCTAGGCTACAGGGAGCAGCCGGCAACTGCTGGCAACTGATCTGCCAGGCGGCCCTGGTGGCCTTGTTTGGCTAAGGCAGGCCTTAGGCCAACGCCCCAGCGTAGCGGCTGTCATCCTAAGCAAGCTAGATACTGGGTAATTGAATGATTGATTGATTGATTGATTGATTAGTTAGATTATCTTTCTTCTACAACATAGTATTAATTAGTTTTTTTTCTTTATAGAGAAGGGCTTTTAAGTTTAGAATATTCTTTAATTAGATTTTTACTATTCTAGAAATAATTATTGAGAAAATATAATATACTTAGAGTATAGCAAGTAATATATAAAGAATTTAGAAATTTACATAAGAAATTATTTTTAAAAAATGGTAAGTCTAAAAGTATTATGCTAATATTTGATAATAAAAGAATATATTTATTAGGCATCATCATAACCCATTTTGGGTTGAAGAACCTGACCCAAAACCTAACCTACTGGGTTTTGGGTTATAGGGGCTATAACCTAACCTAACCCAAAACCTAATAGGTTAAACCTAATAACCCAATAGGTATCTATTTTAACCTATTTTTACATAATTTATTTATAATTTTTATATAGTATATTTTAATACTTAATTTATCTCTTTTTTTCTAGAAGAATCTAGATACTAGGATCCCTATATATATATATATATATATATATATATAGTATTAATTGATATATATTTAAATTTTAAGACTAAAATAGGTACCTACTGGGTTCCTAAATAGGTTTTGGGTTATAACCCATAACCTATAACCTATCAATAGGCCATAGGATTAGACTTAAAACCTATTTTGGGTTGGGTTGGGTTGGGTTGGGTCCGGGTTATAGTGGGTTCTGGCGATGCCTAATCTTTATAATAGAAAACTCTAAAAAATTAGTTAACTTAATAAGAAGCTATTCTATTAGGTATATAGTCTATTTAAAATTATAGAGAAAGTAGATAAATTCTAGAAATTATAGTTTTTTAAAATATAAAGATTTACTCTATACTTATATTAAAGAAGCTTTACTATATAATGTATATAAAATGTTTAATAGACTAGATACAAGTTATTATATATTATCAGTTATAAATAAATAGGAGTAGTTTAAGATTAATAAAATTAAAGATTTATATTTATATTACTAATATTACTAATATTATAATTTAGAGATTAGTAATAATAATATAAATTAGTATTCTGCTAATAATTTCAAGAATATCCTAGGGAAATGTATTATATTCTATATATAATATCTATATAAACTATAATCTTTAATATACTTACTACTATAGCTAGATACTACTGAGAAGAATAAATTTATAGATAATAATAATAATAATAATAATAATAATAAACTAATATCTATATAATTAAATAATAATTACTTAATTTAGAAGCCTGGCCTCTAGGCTTCTGTAAAGAAGAGGATTATATAATAATATATCTATCCTAAGGCCTATCTTACTACTGATATATTATATACCATACTACATGACTTACCAGTACCTATTTTCTATATTCTATATAGTTAGCTTTCTCTCTTTCCTTCCTTCTCTAGTATTGTTAATTTTATCTAATACTAAATGATTGCTTCATCTGAGCTCCTTATATATGTTTTGTGTATTTATTGTAGCCCCAGTCTTTTTAAGACATTTTTCTTTTGGCTCTAAAGACCATTCAAGAAGCCCGCTGACTGATAACAAGAGCCTCACCATAGGAGCCGATGTCATACCCATGCTCCTCAAGATATGCCTTGAAACGAGCATCCTCAGTTTCCAGCTCCCGAGACATGTCAGGGATCAGAAACCAAGAAATAAGACCGCCGACCACAGTGAAGGCGGCACCAATCAGAAAGACTGCCTGCTGACCCTTTTCAGTAGACGAGAAAGAGTTCTGAATAGGCGTAAAGACTTCTGTACCGATAGAGGCACCAGCCTTGCCTACTGCAGCAGCGAATCCAAGAAAATGTCCACGAAGGGGGGGTTGGGAAGGACTCTGCCGCACAAAGAAAGGTAGAAACACCAGGACCCATCTCACCCAGAGCTTGAAAGATGCCATACATAACAATAAAAAGGGGAAAGACACTCGAAATAGGCTTCAAGGCACCACCCAGAATAAAACCCCAAATTGCCCAAAGCATGAATCCGAGAGTCATATTCTGCTTGCGACCGATTTTATCCATTAGAAGTCCACCAATAATGCAGCCAGGCAGGTAGAAGCAGTTAATCACGGTCTGGGGGTACTTGATCAGCTTAAAGATGATTTACTCTGATATGTAAGAGGTACTTACTCCGTATCCGATGTTCTGGACAGTGGTATTATCTGGGTTCAGTTGCTCAACGATAGTAGAAGAAAACAGACCAAATGGATAAGTGACGAAGTCGTAGCAAAACCAGGCCAGAGCTTTCCAACGTTCAGGTTAGTTTATTAATATCTCACACAAGATGTAATGAATATATAGAAGATATTACTCACAAGTGCCAAGCATGGGCTTCCAATAACGCCTGAGAACCAGCCAGTATGGGTAGCTGGACTTGATAGAATGCTTCTGGTATTGAGTGGAATTGATCATGCGAATACGGAAAAAGCAAATCGAGATTGGCAACTATTGTTCGGTTAATTAAGCTCAAAGACTGTAGCAAATTTCCTTGGAGTCTTAAAAAGATACCTACCACAATACCAAGGCCAAAAGCGATTCTCCAGACACCCTCGGAGTTTTGTTGGTGGTAGCAGGCCAAAATGATGAGAGCAACAATGCCCGCAGCGACGAAGCCCTGTTGGCTGATTAGTACCTTTCATACATGACAATTGTAGCTTCAAGTTGGTCATTCATACCAAATCCACAGCAAAATCAGTTGTCGCTGCGACCAAAAAACCACGTCGTTTGCGGAGCTGAGGAGTCTCATCCGCAGCCTCGGTGGCACTGGTTGCACAGACCGGATATTCTCCGCCTGCACCAAATCCTGCGATACCTCTTGAAACAATCATCATCCAGAACATTCTGTATAGCAAAGAGTCAATGTTGCGTCCTGAGTCTATATAAGGGAGAATAAATAAATACCCGAGCTCTGATTTTCCATGCGCCGCAGTAGCCAAGACTACACCGAGAATCAAAAAGGTCGTAGCTACCACCACACCTGTCCGACGGCCGATGCGGTCAATCAGGACACCGAAGAAGAGCATGCCGAAAATTTCACCGATGAGGTATGAATTGGAGAGGCGGGATTTAATGGTTGAGGACATGCCGTTCACGTAACTGTACATTGTTAGTCAATATGTTCTCGTAAATGGAGACCTATCCCTCAATCCAGTACTCACAGGACGGAGAACAACGGTTCCATGTATCCAACTGCGATTCGAGTTAGATCTCCTCCAGAGCATAGTCTCCACCATGAACTTCAAAGACTTGACATGAGAGGAATGAGGCCAAGACGTACTTATCTGAGCATTGTATCCGTCGCTGAAGAGCGCAAGACCGGATACGATCACATTGAGGACTCCGGAGCGCTTCTTTTCTTCGGGGTAGGTTTCCTCGAGATCCCAAGCTTCCTCATTACACGGCGCCTTGGAGCTCTCCATTTTCATGATGGAGTCACTAGGTGAAGCTTGCATCGGCTCGGTGTGCTGAGGGCAAGGCAGAAGAACGTAAGGGAAAGGAGATGTCCTAGGGAAACCTGACACGGATCGTGCTGGAGACGGCCATGCTTTGTATAATTGTGCAGCTGTTGCGACTGGTCCCGATCAAGATACAAATCCTCTTGTCGTTTGATTCGGTAGATCCAATAGAAAGCTAGAGTGAGTGCACGCGAAAGATAGTTAGGGCTGTCGGTGTGAAGTGCGAGGTGTCACTGGGTCCACTGAAGGCCGATCGGGGCAGGTCTAAGCTCCGCTGCGTGACATCGACATAATATAATGGGGACTGTTCGTGCACGTGCTTGGGAATAGTCCCTATACGGATTTGCAGGAAAGGTACGGTTGTATGCAGGAGAGCAAGTCTATTTGCGGTCCCTCACAAGTGGACTGCGGGGCCAGCCCAAGTGCCCACCACCAATCATTCGGGCCATGTGCGATGTACGGGGCCCCGCGACTGGGCAAAAAGTTCCCACTAGTCCAATCTAGCAAGCCTTTATGTAGGAATGAAAATGGGCCCCAATAAAGATATGGGACACCATGTGTGTCAATGGGGTGGGGATCTCGGTGCGAAGCGCGAGGCGTGGAACAGCCCAAATAGGAAACCGGCGGTAACCACCCGACGCCTCTCCTCGATCTATAAAATGCGAGTATGGTCGATTTCCAATCCCAAGAGCACGTTCCTTATTCCCCTGGACCCTTTTTTTTTTTTTTTTTTTTTTTTCTTTCATTGGACATATGTTCCTATCGTCGTGATGGACAACTATCACTACGCTTTGACCCAGGAGCAACTCCAGAGCTTCCAGGAGCGTGGTTATCTTCTCGTGCGCGGTTTCTTCATTACCGAGGAAGCGAAGCTCCTGCAGCAATGGGCCCAAGAGGTGCACGATTTGCCCCGAACTCCTGGTGTACCCTGGATGCCTTACGAGGAGGTCAATGGACAAGGTGACCGGGTCCTGTGCCGGACAGAGAACTTCGTCAACTCCCATCAAGGGTTCGATAGCTTTCTTCGGGGTCACCGAGCTATAAGTACTCTCCAGCAGCTAGCTGGTGAGGAGATGCTTTTGTTTAAGGAGAAGATCAACTATAAACTCGCTGGAAGTGGTAAGTCTTGAAAGAAACTGTAGCTTTCCCTTATGACTATTCTTACCAGATTCTACAGGCGGTTTTGATCCTCATATTGACGCTAATGCGTATACTCATGTCAGGAATATTAAGCACTTGACTATTCTTGCTGCCATTGACACTATGAATGCTACCAACGGTGGCCTTGAGGTTGTTGATGGCAGCCACCGCATGGAAATACCTCTGGGAAAGGATCGTTGCATTGAGCCCACCTGGGTCAACGGCCATTCTTGGACCCCCTGTGACCTCAAACCAGGTAAGTTCAAATAGCCTTGTTCTCTGTAGAATCGGGACTAATCGGTAATTCTAGGAGACATTCTTGTTTTCGGATCTTATTTGGCCCACCGCAGTGGCGCCAACACTAGCTCCAAGGATCGTCGCGCCATCTATGCGACCTATAACCGCGCCGCCGAGGGCAACCTGCATGATCAGTACTATGCCGATCGGCAAAAGCTGTGGCCTGCAACCCACATGCGCAAGGAGGGCGAGTCCTATGAGGAGGGTCGGGTCCGCTATGCCTTTGGCTCTCCGATGTTGACCGTAGATTCAAGCAAGAAGGAATTGGTACCGGCAGCTTAGTGAAATTCAATTCGAAAACATAGGAGGATGAGGAAAAAAAGGAAGGACGCGAAAAAAGGGAAACTTGAATCCACCCCAGACGCAGTAGTAGGCTATTGATACCGTATCCACCTGATAGAAGACCTTGTACAAAAAGACAGTTGATGAGCAAGTGTCGAAGTGCCCTATATTAATTCAATGAAGAAAAAGTAATTCTAGCCCAATCCATTTTTAGATTCAATCCATTTTTAGATCTAGTTAACGTCATTGAGTCATTTTTTCTAAAACAAGAAGAGATTCAGGTCCATGAACATCTAATTTTCCGCTGTGTGGCAAGACGAAACCCCTGGAAAAATGTGAGGTCGGTACTTAAAGTGGCCCATTCCCCGTGGAATTTTCCTTTCGTCCAGTTTCCTCCACCCACCCACCACCTTTCTACACACCAGGGACTTCGATCCATAACTCCTAATATACTAACTCAATGGAGCTACCATTACCATCTGCGAGAGCTGATTCTCTCGTCAGTGCACTGGAGCAGTATGGCCAAGGTGATTATATTGGCGAGTCAATTAGCCAGCTTGAACACTGTTTACAGGCAGCTCACCAGGCCCAGAAATCTGGTAAGAGGTATGTCTGAAAATTTGCCGCATTATGACTCTAACACTACTTGGCAGGTGCTGGTGATGAGCTGGTGATCGCAGCGTTACTGCATGACATTGGCCAGATCATTCCTTTGAATTCCACCAACGAGGTCCGCATGAACCTCCGCGGAAGCACAGAGAATGTCGGCCGTGTAGGCCACGAAGCTATTGGCGCCGCCTACCTTAAATCCCTGGGATTCAGTCAAAAAGTCTGCAAGCTTGTGAATAGTCATGTTGCTGCGAAAAGGTAGGTGACCTAGGGTCAAAAAAGCCTCTTTTCAGTATTATATTAAACTTATCAAATCATGATCAGATACCTTACAGCAGTGGATCGCTCATACTACGACTCCTTGTCTTCCGCCTCAAAAAGGTCTTTGGCCTTTCAAGGAGGTCCGTTCCAAGGGATTGAGTTTCAGGAGTTCGAACAAGATCCGCTGCGGGAAGCAATGGTCTCTCTCCGACTTTGGGACGATGCGGCTAAGCTGGAGGGCGTGGAATCAACTACCCCACGCGCACGAACTTATCTGGACATGATTACGGCTCATCTGACTCAAGGTCAGATTTTCTAGCACGGCACTTCGATTGGAAATACTTATTTGAAGCTTTTTCGCGCGCAATGACCGAAAGCTCATGTTGGTTCCACTTTATTATTGACTAAGTTTTGATTCTGTTTATTATCGAAACTATATCAAAAATTGTTTGATGTTTTCTATGTTCATCACTGGAGGCTTGGGTGGCTGCGAGGAGACCTTGATAAGGAATCGAGGCTGAGACCGAAGAACCGCACTTCTCTTCCTTTCATCATCTCTCCATGATGCAGTAATTTTCAAAGGCCAAGCCTCGGAGTAAGATCGGATGTGTAATATAAAGGTCTGTAAGAATTTGTAGGGCACTTTTTCAAATATCTTTAGCTTTACTAGGTTGCGGACACTGTAAGAAGGGCGGAGAGGTACTCCGCAAAGAAGGTTAAAAATTCGGGCTTAGTAGAGCCAGTAAAAACCAGATCCATGACTCTGTGCATGTTGGTTGGTTATATTATTTGACGTCTGGAAAATAGGAGTACTAACGCCCGCGTAAGGCCTTCCTAGGGGTATACAGGCATACTAAGAAAATTCTTATCTATAGGGCAGTGTTACAGTGTCCCTTCTCCTCCTGCGAATAGGCAATAATCATGTGAATAGAGAGGTAGTGGGGCACGGTGAGTCGCCAACAGAGGAGCTAAATGATGTGCAGGACCACATAGTCATTGGTTGCATAAATCATGGAATAGCGATGATCCGAAAACCTCAGCGCGTGCCACCTGGTTATCGCTTGTGAATATGTCAGAGATGCACACTTATATTGCTTCTTATCTCAAGGATCACGCAAGAGGTAAGAGGTAAAATACCATCTATCTATAACCTAGGTTGCCTTTTTATACGCACAACTTTTCACTCTCTGAATCGTGCCGCCACGGAAAATGGAACCAGCTGAGGTGTGCGCTGACGCGTTGTTCAACTGATCTGATCTGAATACTAACTTGACATCAGACTGCCTACGTATGTGTGGATGGCCAGAACCTGGCTATAAGAAACGTCGAGCAACTACATCCCCAACGGGATACAGTGAACAGAGTGACACTTGAACCACATTCCAAATTCAGGACCCTGATAATTAAACAACAAAAGGACAGGTGGGACAATGAGTTCGAGGCAGAAAAGGAGGCATATCGAAAATTGCAAAGTCTTCAAGGGGATGTCAGAGTGTCGATTTAACGGGCATCCAGCACTCATCCTTTCGGATATTGGTGGATTCACTCTTCATCAAATTGCTCGTAGCGACTTCAAAGCTTCAGCTGAAGACTTGAGGGAACTACTTGCGACGGCGCTCAAAACATTGTATAACCACGGTGCTGAGTACTGGGATCAGAAGCTAGACAATTTCATGCTCAGTAGTGGGAAAGTGATAATCGTCGACCTCGAACAAATCCATTCTCGGGAAGAGCCAGGCCGGTGGGAGGATAACGTCAACTTCGGCGGCATAGGCTCTCTCATGGAGAATTTTCGTTATGCCCAGAACCCTTATCGGGAAGAACCACCAGTTTTAATCCTACTTCCACCCCCACGTCCGACAAAGCCTATACAGATCTGGGAGATCTGGGAACTTGATGACACGAGTGAACTGTCTGTTGTTGATGCTGGATCTCCTCTGGTTTCTAATAATAATGTATAAACGGATATAAAAATAGATATCTTCTAAGTTCTTTCTTAATATACAAATTTTATAGTTTTTCATATCTATACTTTAATAGAAAATTATTATTTGTATCTATATTTAGTAAAAATTATTACTTTATTTATAAGATAGAAACCGCTTTTTCTACTATCGTGCCTGGCAAACTAGTTAATAGCTGGACCGGGGACCCTTAGTGCCATTACATTATTGCTGTTAAATTGTTACCGAAACGCCAAGAGTTGATGAAACTTGTGACATTGAATATGACGAAGATCAGAATACGATGGATACCAGGTAACGTATAGTAGCAAATAATGAAAGTAACAAGCTTAAATAGGAGGAAGAAGAGGAAGCAGGAACTAGGTATAGGTGAATGGGTGCCGGAGTGGATTTCATCCGACCAAGGGAACTAGGCTGATTACAAGAAGGAAAAGAGACAAAAGGGAGCGTGCCTACTCTTAAGAAAGCGTTCTAGCCGTGATAACCACCTAATTGATGCCTTAGGCCTCTATATCCGAAACGGGAAAAAGTGGCTAGTCTGGATTGTTACATAGATAGTTTCATAGAGATTTTTAAAAGGACCTCGGTTGAAAATTACATACGGTCCATCTTGTCTTAAATCATCACTTACGCGAGGCGCCAGGCCTCCGCATCGAAATAATTGGTTTTCCGGAGTAGATAGGGCCTGAGTACTTCCAATGGGTTCGGGGACCCCAGAAACGTGGGGTAAGTCGGGATGTGGAGGGATCCTTGGCTCTCGTAGTCTGTGCAGGTACATAGCAATGTGTGGCTTATAGAGCCCAGTAATTCCAAACTAACACCATGAAAACTCGGGTAAATGTGATCCGAAAGTGAATTATTCCAATAGCACAGGGGGAACCACCCGTAACTTTCTGCTGACCACGTCTTGAAGGATGCGAGACAGCTCACTCCCTTGGGAGCCCCTTTGCCCCTGGCTTAGTGTTACGAGGACCAGGACCATCAGTATTATTGCTCGGTCAGATGCTAGTCCCGCAAAACAAAGTGAATAGGAAGAGCCTCCAGCATTTAAGCTCCGGCTTTCCCATAATTCTCCTCATAATTATTTCACTTTGAATCAAAAAGTCTTAGGCTTTTGCCCAACCGATTCTGTCTAAACTTTTGCTAAGCCTTATATCTTCTGGACTGGTATCGTCATGGCAAAGGAAATTTCTGATGCACAGATTGAAAATGCGAATCATCGCCCCAACAGTCCTTCTGACCTTGGACCTGACCCAGGCACGATCCAAGGACGAGCGATTCAACAGCAAGAACACAATCGGGGATACCTGGAAACTCTCAAAAAAGACCCCTGGCTCTTATTCTGGATTGGAGTCATGCTTTGGACTCTGATTGTGCGGGGATTCGAAAATCAATCCTCCGGCTCTGTGATCAGTATTCCGGACTTCAAGCAAAGATTTGGTCAACTCCAAGATGGAGAATACTTCATTGAGACCAAATGGCAGTCAGCCCTAAGCGGGGGCTCAAATGCGGCTGCTATTGTGGGTTCATGGGCTGCCTCCTACTTTGCTGATAAATTTGGGGTCAAACCTGTCATTCTGGTAGCGGCGGCTATCAATATTGCATCGGTTGGTATTGAATTTTCTAGCACCTCAATCGGCATGTTTTTTGGGGGGCAAGATGATAAATTTTGTTGCAATTGGTGCGTTTCTTAACATCTGCACTGCATATGTTGCTGATGTTTCACCACTTGCCATTCGGTCATCCGTCATCGGCTTTTGCAATCTATCTCAATGTATAGGTCCTTTTGTCTCCGCCATCATGTCCTATTACACATCTTCATGGGAGGGTGCTTGGTCCTGGAAGTCTTTGATCTGTGCTCAATGGGGATTTGCTGTGGTTGGGCTGGTCGGACAAATCTTCATGCCCGAGTCACCTGTCTACCTCGTTCGAAGAGGCAAGTTCGACCAAGCCCGAAAATCTTTGAACCAGCTTTACTCAGACCCTCATGATGCTGAAGGTCATTTGCAACGAATCAAGCTCACACTTGAGGAGGCCGAGACACAACAAGATTCAGTCTCATACACTGACTGCTTTCGGGGGACCAACCTTCGCCGTACAATGATTGCAATTATGGTTTTCTTATCCGAACCAATGTCAGGACTCGGATTCGTCTCTAATTATGGTGCTTTAATGTACCAGTATCTAGGAATAGGCGATCAACAATCATTCCTGATCCAAATAGGTGCTCAAATTCTTTCAATGTCCGGAGCAACTATTTCTTTTCTGATTGGTGATATGTTTGGCCGGAGACCTATGTACCTGGGTGGGTGTATTGGTTTAACCTTACTGCTGCTTTGTATGGGGATTGCAGGCTCGGTGGATACGAATGCTGCCACCACTGCCGCAGTGGGCTTCTATACCATGTATAACTTCTTCTACAATGCTGGTGTGGGATCCAATGTTTATACTATCGCTGGGGAGGTTCCTACTTCAGTTCTCCGGACCAAGACACTTGCTGTGGCCCTCTCAGTCTCTGCAGCAGTCAACACAATGTGGTCATTCGTCGCGCCTTATATGTTCAACCCTGGATATGGCGGACTCAAAGCCAAGATCGGCTTTGTTTTTGGCGCATTTATGTTGCTATTTGCTGTCATGGCGTATTTCTTCGTCCCAGAGACTCGTCGACGCACATATGAGGAACTTGATGAACTTTTCATGAATCGTGTACCGACTCGAGAATTCCGTGAATATGTCACTTTGGCAGAACGAAGAGCTGCAGAAGCTTACCAAGTGACCGAAAAAGTGCCAGAAGCTGTTCGGGTGTGAGAAAGTCAGAGAGGGAGACTCAGTACTTTGGTCATCGGGAGTGAAAAGGACGCAGTTGTTGGGGACCGAACCTTGATTTTAACCTACATGCAATATCTAATATTGTGTGTGGAGTCAGTGTATACTTTACTTTATCTCATAATTAGAGTAACATGGACCAAAATCTTAGTTATCCAGTAGAGGTGCTGGGCTTTAAAGATATTGAAAGCTTCTGATGTGATAGCGGGACTTGACTATGCTATGTACAATTCTACTGCCAGAGAGGAATAGTATATACTAGAACACTTCTCAAAGTAAAAGTGTATTTAATTCTTGGCGATCAATTCTAATTGGAAATTCCTTGGCCCTGCACTAGTACCGGACCTGCATTAGCTCATTTTCTCCCCCCAGCCAGATCAGGATTCTAAGCAAAGAAAATAACACCCTTCTTAAGGAGGCACCTGTACCAAAGCAGGACATATCGGGGGGGCTTGCACTATAACTGATAAATCGGCAGAGATTGTGAAGGGAAAAGGTTGGACAACAACATAAAGGCTGAGAATCAACATAGACATGGAAATTTTTTGAAACATCGGGCTCCTGATTCTCAAGTGCATCTACATACTTTCCTCATTTCTGTTTGCAATGTTTAGGCTTCAAAATGCATAGTTACTGTAGCTGTGATAGGTTGAGATCTGCACCCCTGAATATAACGATCTTCGATGTCTACTTTTTTTGGCTCAGAATTATGTAGCAAACACACTTGGACATATCCGCAGACAAATAGAATAGAAGGATGATATCTTGTAGAAGTACACAATGTTGCAAGAAGACTGTACAGAGTCCCCCAACCCTCCACTTTATGGACAAATTTGGTCTCATAAAGCTTCTAGTATCACTGAGAATTCTATGGAATTTTACAAAATTGATGTCTTTCATTCTTTAAGGCTTCAGAAAATTGTTCCCCTGTGAAACTCCCGGAGTTATTAGACAAGGTGCTTGAATTTACGAGCTCGGTCGGGATGAACTCCACTTGCTGGAAAGTCCTAGAAATCCAGCTTGTAGTTCGACTCTGGTCCTCTATTTTCGTCGATCTTTTTTCTCTAGTTGCAAGTCCTTCGCAGGCCACGCTGGTTCTCAGAGTGTGGCAAAGGCAGTAAACATTGACAAACATGTCTTCGCATTCCCACCAATAGCTCATTCACCCCCCTCTGTATTCTCGTTACAAAAGCACCATTCCTCATTAGCAGGGGCTATTTTCCTCGCTGTTGCTGAGACCGAGATGAAGCCACAGTCCCACCCCCACCCCCACCCCCTCAATGGATCCACACGCCTATTGGGTGGGTCTCACCGGCGACTGCTTCGGCTAAGGTTCGAGATGTCAAGTATGAATACTCGGGCATTAGTTCGTAATAAAGACAGCCCGAGAAGGCGGAAATTAAACATGTATCGAATATTTCAGCACAAAGAATTCTCTCGGGATGTGGAGGAATTGATTTATCCTCTTGGCGTGGGTCGTGATAATTTCCTGCGCTGGATTGCGGCGCTCAATAGCCGCAAAGGGTCCAGTACAAAGTTCTGCTAAGGTGGTTAGGTCGCCTCTACCACCAGTGCCGCAAAATTAATAGTATTATCAATACGAATTTGGGCCCTGAGCAGAATTGAGGGACCCGTTGTGGCTATGGAGCGTCGCTTTAGAGAGTCCTCCATGGAATTCCCCGCAATATGAAACTCGGGGAAGTAAAGAGGCCTCTCCATGAAATGAGGAACCACTTCCCGCTAATAGATACATTGCTGCCGTTGACGATCCTCGCCTTTTACGGCATTCCTGGAGGGCTACATAAGATGGCGTGTTCGCGACCTAATAATTATCAGTGATCAAAATCGACGAAGCACAAGAAGCTTTCAGCTACATTACATTATCAATTGCTTTTTGAAAACAATGAATTTTATGAATTCCGTGATATTGCAGTTTCTGCTAGCAGGCATTGCTTTGTGTCGCCCTGCCGCATCAACGAATTACCTGGACTGGACAACATTCAATGCCGTCGGCGCCAACCTAGGCGGCTGGCTCGTGCAAGAATCAACCATCGACACTACATGGTGGGCCCGGTACTCTGGGGGCGCCGAGGACGAATGGGGTCTTTGTGCCTATCAGGGCACTCAATGTGGACCGATCTTAGAACGCCGATATGCGACTTGGATCACCACCGCCGACATCGACATCCTAGGTGCGGCTGGCGTCAACGTTCTGCGCATCCCAACTACATATGCGGCGTGGGTTGAGGTCCCGGGGTCTCAATTGTATCATGGAAACCAGCAGTCCTTTCTTACGAGTATTTCCTCGTATGCTATTAATAAATACGGCATGCACATCATAATCGACATCCACTCGCTTCCAGGTGGTGTAAATGGGTTTCCCTTTGGCGAGGCCAGTGGACACTATGGCTGGTTTAACAACCAAACTGCTCTCAAATATTCCCTGGAAGCTGTTGACGCGGCTATCAAATTCATTCAAAATTCGAATTCACCGCAATCATATACGTTGGAGCCTATCAATGAACCCGTCGACGTTCAAGATCTCTCTCTATTCGGAACCCCGTATTGTCTTACCGACAGTGGCGCCGCATACTTGGCAAACTACATGCATCAAGTCATTGCAAAGGTTGAGACTGTGAATAGTGATATCCCAATCATGTTCCAAGGCAGTTTCAAGGGCGAAGCCTATTGGTCCTCGAACTTCAGCGCCGAAACAAATCTGGTATTCGATGTGCATAATTATTATTTCCAAGGTCGAGCGGCTAGCCCTGGCAATGTGACACAGCTCATTTGCACAGATGCTGTTAATTCTGCTGGAGATGGAAAATTCCCGACATTTGTGGGGGAGTGGTCTATTCAGACGGAGATTGGCAATACCATAGCATCGCGTGCGACGATACTTGAGACTGGGCTTGCTGCGTGGAAAAAGTATACTCGTGGTAGCGCTTATTGGACTACGAAGTTTTTAGGAAATGCCACTGTTGATGGGGAGGGGACTCAGACGGACTATTGGAATTATGAGACATTTATTAGTTTGGGATATACAAAGTCGACATCTGCAGCTGTATTGTGTTAAGCTATTCCATCAGACCAGTTACAGTTAGGGCTAGGAGCGAATCACATCCGTAGTTGCCTTACGTCTTAGGCACCAATTTTTATACCAATTACACACACCTCTTTCTCTTTCTTTCCCCATGCTTGGTATTTTTGTCAAATGTTACGAGTTTGTTCTTCATCTTCATCTTCATCATCATCATCATCATCATCATCATCATCATTGCATTTGAGCTGTTGAAAGTGGATATTGAAAGAGTTGGATTCAAATCCTAGATTTGATCACCCATAATATCCTCATCAACCTCAAATCTACTCTCTTCCTCTGCTACTGAATAGTCCGTCCCAGAACCATTCCAAACCTGACTCTTTTGCATATGATCAATGAACTCATCACCCAGCCCTATATCATTATTACTCTTCTTAACGCTCGCGACAAGGGCCTCCAGGGTCTGACTTTCTCTCGCAAGCCTACCCTGTACCTGAAGTTCATGCAATTGAGAAGAGGGATGGGCACTTGGGAATCGTAGCATCGTGCCTTCGGAATGACCAGGAGTGTGTACCAACGTTGCAGATACAGAGCCAGACATGATGAGGGAAGCAATGACCGACTCGGCCACGTCGGTATTCTCCGGTAGTGAAGATGTTTGCTCTGAGAGCTCAGTCACAGTCAAGGCGGCGAATACGCTTTTGATACCCGCTAGCGCATGTGCTGTGAATGAATCCAAGACCTGAGAGACTAGACCGGTGTTGTTATCCTGAAAGATAAGATGATTAGCGAAACATGCCATGATAAAGAAAAACAAGCTATGCGGTCCGGAAGGCTGGACTTACCGCACGCCAGATATGCTTAGCTGCATCAACCTCGGCATTCAATCGGTTCAAGTCGCGGAGCTCGAAAGTATGCGCGAGGTTGACATACGGCCTTGCAATAGACTGGTACGTTTTGTACACATGCGGAGCTATCATAGTAGGAGGCGGGCGAAGCTAGGACATGTTAGAAACGGAGGGAAGCATGGGGGTTCGGTTCGGCTCACCTTGCCTGTCTCCAACAAGCCCACCAACACCCATTTCTTGTAAGCCTCTACCATGATCATGCTAACAGGACCAGTAGTAGGCACCGACATGGCAAGCTCTAGAAAATGGGAAGCTTCGCTCCATTTCTTGAGTGCTAAGTAGACCATTCCACCGTACAGGAAATATCTCGAGAGATCTCTGGAGCTCAGCGGAGCGGATAGACCGGAGCTGTTAGTGATAAATGCCAGACTAGATTCATGGTCGGCACATAACACCGGGGAAGACTTGTGGGGAAAGCGTTCTGTTGATCCAGGGAAATGACAGATGTGCTTGTTGAGAACGGGTAAGATGCAAGCATAGGCTTTAGCGTGCAGACAGAGACGGACGAGAAGGAGGTGAGTTGACGTGAATACGGCGCAGGATGGATCCAACCGCAACATGGCATCTTTGATTAATTGCGTAGCAAGGAATGGCTTGAAGATTGTCAGTCTCTCGGCAACTCAAAAGAAATCCAGATATTCCCAATCTTACCTTGGAGGCAGCCTGCGCAGCTTGGGCCACGAGCTCGACAAGCTGTCGCCATTCATGGCCGACATATCGAACCTGAGTAGGATTGAAGTTTTTCAAATAGCGTACGCATTTTGTCCATAACTCCCGGGATGGAAGCAGGTCTGCGGGCAACTTGTCTGGGGATGTTTCTTGCAAGGTCTGGATCTGCAGTCGCAGTAGAAAGAGGTAAGTGATTGAATCGGCGGCAGGGTCAAAGTTCTAGAGTATAAAATGAACGATCAGCTGAATGTTACCACAGGTCAGTTTCATAGAGAGGGAGTGCTACCCACATCTAGGATAGTCGGGTCATTGGCAGCAAAGTTGAGGGCGTTACTAGATAAAGATCGATGAAGAGAGGCAACCAGATCCCGTATTTGACGATCATATTTTTCTTCGTATCGATGTTCAAAGTCCTGTAGCTTCGCGGAGCTTGCGAGAAGGGCCGCGATGGAGGCCATGTGGGCTACTGAAGTCGAGAACGGTTTGGTTGGGCGGTTGAAGCGCAGACACGGTCGACAAAGGCTGAGGCCAGTAGAAAAATGGGGACTCGAGATACAGAGAGTATACTTTGAAGAATGTATACCGTAATCAGCGGATGGTCCGAGTCGGGGAAGAATGGGCAGTGAGTGACGTTAGGTTGAGGGACAGCTTTATGGCAGATAAACAGCGGAGAGCGGAAGGCGGAGGGCGGAGGGCGGAGAGTAAGGCGGAGAGTAAGGCGGTCAATGAAAACAGAGAGAGTAGAGTAGAGTGTATGTACGACGAGAGTAGTGTGGATCACCCCACCATAGTTAATTACTGCCACCACCAGTTAGCTATCAACCACCAAGATGCCCCTCGACTTGACTCATCCCCGCTTCCCGCAAATTTCCCTCCACGCCAACTTGGGATTATTTGACCCTCAACACCGAAATGTCATTGACAGATTCTAATGCAGTGGATGTCGCCCGCAGCGCATCTCTAGCCTCTCGTCAACTCGCAACCCTGTCAAACGAAGCCCGAAACGAAGCCCTCACGCTACTACACTCGGCCCTGGACAAGAACCGAGCCACCATTCTCGCTGCCAACAAGAAGGATGTCGAATTAGCCACCCAGGCCGCAGAGGATGGTACTTTGAACCACAGTGTCCTCAAAAGGCTGGACCTCTCCCGCCCTGGCAAGTATGATGACATGTTGGAGGGAATCTTGAGTGTTCGTGATTTGGAGGACCCAGGTGTGTACCCTCCAAGGGATTGCCTATTGGATTGGAAAACTAACCACCCGGGGACACTTTGTAGTTGGCAAAACCACACTTCGGACACTATTAGATGAAGGTCTGACCCTGGAGAGAGTCAGTTGCCCCATCGGTGTTCTGCTGATCATCTTCGAGGCTCGCCCTGAGGTGATCGCAAACATCGCAGCACTGGCTATCAAGTCCGGGAATGCCGCTATTTTGAAAGGTACATACCATTGATTGTTTTATCTTGGCTTATGGTGAAATATTGCCAGCACTGACATGACAAAATCGATAGGCGGCAAAGAATCGACAGGATCATTCGCGGCAATTGCAACCGTGGTCTCGGACGCCATTGCCGATTCCCAAGTCCCCGTTTCATCAATTCAACTAGTGAAAACGCGCGATGCGGTTTCTTCCCTTCTCGCTCAAGACTCCTTCATTGATCTCGTCATCCCCCGCGGATCTAACGAACTGGTCCGTCACGTCAAAGAGAACACCAAGATCCCAGTTCTAGGCCATGCGGACGGACTATGCTCCGCCTACATCCACTCCGACGCCAAGGTCCAAACTGCCGTGAAAGTGATCGTCGATTCCAAGACAGATTACCCCGCAGCCTGCAACGCTCTCGAAACATTATTAGTACACGAGAGTGTGCTCGAGTCCATTCTCCCCGAGGTTGCTTCGGCTCTATTGGCCAAGGGCGTGTCACTACGCTGTGACCAGCAATCCTTGGAGGTCTTAAAGAAGGTGGTGCCGGCTGATAAAGCCAGCCAAATCTCCTCGGCCACGGATACCGATTACGAAACCGAATTTTTGGACCTGGTGTTGGCTATCAAGACTGTTTCCTCGGCCGAGACCGCAATTACACATATTAATACCTTCCACTCTGGGCATACGGATATCATCATCACCGAATCCAGTCAGGAAGCCAATCGTTTCATGAACAGCATTGACAGCGCGGGTGTGTTCTGGAACGCATCCAGTCGATTTGCGGATGGCATGAGATATGGATTTGGCACGGAAGTTGGCATCAGTACCAACAAGATCCACTCCCGAGGACCCGTTGGTCTAGAGGGTTTGACAATCTACAAATACTTGATTCGCGGAGATGGTCATGGCGCCGCAGATTATCATGACGGCGTGGGGGGGGACGGAAGTACCTTCACAAGAACCTGGGACTCTAGACCCTTACATAGTCCGCTAGACACTAAACCACCATTACAGATAGTAGATAAATATTTAAGCCGCAAAAAATTCAACGGAAATATTTTTTTTTGAACATTTCGCAGTCGTAAGAAAAGGATGAGGACTAAGCCGGATGTAATTTTCTTTTGCGCCTCCCCATTCGTAAATTTCTGATCTCCCAGTCCAACCAAAAGTATTCCGCCACTTTAGGTACATCGACTTGAAGTCCTCGGCTAGACTAAGGGAGATTGACACCCGGACATTGCGCAATGCTAACAGATCGCTGCAATAGCACATTGCCACACATGTGTCTGCGCCACCATCTTCACGAGGTCTAGGGCCTTTTCCCTTAGACCTTGAAACCGCGAGAGCGTCTGCGGCCACGGGCACGCTCGAACTTGCGACCCTTGCTGGCGACGTAGGGCTTCTGTATTGTTTTAAAAAGAAAAGGTTAGCCAATCCGTCCACATCCAAATCAAAATCAAAATCGGATCCCGGATCCACGAGGGGAAAAAAAATCCATTGTGCCAATCCAATTCCAATTTCGGGGAGTTCGTTGTAGTCACGCACCTTGTGAGAGTGAGGGCCGAAACCGAAGTGCTTAACAGCCTCACGGGAGTTCTTGGGGCCACGGAGGAGCAGAGTGTTGGCACCGGTAGGGGCACGCAGAGCAAGCTGGTCCAGGGTGAGGGTCTCACCACCGGCCTTCTCGATACGGGCACGAGCGGTAGCGGTGAAGCGCAGGGCAGCAACGGACAGCTTGGGGACGTTCAGGAGACGGTTGTCGTCGGTGATGGTGCCGATGACAACGACGGTCTTGCCCTTCTGGGCCTCGGAGATGTTGGCGGCAATGCGCGAGAGCGAGACGGGGGGGACGGTTGATGCGCGACATGAAGAGACGGCGGAGAACAGCCTTGTTGAAGTTGGACTCGGTACGGCCTGTGTGTGATATACCGGGTCAGTTTTTTGATTCCATCAAAATTTCGCCTCCGCTCGAGAATTTGCAGGTTTCTTTTTCCGGGGCGTCTTGGTTTTTTCAGGAGAGGGGATTCATACGGGCAAGGAAGCGGTACAGCTTCACGAGCACCTGCAGGTAAACGTTGTCGCTCTTCGCAGCCTTGCGGTGGCTGTTGCGCACATGGTGACGGTCCAAGTCGATACCTGAGAATTTGCGAATATTGATTAGCCAGGTTGAAATCGAATGGGATATGAAGGAAAGGAAGGGAATAAGGCGATTCGAATGAGTCGATTAGAGCGTCATGAATCGTCTGTAGGGGTTGCACATACCCATGGCTGCTGTATGAATTGAACACCTGTTAGTTAACTTGCTGTCGCTCCCGTCTGGAAAGTGTAGGAGGTTTTTGGTCTTGCACTCTCGGCTGGCGGCTGTGTGCGGGTTGTGCCCTACGCTAGTCCTAAGATGGAAGGAGTCACATGACTATGTTCCAAGTTTGGGTGGACCGGGCTAGACTCAATTCGGATGTATTAGGTAACCTTAGCGCCACCCTAGTTTTGAGGTAACCGCTTGTAGTTAGCCGAGTTGGTGACTCTGGGGAATTGTACTGCATGGCACTTAAGTTACACCGGGTGGCTCTGACTTAGGCGCTTTAGTTTCCTCTGAATTGTTTTTGTTTTTCTTTGTTCAATCAGCTATATACAAGACAACACAATAATACAAAATGCAACAACATCAGTTGCAGCCCATCTATGCCAGACAATATTGACGGCAGAGCACTTCTAGGTGTATTGTAACTAATCATCTCTATCGCTCAGGCTGACCAGGAAATCCCGTGTCAATTCGAAACTGAGCCAGCTGCTCGCCATGCTGGGTGCCACCTTGAGAAGGTTGGGACCAATGCCTTTGAAAAGTCCACGCATTCCTTCCTCAGTCACGATGACACGTATCGCATCAAAGATCGATTTGTACTGATAGCCCATTCCGGACATGGTATTGATTTGAAAGCGTCGACGTAGAACATCACTGTTGCACAAGTCAGCATGAAAGGTTGACCCGGTGGAATCATAACCAAGAATCTCAAACTCACAAGGGATATGTGCAAGTTTGGGCCACAGCCCCGGAAATAGCACCTGCCAAAAGTTTTCGCCATGGGCTAGGATTCTTTTCCCCGTCCGGAGTTAGGTATTCGCGGACAGCTTCATATGTCATGAAGTTCATACCAACCTTGAAAATCACAGATTAGTGACATGTGCAAAGCAGAAAATCAGAATAGCAACCACTTCACTTACATAAGGAGCGACACCGGCAACGGTTGGGGCAATACCCCGATAAAGCGCCGTCATGCCACCTTCATTCTTATAAATTGTGACCATGGTAGTCCACATGCCAGGCAATTTTTGAGACTGTTCTCGCGGTCCAAGATCGGCAAATGACGCTGACTGGATTGAGAGTCTTGTACGGACGATGTCGAGAGGGTATGTCACGGTGACAGAGGTGATACCTGCGATGCCACCACACACGAGACGGCTGAAAGCAGACATGTCACCATTGGGAGACTCAGCGAACTTTTGATGACTCGTCAGTTTTTGAAATCCGAGCAGAATGGAAGGGGGTGGGGACTAGGGACTGCGTGGGTGTACCGTACCCTCTTGTAGAAATTATAACTCCCAAATTGAACGGCCGAATAAGGAATAATGCGAATGCAGTTCACGCCGTTTCCACGCATGAATCCTCTCCAGCCTTCTTCGCGGCCCATTTTCCCCAGAGCCTTCCAGATAGATAATTTGTATTCTTCTCGGCCAACGCTTTGGACCTGAAGTAAAATTTTCAAACGTTCTAATGGTGAGACGATTGTGCGAGATACGGCGCCAGCTACGCCACCTGCCATGAATGCGGCAACGATAGGCTCGGCAAGTTTGTTTTGTGTTCGTCGCAGGATGGAGGGTTGCGCGGGGAGGGCATCCTAGCCGAATGTGAGTGATGAGAAGAGGGATGAGGAAAGGGCAATGGAAGACAGCGAGACACTAACCTGGACCAAGGGTGAGGATGAGGGAAGGTGAATTGACTGTAGAGTTGGCTTGGATGTACCCTTTGATCCATCCTCTCGGGGTGCTTCCTGGGGGTTGAGGCTCATTTTGGCGGTATCCACATCGAAGACTGTCAGATCGAAAGGCCAAAGTGTTCTTGAATCAGGCGAGCCAATTATTTTCCCATGCGTTGATTTTCACTTCTTCTAGTCGCAAATGAGGTAGGATGAATGCCGAATAGCCGATCAGATGGTATCACTAGGCTGATATAGGAGTGAAAGCACCGGAAATCAAGATGACGTGGGTCGCGCTGGCCATGAAGGTTGTTCGCTCTCTTCACGATAGGTCAAATCTTACAGGTCCATCATAGAGATCGGAGACCCAACGGTAGTTCTTGGTTTTGATTCTCGAATGTCGATTGCGAGGGTAGCTCGGAATGACGACCAGGGTAGGTGGAGAGGAGAGTCGGAAGAGGGGGCTGGATGAGCTGAGCGTATTGAATGTTGCTTTTTTCTGTGACCACGTTGAACTGAGAGCTAGATCGGTTCTCTCTCGCACAGACACATACACACTCTTTTACTACTTGAGGTAAGTTCAAGTAGTTGCGAATGGAGGAAGATGGGGGGGAAAAGACTGGGGTAGACCGAGAGAGGAGAGATGAGACGGCAAGGGAGTGGAAACCTCCAACCAGCAAAGGCAATCCCGACTGCCGTCCACGCGGTACCTCCCGAGCCCAGCCCGCATTATACATTATACGCGTGCCTGGTTCTATAGTTAGAGTATTATTTCCCCTTCCTTTACACCTGATTTTGTAGCAAGACTGAGTAAATAGGTATTTCCCATAACCACCAGCTTTTTAATACATATTTCTCTCCTACATTCCTTTCTCCTCTCCCTCGCTCTACTATACACAAATTCATCACTGTCGTCAGTGGTGTCTCTCCCCAACCGTACTCATACTGCCCATTGCCACCGCCTTACCGTCTACCTTCCATCGTCCACAGCTTCATTTTCCATTTCTTTCTTTCACCCCTTCGTGTAATACTACCTCCCTTCTACGGCATCACCGATTCTTCATTATCCGTCATGTCTTCTCGATCGGGAACCACCCTATATGTCACCGGCTTTGGCCACGGTACCCGAGCTCGCGATCTCGCCTACGAATTCGAACGGTACGTCACGGCTACACCTCCGCGTTTTTAAGCCCACGGCTTCTCGGTCGCTTCTCCCTTCCGCCTTATCCTCCTCCCCCATTCCACACCCCAAAAACGTCCAATGTCATTCTCCCGTGCATGATCGAATCGGCTATCCTCCTGGAGCGAGACTCTCGAGCTTCTCAATCCCCCAATTCTCCCACTGGATGTTGAATATTGGTCGTCTTTCATCTGTCTCTATAACCTTTTGATCTCAAGCCTTTTTATATGACCTTCAGAAGCTAATGACCTTTTCAGATACGGTCGTCTTGTCCGCTGTGATATCCCGGCCCCCCGCACACCTTCCAGTCGACTGTAAGTCCGAGCTCATCAAGCTTTCATTTTTCATTATCTTAACAACCATCCAGATTCGCCTTTGTTGAGTACGAGAGCCGTCGTGATGCGGATGATGCATACCACGAGATGCACAACAAGCGTATTGGACGCGACGACCTCCTGAAAATTGAGGTATATTCTTGCCCTTTCTTCCCACCCCACCTGTAATGCAGCTAGTCTGACCTCGATTCCTCCCATAGTGGGCACGCACACCCCCTTCGGCCTCTTGGAGATTCGATTCCGGCCCTGGCCGTGATGGCCGTGATAGCCGTGATGGTCGTGAACGCACAGGCCGTCGTGAGCGCACTCCTCCCCGCCGCGGTCGCTCTCCATCTCCCCGTCGCAGCAGAGGAGATTATTCTCCCCGCCGAGACGATCGATATGAGCGTGACACCGATCGTCCCGCCGCCGATCGGGATTATGAGCGCCGTGACCGTGACCGCGACTATGAGCGCCGTGATCGCGATGGTGATCGTCGGGAGCGTGAACGCTCTCGTGATCGTTCCCGCAGCCCCGAAGACCGCGAGCGCGATACCAAAGAAGATCGAGAACGACGCGATGATGACCGGGAGCCCCGTGAGGATGATCGGGAGCCCCGTGAGGATGAGCGTGAGCCTGTTACCAATGGCGAAGACAGGAAAGGTACGTCACTCTAAGTATAGAACAAACAAGCCCCACCAAGCTCTTAGCTTACCTTTAACAGTACCCCTGGACCCCGTTCCTTCTGCTCATGATGAGCTTGATACTGCTGAGTAGATCGATCGACTCAGCGCCATACCATCCCATCTCAAGCCACTTCGCCCATAGAGATTGAAACTCGACAACTGCCTTGCCCCGGATCATCACAAGGGTTTTGGAAATCGTTTGACCACTACTGCCGCCGATTGTCCCCCGATTTCGAGCGTCTCATTGCATGGCTTCTTTGCGCCAGGTTGACTTGATTCCCTAATTCCCCTGTCAAACATTCTATCCGGCTCCGGTATCCCGTGCTGGTATTGGTGTTGACTCCCCTGTGTCTTTTATTTCCTTCCGTTTCCGCTTCCATTCTTGCTCTCTGTTCTTTTAACCTTTTTTTTTTACTTTTTTTGGAGATCTCTTTTATGGGTGTCGGTATTTATCCTGGTCAGCAGCCCCGAAACGAACGTCGAGCGATCAGATCGTGTTCCAGGTGTCCCATCCTCGCCCGTCTCTCGTCCTTGCGTTTCCCTCGATGAATACCAATCAATACCAAACCCAAACCGTCCGCCATTCCCGTCTTATTCGCAAATTTAATCCAAAGCGATTCCGTTCCCATTTTCCAATCCCAGCCAAATCCCCTCGCCCCGTACGATCGATCGGAACCCCCCTCGACGACTGCTCTCGGTCGATATCGCTTTTTACAATGTAGAGTCGTATGCATGCTTGCAAGGTATTCGTAGGGAAGGTGGATAGCAAAATTATATCAATACTAATTAATCAATACCCACAGCGGTAACTTTCCAAGATCGAGATGTAGTTATTTTTTTACCCCAAGTGAGGGCTCAGGCTCTCCAATGACGTAGGAAATCCTTCGTGCGGGGGAAACGGCCCGTGTCAGTGTCCAATCTGAGAGTCAACATCCGCCCTTCAACTGTAGGTACTAATAAACCTAAATACCGAGTAGTTACCAGGAAAACCTACCTAGCTTTCGTTCAATCTACAAGCTAGTATGGAGGCGCTTCGTATCCGCTATATACAAACGTGGTCGCCGGGAAGATGAAGCTCAGGAATATATACAGGTTCGACAGGTTCGACAGGTTCCCTTTCTTCCTTTCATACTCTTTATATTAAGCAATATCACAATACTTTAAATACTGTACATAGAGGCATAAAATCCAATGATATGTGCGTAGTGGTAAAGAAGCGAGGAGGCGAGAAGAGAATTTATGTAAACAAGCCTACTAACAAACACATTATCAGGATTTTTCATGCCTGTGACTACTCTGTTTATACTAAGCACAAGTTCTATGGCTGGCATAGCACCAGAAGGGGCGCTGTGGGGTTAGGAAATAAAACTAGGCAGAGGCTGTGTATTGAACATAAACACATCGTGATGCCACTAGATTGGTGGTTCAGCCCGAGCTCCCCGATCAAGGAGAAGCTCTGCGACAGCGTCATGGCCATTCCTCAAAGCGAGTAAAAATGGTGTCCATCTAGTTCTACCGACAGCGTTGACATCTGCTCCTCGGTCGATAAGAAGCTTAGCGATAACCTCATGGCCACCCCTCAAAGCGAGTAAAAGTGGTGTCCATCCAGTTCTACCGACAGCGTTGACATCTGCTCCTCGTTCAACAAGAAGCTTAAGAAGGACTACTCGCCCATTATCTGCAGCCCAAGTAACAGGCGTTTGGCTTTTGTATCCCTCTAAGTCTTTTCTGTGGTTCAGGCCCTCTGTGATGTCGATTCCATCATAAATGGTCGAAGGCAGGTTCAAAAGAGCTGCAACACTCGCCTTGTCACCACGTGCCAGGGCAGAGAACAGTGGGTGTCCGTATCTCTGACCAAGTATATCGATTTCTGGGAAATTTCGAATTCTTGTGCGGATAAGCTCAGGATATCCGTTGTCTGCAAGAATGTAAAGAAGACTCGCACTTAGAGTATACCCACGAATCCGGGTCTTTTCAAAAAGATTGTTGACCCTAACCCAGTTGGATATTTTGAGCGAGGAAAGAAAATCGTCTTGAGGAACCAGTTTTGCTGCGGCGTTGGCATGGTAGAGAATATTCTGATTGGCGTACTCTAACAATGGGTAGTTGCTTGAGACTTTCGTGACATCTTCTATGCTAGATCGCCCAACAGATGGCGGTAGTATCGAAGAAAGATTATACACATCCCGATGGTTCATGTAGGCATTGCAGCAGTCCTTGAGCCTTTCATGGCTGGGGCTCTCCCAATCAAGCCCAAGCTGAGGCCACAATTCATAAAGACCCCTATCTTTAATAAGGAAGTCTCGAACAGACTCATGGATGAACTGATCTGATGGCTTGTCGGATCTTGTGATCTCAGCCAATACCTTGGAGCAACTGATAACATATCTGTAAGACCTGGGGAGGCTGTTACTAGTATCCTGGACAAAGGCATCTGGTATTTTATTATTACCAGACTCGGACTCTTCAATGATAGGCCTGACCAAAGAGCATGATAGAATTCTTCTGGCCGTAAAGGTCGCTTTGCGCAAAGAATCCAAAGAAAACAAAGCAGGAGCCCCTCCATATTTTCATCATCACGTTTCAGTATTTTCTTGAACAGATTGCTCAGCCCACTTGGGAGCTCTTCAAGTTTCCTGTCAAGGGACATTGCACCTCTTGCAAGCTCCCTATTGAGAATTTCGACAACCAAAACCACCCACATAAAAACACTAGCAGATTTTTGGAGAAGCTTGTGGACAATATCGGGGTCTTCAGTTCGAAGTTTATCCACGATGTAAGCTTGCAAGTCTTCTGTGTGGCCTTGTTGATGCTCTAGTGTAAGTCGGGTTCCATGTCGTATCATAATATAGGGATAGTGCCGACTGGAAAAGCAGATCCGGAGACGTTTGGCTGTGGAATGTTCTGACAGGTCTTCAAAGAATTGGATCATATCCAGAAGTTGTTGCTCGTCACATTCATCAAGTGCATCGATAAAGCATGTAAATGAACGTTGACCCAGGAGGGAAACTGCTTTATGAAGGAGGTCTTTGAGGATATTCAAAGAAGGGCAAGCACTTTGGTCCTGGGCAGGAACGAGCTCAGGATCATCTAATAGTGTCTGTAGGTCGGGAAATCCTTCAAGTAGCTGAAGCAGCAATGATCGATACATGCCTATCACAGATCTCTCTAGTATTTCACCACGGGCGTTGAAAAAAAAATGATGCAGTGACGGCAGTCCTGGAACGGGCCTGCTTCTTCATTTTCGAATAGACAAATTTCATGATCGTCGACTTGCCAGCCCCAGGCTTGCCGCTAATCCATAAAAATCCACGATCGGTTAGATTTTCTGGATCTAGCCATGCCTTATAACCAGGATGACTGAGAAACCATTGACATGTTTTAGCGTGGGCCGTTTCAACGGTTATTTTTCGAGCATTGATTTGCTCAAACCTGAAGGAATCTAGTAGAAGCTTGCGGTGTTTCTGTGATGGGGTCTGATCTATATTGCGAGTGTGACCCAGTCAACGTTATTTCCAACACAATGTCATTTCCAACACACAGAAACTTACCGGGGACAGGTATATAGACATCTTCTTTACTTGTTTCGGTGACAGGAAGACCCTCGAGCAATTCCCTTGCGTATGCGGCTGCAGTGGCTGCGGCATATTTCTGCCATTCTTTGCTCTTGTGTGAATCAGAATAGTCACAAATACCCCGAATTGGGAGACAAGGGATAATATCCATCAGACCAGCAGCCTCCATTTCGAAACAGATAACATTCAGTTGCCGTGCAGCTTTGTCTCGGAAAACACTATTTTTAATGGCCTGACTCCCTGATGCGATGGCACCATAATGGATAACTGGATCTGTCGACAGCCGCACACTTCGCAGTACCAGCTTTGAGTCGTCGCATTCATCACAGTTGGCCTCCGGAACTTTATGATGATAATCCGTCTGGAAGAGACGATCTGGCGAGCTTGGGCAACCATACCCATATTCTTCAAGCTTCTGCTGGAGAATAGATGGAATTCGACTTGGCTCGAGCTCGTGTTTAGCACGGAGACTCGTCACGGCTGTCCCAAGTAATTGATGAGGAATCCTGGGGATCGCTGTTCGTTCCAACTCTTGGTCTCCATGAATGATTTTTCCCGATCGACTTGCATCACCCTGGTCCCAACCACTATATCGCCCAGTCGTACATCAACCTTACTCGGAACACCACCGCCAATACCAACCATCAAACCAACTCGGATTGCGGGAAATGTCCGCTTTATGTTCGTCGCCACGTTCGCTGCGTTGACAATTCGATACTGGTCTGTTGGTAGGTACGCAATAACAACATTATGTCTCTGGATGTCCCCTAAAACGTATGTGTTGCTGTCGTCTGTAAGGGCAGGTAGAGATTCGTGAATATTGTCCAGTACGGCCCGGGCCGCTGCCATCTCGATCGACAGCGCACATATCCATGCGACAGTGTAGATTTCACGTCGTGCGGCTGGCAAATCACCACGGTGGAGGGTCTTTTGTCGCTTTGGCAAGTGAGATAGGGCTGTCTCATCATGCCCGTCTCGTGGAGGGCTGTCCATCTGGCAGAGATTCGGAGGAATGCGTCTACTCAGCGAAGAAAGACCTGCAGAAGTAGAACTTGGCGGTTGGAGGCAAAGTCTTCCCGTGACCCATGAACATCGCAAGTATCATCGACTGATTCAGAATTGTGTTGGGTAGAAAGAAGCAAGAGAGTTAAACACGCAAATTGGGCAACGTGGGGAGAGCTCAGCTGCGGCGCTCCATAACGGCTCAGCCTCAAGCGCCGGACAGGCAAGACCAGGCTTTTTACCACTTCTGTTCTACACCTTTTGGCCCCCATATGTTTACCAGCGACTCGTCTTTTACACTAGCTATATTAGTCCTTAGCGTATGGTATTGCAGCGTATATCAAAAGCAAAGTCATGTCAGATAGCCTGCGCGACTGCTAGTTTGATTTTGTTATATCTTACCACTAAAATAGAAATGTGGCAGTGAGTCGCAGATTCCTGTGGCTCAAGGGGTATTTTTGTACGAGTACGATAACCTAGTATGTTATTGGTTAGCTCTTGATGACTGGTGATTCCCCTCACACCGCTCTGTGACTATGTGAGGGGATTGAGGGGACCCGAGGTATGTGACGTAGCCCATGGTATCAACTATCACGTCCGATACACTCTAGACCTCTGTAAACCCCCATCAAATTCACCATGCAGTCTTCCAACGAAAAGGGTATTTCTATCGCAATTGATGTAAGATGCACCCACTCCCAAAGTCCATAGAATCAACATTGACATGATTTAGAGAGGCGGCACCTTCACAGATTGCGTAGGAAACCCCGGAACAGGCCGACTTGAAGACGACATCGTGATAAAACTTCTCTCCGAAGATCCAGCGAATTACAAAGATGCACCCCTTGAAGGAATTCGACGGATCATATCGATCGTCACGGGCCGTGAAATTCCCCGAGGAGAAGCCATCGACACTTCCCTGATCAAATCTATCCGCATGGGTACAACGGTAGCAACCAACGCCTTACTCGAACGCAAAGGAGAAAAGATCGCCCTGGTTGTAACCCAAGGATTTAGAGATTGCCTTCAGATTGGGAATCAGTCTCGGCCGAAAATCTTTGATCTTGCTATTCAACGGCCTGAGGTGCTCTATGAGGAGGTGGTTGAGATTGAGGAGCGGGTTACTTTGGAAGATTACGCGGAGGATCCGGAGCGGCATGTCACGGATACAGATCCGCGTGGGCAGAGTTCAAGCGATGCAAAGGTCGTACGCGGACTTTCTTCCGAAGCAGTCCGTATTCTCAAAAGCCCGTCTGAGAATGAGATCAAGACACAGCTTCAACAAGTCTATGATCGAGGAATTCGAAGTATAGCAGTCTGTCTTATGCATGGCTACACATTTCCCGACCACGAAGCTTTGGTTGGACGAATCGCTACAGAAATCGGTTTCGACCATGTCAGCCTGAGCCATGAGTTGATGCCCATGATCAAATTAGTGCCGCGAGCAACGTCCGCCTGCGCCGATGCCTATCTAACACCCACGATAAAGAAGTATATTTCCGGCTTTCAGGCCGGGTTCTCCGGAGGTCTTGGGAGTGAGAGTGTGAAGCGTGAAGATAGTTCGCACAGTGCTCGATGCGAGTTCATGCAATCGGATGGAGGATTAGTTGACGTGGACCAATTCTCCGGACTACGGGCGATTCTGTCAGGACCAGCAGGCGGGGTTGTGGGATACGCATTGACATCCTATGATCCTGTATCGAAAATCCCTGTCATTGGCTTTGATATGGGTGGAACCAGCACGGATGTTAGTAGGTACGGTTCTGGTCGATATGAACATGTGTTTGAGACCACTACGGCCGGAGTGACTATCCAGTCTCCGCAGCTGGACATCAATACCGTCGCAGCTGGTGGCGGCTCCAGACTATTCTATCGCAATGAGTTATTTGTCGTCGGTCCTGAATCTGCAGGTGCCCATCCGGGACCTGCTTGTTATCGCAAAGGTGGACCTTTGACGGTGACGGATGCGAATCTCTTTCTAGGCAGACTCATTCCAGACTTCTTTCCAAGGATATTTGGACCAGACGAGAATCAGGGCTTGGATGAGCAAGCAAGTCGTGACTTATTCGAGAAACTCACGGTCGAAATTAATGAGAAAATTGCGTCGAGTGGTCACAGCAACAAAATGTCACCTGATGAAGTTGCATTTGGATTCATCAAGATTGCCAACGAAACTATGACTCGACCCATTCGATCCTTGACTGAGGCGAAAGGACACGATACCTCGAAGCATCGCTTGGCCACCTTCGGGGGTGCTGGGGGCCAGCATGCCGTAGCCATCGCAGAGAATCTCGGCATTCGCCAAATTCTGATCCATCGGTATTCGTCCGTCCTGTCCGCATACGGAATGGCATTGGCGGATGTCGTTGATGAAAGCCAGGAGCCAGAATCCAAGACATGGCGTGATGACGACAAAGCAGTTCTGCAAGAGCTTGCGAAGAAAATGACCGAGCTGAAGCAGCGATCTGCCACAAGACTCAAGGAGCAAGGCTTTGAAGACGAATCTGTGGTATTTGAAGAATATCTCAACATGCGATATCGAGGTACAGAATCTGCTCTGATGATCCTAAGGCCCAGTAGAGAAGATGCAGATGAGCATTTCGGCGGCGACGACTGGGCCTTCGGCAAAGCATTTGTGCAACAGCACGAACAAGAGTTCGGCTTCACTCTTCCAGACCGCGATATAATCGTCGATGATGTCCGAGTACGCGGGATCGGGAAGACCTTTGAAGCATCCGAGAAGACGGTCGACCAGCAGCTCCGAGAATCAAAGCCAATCGACGTCGTGGGCCGTGAATATCGAAAGTCCCAAGTATATTTCGAAGGCGGTCGACACGAAACACCAATCTACAAACTGGACGATCTCCAAATAAACGACCGAGTGAAAGGGCCAGCCATCTTAGCAGACGACACCCAAACGATCGTGGTGACTCCAGGAGCCTACGCACTACTAACAAAGACCCACGTCGTCATCAATATCGGAGAATCCGATTCCAATCCGCCCTCAATCAGCACCGATGCCGTGGACCCTATCTTGTTAAGCGTTTTCTCGCATCGATTCATGGCAATTGCGGAGCAAATGGGTCGTGCTTTGCAGAAAACAAGTGTTAGCACGAATGTTAAGGAACGACTTGACTATTCGTGCGCATTATTTGATCCGGATGGTGGTTTGGTTGCTAATGCACCTCACTTGCCGGTTCATCTTGGGAGCATGTCAACATGTGTACGAATGCAAGCCGAGCTTTGGAAAGGAAATTTGAAACCTGGGGACGTATTGGTTTCCAACTCGCCGTGTCGGGGTGGAACACATCTTCCTGATATCACAGTGATCCAACCGGCTTTTAGCGAAGGAAAGATAATTTTCTATGTGGCTTCAAGAGCACACCATGGTAGGGTCCTTTCCTTTCCACTCTCCCTCCGTCCATAATTCAAAGGACTTTTCTTTTTCATTTCTAACTCTGCTCCAGCTGACATCGGAGGTATTCTCCCCGGATCAATGCCACCCCATTCAAAAGAACTCTACCAAGAAGGCGCGCGCATCAAAAGCGAGAAGCTGGTATCAGAAGGCAAATTCAACGAAAAGCGTATCACGGAACTCCTCTACGACGAACCTGCCCAGTATCCCGAGTGCAGTGGAACCCGGTGTCTCGCAGATAACCTGAACGATCTCAAAGCCCAAATTGCAGCCAACAAGAAAGGAATCACATTGATAAATACCCTCATTGAAGAATACGGCGAGAACGTGGTCCTGTTCTACATGCATCAGATCCAAGCCAATGCCGAACTCAGTGTGCGGAATCTCTTGAAGGAAGTCAGTCAAAAGTTCTCGGGCAGGGATCTCAGTGCCATTGACTATATGGACGATGGTACCCCCATTCAACTAAAGATCTCCATCGATGCAGAGAAAGGCGAAGCGATGTTCGACTTTGAAGGGACCGGTCCGGAGGTATACGGTATGATAGTCCACTTCACTCCACTCAACAGCGCTCGCAGTAGATCGAGTGGTCTTCTAACAGCCAAAATCACTGACGGCAATATAGGCAACGTCAATGCCCCAGAGGCTGTTACATACTCCGCAATCATATACTGTCTGCGATGCCTAATCTCAGAAGATATCCCCCTCAACCAGGGATGTCTGAAACCAATCGGTGTTCGAATTCCGCCAAATAGTCTCCTCTCCCCATCCGAGACCGCAGCGGTCGTAGGAGGCAACGTATTAACGGTGAGTTCAACCCAACCCAGCCCGGGGTTAACAAACCACACACTCGCAATTCACATTCACATCCACTAACCTACCCGTCCCAGAGCCAACGAGTAACAGACGTAATCCTAAAATGCTTCCAAGCATGCGCCGCCTCCCAAGGCGACACAAACAACCTAACATTCGGCTTCGGCGGTAACCGCGCAGGCGAGGCCGAAAAGAAGGGCTTCGGCTACTACGAGACCATCGCCGGCGGCAGCGGTGCAGGACCAGACTGGGAGGGAACATCCGGAGTACACACCCATATGACCAACACTCGAATCACGGATGCGGAAGTCTTCGAGCGTCGCTATCCCGTTTTACTTCGAGAATTCAGTCTGCGGCCGAATTCTGGGGGTAGGGGCCAGCATCGGGGTGGAGATGGAGTTATTCGGGATATCGAGTTTCGCATTCCTGTTCAGGTTTCTATTCTCTCTGAGCGACGGGTTTATCATCCGTATGGACTTGAGGGGGGTGAGGATGCGCAGTGTGGACAGAATCTTTGGATTCGGAGGGTTGCGAAACCTGATGGGAGTTGGGGGGGAGAGGTGTATTAGTTTGGGAGGGAAGAATTCGACTATCATGCAGCCGGGTGAACGAATTATTATTCGGACTCCTGGTGGTGGTGGATGGGGACCGGTTGGGGAGGGGACTCAATTGGTGAATGAACCTGATGCCCGTCATGCGTGGCGGGGAGGGTCGGTTGCAAGTTATACGACGGCACATGAGGCGAGTATGTAGAGGGGCAGTCAAGATACTCGTTTCTACAATCAAGCACCATCGGATTTAAGGGCAAAGCATAGAATTAAAACATTGTCATTTGCACAGTGGTATCATAGGAGAAAAATTGAGCGAAGAATGGCGACCCTTGAAAATCCCAGCCAGCCACAGAGATATCTAGCTGGCATTGACTACCATATCACGCCTCACTTTCCTCGTCACTCGTAGCGTCGATATTCTGCTTCGAGGGACTTGCTACTTTTCCATCCATTTCTTCATCACTTCCCTCAGCAGCGTGGCCCTGGGCCGTATTATCGAAATATTCCGGTCGAGGCAATGATTCACCCTGTTGTTCGAGGGCTTGTTCGATATCAGGAAGAAGTTTAACGAGTGCGGCGAATTGTTCCACCGGTAAAGAAATTCCCTATAGCGTAATCAAATCAGCATGCGTTTTATCTACGGCTATTTGTGTTGCTTTGTATTGTTCAACTCACCTTCTTCCCAGGAAGTTCCTGACCATCTTTCTCATAATATTCCCGCACATTGACCATAGTTCGACCACGGAACTTGGAAACAGTCACACGGCGCATTTTGGAGACTTCCCAGTATTGATCGCCGTTGGAATCGGTTTTGGTTGGCGCGCCTTTGTAGCTCACCCGGCTCTTCTTGGCTTGGGTGTCTTCGGCATCCTGCTGGTCTGAAGAGCGTTTGCGGGATGTCATGGTGATTGGGAAGTATTTGAGTTGTGGAAAGTTATTGCTCGATATCGCAAGAAGCTAGCACAACAGTGTGTTTATGCGAAAGTGGTGTGAGGCTGAAAGGTCGAGAGGAACGCGCTGTAACGCGTCACGGCACGTGGTGATAATGCTATCGCCTTTGCGATGACGTCATATCATCAAGCTCCCATCAGACTAGAGAGTCAACACGCGCAATCCCTGGAGCATAACAGAGAAAACAAATCCCCGAGCAACCGTCTCCACCTGGAGACTATCAAAGATTTTCTCAAGAGCCTCTCGACTAGCGGCAGCACCCATAACACTCGTGAGGGCTTGGGGAATCCCCCCTCTGCACGAATAAGCGTCTTGCCTTGTCCCGTAGTTGAGTCTTTTCCTCCTCGCTCGGGGGTGCAGGCCAGGCAGCCAATTCTTCCTCGGTTGGAAGGGCATTCTCGCGTAGCTTTTTAATATACTCGCCGAGGGCATCGTCCGAGGTGTGGCTTTCGATCATCGAGTCCTGGAGCAAGTCTCGAATTGTGTCTAGTGTAGGACTTCCGGGACGCAGGATATAGGTTTTTGCCGCGTTCAATAGCGTGCGTCGGATGTTCCAGGCTGATGATAATGTGTAGAGCTCGTTTATCACGGCGAATATTAGTTCCACTGCAATTTGTGTTTCGTCTGCTGTGATGGGGGCCCGTGATCGTGATTGCTGGGGGGTATGGTGGATGTTTTCCGAGCTTTCACCTTCGTCGGCACCACTGCCACTGCCACTCTCCAATGAAAGCTTTGGTGACTGCGGTGTACGGGTCTCTTCGTTTTTCTCTGCTTCTGCTATTCCCACGCGATCTGTTGATGTGGAGGAGTTGGCATCCCCCGAAGATGCGAGCGTTGACTCCGAGGCCCATGCGTGTTGCTCAATCTTCGTTGGGTTGACGTTGCTATCAATATCACTCGGTGCTGGCGATTGAGGCTTCTCTTCCTTCCATGCATCCAAAGATAGGCTAGTAGAGGAGGACGAAACGCGGGGTCTATCTTCCTCACTTGACCTAGCCGAGGTAGAGCGAGCATCGATATTTAAGCCCACCGGCGAAGAATTGACCCGGCCCAAATCACTGGCAGAGCCCGAACCCTCCTTAGGGGTAAGAGTAAGATCTCGTTCTGTCTTGGACGGGCTCTTTTGATGCGTGGATCGATCACCAGAGATTGTCGGTTTGCGATTATGACCACCCCCAAAAACGCCCGTAACTCCATCAAACATCGCACGGCCACCTCCAGCAACACCCTTAGGGGCATTTGTCAAAGCACCTAGCATCCCTTTACCCATATTTTCAAAGGCGCTCTGACTAGGGAACGAGAACCCAGACTTGGGAGTACTCTTCTCACCGGGATTCACCTCTTTCTCCAGGAATCGTCGCATACGATCAGTGTCAGCAAGAGACTCATGTCTCACGGCTTCTTGAAGATATCGCTCCAGCTCGTGAGCAAGCTCTTGCCTTGTCTTTCCTTTCCACGGAGGCAGTGCAGGGAACCTGCTGGAGAAACTTTGAATATTATTCAAACGTGAAACTGTCTCTAGCATTTCATGGAGAGACTGGAAGTCGGCATATTTTCTAAATACCATCCAGCCACTGGAGCGGGTAGACGTCGGCTCGACTTGTAACAGGTAATCCCATGTAGGCCGCGACTTGATCGGGCCCCTTTCAGATGTTGCTGAGTCGTCGTCCACTAGGACTTGAGCACCGTGCAGACTCATGGGAGCCGGGTTGTCTTCTCCTGATTGGCGTGCAGCAGCGGGCACGGGCGCGGGCGCGGGCTGCTCGGACGCCGAGGACGATCCGGTCGGGGCATGGCCTTCAATAGCTGCGGAGCTTTGCTCCTGGGAATTGGGGGTAGTACTCGGTGGTTCCAATTCAGGTTCAGCCGAAATACTCGTTCGATCGGGTCGATCCGAATGTATTGATTGATCGGAGGGTACGCTTTGCTCATCATGAGAAGCAATCAAGGCACTCAATCGCTTCGCCTCTAGCAATGCATCCTCCGTTGCTCGGTCCGTTGATTCCGACTTACGCTCCGCGGCCTTCTCTTGCTTCGGCTCAGCGGGGGTCTTTATGGTCTCCGGGGTCTGGGTCTTGGATGCGCCGGCGCCGACGCCTTGATTGCGAGCCCCTTCAACACCCGCGTCGATAGCATGCATAAGTTCAGATTCACCATCCTGAAGAAGGTAGATAATCCAATCATTGATGAACTCGGGCCGAGAAAGGCTAGTGACTGTAGACTCGAGCACGACACCTGCAAAAATTTCCCTTAGGAAGTCTCGGACTGGCGAGCAACGATATGAGTTCGTATCAAGATAATTCGACAAGATGTCATCCGCAATCATGCTCAGCTTCTTTCGCTGTTGCTCCTCGGACAGAACATTTGCGAGACTGCTGTCGGGGGAATTCTCTAGATACTGATCCACGATTTGCTTGGCTTCATGGGGTGAAGACCCCGTAGCCGTAAATGCGGCAGCAAGTTCGTTAAAAAACACAATAATTATAGACGAGGAATTCGTGAGAAATTGTAGGAATGTGTCTTCCGTTCTCTTATGGGAAAGGTGCGATGATACGGCCGTGACGAAATAGGTCAAGGTTCTTCGGCAGGAGGTGGGGAAGATAATATCGTTCGGTAGAATCGGTTTATACCAGTACCTTGAATTTTGTTAGCCGATGCTAGTTTCAAGAAAGGTGCGATCTATTCTCACTTGACATAGTCCTTAATGACTGTATCGGTGAGCAATCTCAGAGCAGCAGCGGTAGCCGGTCGAAAGGTCAAATACTCTAGATCCTCATCTGAAAGATTCTCCGGGGAGGTCGCTAGGGCACCGCTGTCGGGTTTAGAGTCGGCAGTGACAGTGGCAGATGCTAAGCGCTGAGGCCAGTCCAAGAGTCTATGAGAAACCTCCAATGCAAGCTCCTTTCGTTTTCTGGAAGACGTTTCCCCGTTTCCTCCTCTATGGGAAGTCCCTTCCCATGACGCATGCAGGACAACACCTAAGCTGACACCGATAAGCAGCAAGCCAACCCGTCCGAGTATAATGTAGGTGCCGAGCATTAAGAGCGCAAATACGCCAAGGAGGGTTTCATTGCTAGATGTTGAAAGGAAGTCAAGGACATGGTCCATAAGTTCCTTTGTGGATTTCGTGTTGGGGCCATCTTGTTTGGTCGCGTTATCCTGCGTTGCGATAGGAGTTGGTTCCGGGGGGGTTCGCGGAGGGAGCGGCGATCGCATCATTGTCGGATTGGTCCATAGTTAGTCTATAGACATTAGCGAGGGACATTACCCAGGATTGGCAAGGGAGAAGAAACAAACCTCCATGCCCCTTTCGTAGAGGTGGGCAAGTCCAGGGAAAGGTAGAAAGAGGGGAGATGTTTGAATGGGAGGAGGTTCCCAGGCCAAGTTGGCTTCCCCGTGTTCAAGTTGGCCAGTGCGCCACTCTCAAGAACAAGCAATGCAATCAACCAGGATCGGCGGGCCGAGGCACCTTGTGAGATATGATATACTTTTAATCCATAAATTGTAAGAATTGCACGAATATTCGATCAATTAGTCTTCTTCTATTCTTTGTTATAATATCTAATGACTAAAACCTCAGAGATATGTATGTATCCGTTCGTCATTGCCCATGCGGCCGTGGGAAAGCGACCGCGAGGCATTTCAAGCTAAACAGAATGGAAATTCCTCTCCGCTTGTAGAGTGAATCTGGGCACTCAAAGAAAATGCGCTTCATGCCAGATGATTAGATAGCGGTATAAGTCTACGGGGATGCAAAGATGCAAAAAAAGAAAGAAAAAAGAAGAAGAAAAAGATGCAAAAACCTTTGCTTTCGCAAGATCAGATCAAGATCGTGCCCTCACATACTTAGTATGCGACCCCCTGGCAACAAGCACCAGACCGTCATCGGTCTTCTTAGAGATCTCAACCGTAGTAAAAGCAAGGCTCTTGCCCACCTTATTAGCGCGACCTTCAATCTCAAGCCAATCGCCCGTCGTCGCGCCGGAGAGGTAAGTGACATGGATATCAGTGCTTACGCCCGTGGCATCCAACCCCGTCGAGGCGATAGACAGGCCACCCGCCCAGTCGGTCACAGTGGCCGAGAAGGCGCCGTGCAGACTGCCTTTGGAATTGAGTTGACGAGGACCGACTTGGAGTCGGGCCCTCATTACGCCGTGTTCTGCATCATAAACTTCGGCCTCGCTGAGGAGAAACTCGTAGATTGGGCTGTTGGTGCGGGTGCGATCCCATACTTTGAGGACTTGTTGGAGCTCAGCGCTCATGATGGGAGAGATTGAGATGCTTGGAGGGAAGGGAAGAAGAAGGAGAACGGAAGAGAAAAGATGGGAGGGAGGAAAAGAAGGGGAAAAAGAGTCTTCGGGTGGATTCTGTTAACCGAGACTAGGGGCTAGTCCCGATTGGGGATCTCCCATCATGAATAGGGAGAGAGGGACTTGTGAAGAGCTCAGATAAGATGAATATCGAGATACGACGACGCAGTATCAAGCAACATGTACTAGCATAATCATTTGATGAATATACTAAGCATAGGGAAGAAGAGAAGGAAGAACTATGGCACTACATACAGATACTATGCCTGCCCTAGGCATCAAGGCACAAAACACGTGATTCGGCACAGGATGGAATACTTCAAGTTTATCAATTAATCAACCACCTGCCCAGTCAGGATTGGTGCCCAGGTGGTTGTCTGGGTTCTATGAGGTGTGAACTAAATCGAGCTATGCTTCGTTAGGTAGTATTATTTTTCTATGGGAATCTCAACTTGAAATTCTACCTGTTTGAAACAGAAGCAACTTGAAGTTATGAAAAGGCTCCACCTCCTTCCCTCTATATACATGGTAGATATATATTTACAAAATTCTTTCAACACCAAGAAAAAAATGAAACGAAACGAAACCTTGGAACCACCGGCAAATATTGCTTATTTCTTATTCCGATTTCGCGATTCCCGAGACAACATCTGCGAGAGCATGAAGTGATTAACATCCTCATCTCCCCAATATGTGAGGTGGCTGGCAATACTCGCGATGAGGGAAATATCGAATGCGCCCCTGCCGGAAAAAAAAAAGTCAGTTTCCACAATTGTTTTTTTTAAAAAAGAAAAGAGAATACTCAAACTCACTCTTGGATACTATAATCCACCCGACCATTCGAATTCAAGCCGCGCACTTTAGCATCTTCAAACTTCAATTTCCGCTCCTGTTCTTCAGAATCCAGATCATTCTCACTACCCGAAGTAGACTGAGCATGATTCTGGCCCTTCTTTTGACCATCCCGACTCTTCTGAAACCCATCATAAAGAGTCTCCAGATCTCCGTCAATAAGAGTCTGAGGATGATCAGAACCCTGAGAAGAATCCTGATTTGAACCAGACTGCGACCTTTTATGACCGCGATCATTCGCGCCCGCATTCACAGCAGAAGAAACCTCGTCCGCATGTAATCCCAAACTGCGATTTAGCAGACTACTAGCCACGCCAGAAGTAAAGTTACTCCAAAGACTCCCGACACTCTGACCCATACGCGATCCAATAATAGAAAGACTCTGACCCGACTGCGTCCATATACTCTTCTTGACAGAAGGCAAAGGCTGAGGCTTGAGACTAGCCATGGCCGGAGAAATGAGCGGCTCGAGACGATAACTAACCGGATCAGAGGGGTGAAAAATGTTATACAGATCGCGACATTTGGGCGTCGAGATGATGGCCGAATTATCAATGGGTCCGCGGCCAGCGTGACTTTGTGAGTCGCGCTTAGAAGAGTTGAGCGATCGGATGGCTTTGGCGTCAAATTCGATGTCTAGGGCACTTTTGCGTTTTCTCGTTCCAAGAGGCGAGTAACCGGCAATTGTTTTTCCCTTAAGCATTTGGAACAACGCGATTGGAGACCCCAGGCAAAAGAACTCTTCACATTCAAAGCTCAGCTCGCTTTTCTCTTCCTTCCACTGATCGGCGAGGTCGTCACCTGGAGCTGTGAATTTTGTCTTGGGAGACTCGGACGTTTTTTGGTGGCAGAGGATGTCGAAAAGAATCGCGCTGCCTAGAGAATGACCACACAGGCTCACGGTGCCGTTGAATGATGGATTTCGCTGCTTGTAGAGCCCGACTATTCTGTTGCACTCTTGTTTCACGATGTTGGAGATGTGCTCGCAATAACCGCTCTGGTATAAGAGGACATCCATGGCTAGGTCGGATATCAGGTTCCGAACAGCCGGGACGCTTTCGAGCGTGATATCCGCCAGACTGGGGTATGCGTCATCATCGACGGTGTCGGCGTCGGTCAAATCAAGTTCCTTTCGGTTCTGTCGGACTCCGCGGTAGGGGAAATCGAGTAGATGGCGCCAGCAGCTGTCCATAGATATTAGTTTAAGCCAGAAACAAAAACAAAAGCATTTTTTGGAGCGATTGTTTTTGCAAAGATGACAAATAAGCACTGTACTCACACAGGAAGAACCTGAACACGACAATTACCATCGTGGTCCGCAAAGGCTGCATTCAACGCCTGAAGATCCGGTGAAGCCTTATAGACAGTCTTGAGTGTCTTGCGAAGCACATTCACATCGTGTATGAAGTTGATACTCTCGAGTCGCAGGCCAAGCCGTTGACCAATACCATGAGTGACAAGGATAATATGATCGACTTCTCGCTCTCGATCCTCACCATCAACTTCTCTCAAGTCTTCCATCTCCTGCTCCTCCTGTCTACGAGCTTGTTCCTCTAGTTCAGCCGGGTTTTGCGGTTCACCTGCTAGAGACGACATTTGCCGCTCCAGTGTTGACTGTGGTCGCCTGATATCTGGTTTGTCGACTTCCGTTTGCCCTTCTATTCCATCTGTCCCGCTAGACTGGGGGATGGGAGTCTCTGTAAAGGTAGTAGAAGAGGGGACCTCGGGTGTTCTAGCGCCGGAGGATTTCTCGACGGGCTTTCGATCTCGATCTCGTTCGCGGAGATCAGATGGTTCTCTCGAGCGTTTGGGCTCGACTAAACCGCGGACTACTTTATTGCCTGGGGCACCGCCGAGTTTTTGATATACGGTGGTGCTAACACGGGACATGAAGTCGTCAGTAGTGACCCAAGCCGTTGAGGAGTCTTGATAGGCCACGATTCTATTCATGTAGGCTCCGAAAAGTCGGTACTGACGAGACTCCATCGTCGAAGAAGCGGGTATCTTTCCAGTACCCTGTGAACGAGATGACTTTGATGTTGATGGTTCCGAGTATTGTGTTTGTGTTCCGGACTCTGCACTGCCATCCGTACGGTCACGGTCACTAGATCGATCATGCTTCGCCGATGTCGCAGGGTCTCCAGAGCTGGCCTCTGCTGCATCCGCTCTCCAAGGTCGCAGCTTGAGATATCCTTCTTCCAATTGTGTTGCTAGATTTTCCTCGCAGGGCTTCAGATTCGACCCATCCTGAAAGAACCACGTCCCTCGCCGAACTTCATAAACAGGGCCAATCCAATAAGCCGGGCTGAGCTCCCGTTGTGCAACATCGACATCGAACAAATAATCTTCGTTCACAGCGACCTTGGTGGAAGCCCGTGCCCGTTTTTGTTTTTGTTGTTCATCCTCTTGTGGTGCCTGACCGTGGCCATGATCGCGAGTATCTTCATCTTCGATAAGATTCTGGAAAGTAGATTCGATCGACTGCGAATCCTTCAGCGAGAAAGGAATGAATTTCTTCGGCGGGGGTAGCGGTTTCTGATCAGTTTTCTTTGCATCGTTCAAGGATGGTTTCCGCTTCGGTGAATCCACGGCGTAGAACCATCTCGCCTTTAACGGAGGACAGTCGGATGGGTAATGGCGCTGGCCTAGCTTGTGTCGGTGTGTCACGGTATGGTCTTCACCCTGTGAACGCTGCAAGACATCCGAGCCAGAGCCGGAATTATTATTATGATCTGCAGGCTGAGGGGTTGAGCTCCTGGGGGTATTCCATGGGGAAAATGTTCCCAGAAATGACTTTTGGTCGGTGCCCGCCATAAGCGTTGGCGTTGGACGCGCCCGTCGCAGGGCCACGTAGCGAAGCAGCGTGGCAGGTAAGTTGGAGATATTTTATAGGAATGAGCAGGAGGATAGTTCGAACAGTTTAGAGTCTCATTCAATGGCCGATCGTAGGTGTCCCGGGGCCATTGTAAGTAAAAGAAGTGGGCGGCGTGGCAGGTGTTGGCGGCGGAGGGCGCGGGTTGCCTGGAGATCGTCCCGCATGATGTAAGAACAAGCTAGCGTGTGATCTCCACCTCCACCTCCATCTGGTTCCAGTACGAGTAGTCCAACCAACTCCAATCTAAGCCCACGCCTTCATCACCTGCTTGAAAAGGGTCCAACCAACCGAGGTAGAATGGATCACCCTCGCTGTGCGGCATGGAGGGTGGGGCTCGTGATTTGACCTCTGTCGAGGTCGGTTCTTGATTTTGCTTGTTCAAAGTCGCCATGATCGCCTGTGCGACATACCGTGCATCTCGACTGGCGAGAGACTTTTCAATACAGATGGCATGGGCCTGGCTCAAAAGAGACAGAATTGAATCTGCAGTCGTAGGATCAATGACCGATAGACCGAGGCTCAATTTCTTTCTGCGAATATGAATGGCCAAACAAAGCACCATGGCCCCCAATAAAAAGTCGTTCATCGTGAAATTAGTGAGCATCCAACGTTCTCGATGGAGTTGACCGCCAGATGAAAACTCTCGATATATATCGATGAACTGGCTGACTAGTCGCTGGCCCGCCTCCACACAGGATCTGGTACTGAACAGGTTACCTCTTGTCATGTACTTGCGGTGGAAGACACACAGGCTCTTCAGATAGATGAATTCTACGTAGATGCGGGTCATCACGAGGAATGGTGGATCTGAGATCGAGTCTGCTAAAGGGCGAGTTCGTAAAATTTCCGGAATAGTTGTATACATGCGCCGAATTTCGCCGTCAAGTTGGAGGATCTCGGTCTCGGATTTCTCCGTAAAGCTCAGCGTGTCCCGACATACCTTTCCAAAGCTGACCATTTGGCGATTCTTAACGATGAACCACAACAGACCAATGGCTTCAGTTTCGGACCGAGATGGGGGTAAGACCTGAGTGTCCTCGTCGAAGTCGGAGTCTGACAGGTTCCTCGGTGACCGCGTGTCACAGTTCTCGGGGCAGATATTGCTAGGAAGACCCAGTTGAAAAGAAACCATGAGGTCAATCTGTATACAAAGGGCCCAGAAACGCCGACGCATTTCCCCGTCAAATACACTCATAGTAGATCCAGATCCTAGAGAATCTGGATCTCGGTGATATCCCATCTCATATGCCATCCGCACAATCATGCCAAAGATAGCACCGACTTCCCGGGACGGATCAAGGCTTTGCATATTGATACAGTGAGCATAAAGCGTCAATGCTTCAAGCACATATCGCTGCGGGTGATGATATTCACCCTTGACAAGACATTTTCCCGCTGCTTCCTGGAAGTGGGAGACTTCAGCAATGACATCTTCTTGTGTCGTTGGGGCAATTCCAATGGTTCCGCGAACCATACTAGCCACCGAGCAGATAGAGAAGAGCATTGACAACCACAGAGGATTCGAAATTACCGGGTCTTCCCAGAATGCGCGATGCTGCCGCTGGAATTGAAATGTATGGATGAAAGGAATGATGAACGTTTCTCCCTGGAAGTAGACTGCGAGCAGCCGGTCGACTTCGATTTTTGGAGGCAAGTACTGCGAAATGATCGTTTCCATGGAGTAGTTACTCGAAGATCCGAATATAATCATATCTCTACCGATGGCCGGAGTTGTCGATGACCTACTAGCTGGTTCAGGCTCGGGAGAGTCATCTTGTTGGCTTAAAGCGGCCCTCAACCCTTGAATATCATCAAGTATCGCAGACCAATGGGTCGAACCAACATATCTAGCTCCATTTTCGCCATCTCTGATCTGAACTGGTACCCGTGGATCGGAATCAATTGATTGACCTTCGAGGAGAGGTATTGTGTGGTCGACGGATGGGTTAGATGAAGCAGAGGTTGAGTCTTGCATGAGACCCTTGACCAATGACTCCAAATGCGCAAGTCGATCTTCTGCCGTGTCGGGCTGGTTGGGTCGAGGAAAAGTACGCTGATAGGAGCAAAGGGCAGCATCATCTTTTCTCACGCACGAGCCACACGGTCTTTGAAGATCACAGCGAAGTTTTGCCTTGCGGCACTGGGTGCACGCTTGAGATTCGCGGGGCCGCTTAGAGGCGCCACCAGCGTCCTTGCGAATTCTGAATTTGCCCGTTAGGCTAGAGAAGTCAGACATTTCCTTCTAGCATTGGTAGGAATTCAATTATGGCTCGATCTTTCATACGGAAAGGGTAAGACCGGGCCAAAAAGAGGTGATGACTGCCCAAGGCTGCCCCGCATCGACGACGTTACCCATGGATCCTCCAATCCGAATGGAGGCGCCTAGATATTGAGCCAAAGTATTGAAGGAAGGGGAAAGAGCTGTTCGATCACATAGCTATCAATTATGGGCAATTTATCGCATGACCAAAAAAAGAAACTTGGTATCCTTTCAAGGAAATTCAACTCGGCCGACCGAATTTCCTTTTTGGGGTAGCTCGGCGTTATGAAGCTAGCTTCCCCGAAATCCTCAGGTCCTTCCAAAGGTTGCACCATGTCTTGGAGCGAATTCAAGCATGCTTGACGGAGAATTGGCGTTATCGCCGAGAAAATGATATATGGCAGGTCGCCTTATTACTACTATTTAAATAAACGCATTGGGTCTCGTCTCTGGCTATAGTTCATGCTGCACTGATAAAATTTCTTTGATATACTAGTATCACAAGATCTCGAAAATGTCTAACTCGATCGTCTTTATCACCGGTGCTAATACTGGTCTTGGCCTAGAAATTGTCAAAGCCTTGTTTCGGTCCTCCAAGGCATATACAGTTTTGCTTGGAGGGCGCAGCATAGAAAATGCCGAGAACGCAGCATGCCAGGTACGGGAGGAGTACCCCGACAGTAGTGCAATTGCTGTACCGATACAGGTTGACATTGAAGATGACGAGTCAATTCGGACGGCGTGTGACTACATTCGCAGTCATTATGCACGAGTGGACGTGTTGATCAACAATGCAGGTAAGGCTGTCATTGACCTGGACCTGGACCCTCGATGAGCTAGCTCTGCTTTACCCCGATCTAGTGAACTGACGAAGACATAGGCGCTTCATTTGACCAGCAATGGAATCGTGATCGTGATGGTGGACCGACGATGCGAGAGGTATGGAATCGCTCATGGAATGTCAACACAACCGGGACTCACATTCTGACCTACACCTGCGCACCGCTTCTGCTCCAATCGGACGATCCTCGACTTCTCTTCATCACCAGTGGTACTTCCACTCTGGCCGAGAGTGATAACGTAGTGCTGGGAGTCAATCGTTCTCCGGAGAAAGGGTGGCCTAAATCGAGTCTCATGATTCCCGCCTATCGGTCTAGTAAGACTGGTATGAATATGATGATGCGCGAATGGACGCGGATTTTGAAGGAAGATAGAGTCAAGACATGGTGCGTGTCGCCGGGGGTTCTGGCTACAGGGCTAGGCGGCGATCAGGAAATGAATAAGCGGATGGGGGCGATCGATCCGATAATTGGCGCGGAGTTTGTGCGGGATGTTGTGGAGGGGGCACGGGATCAGGATGTTGGGCGAGTTATCCGTCGTGGTGATATTCAGCCATGGTAATAATGGAGGCAGAAAGGGAAGGAAGAATGTTGGTGCCTCTCTTGATACTGTAGTGTTAGCAAGCACTAGTATAGTAGTACATCACTGGCAATCATATATCCTCGACGTCATTCTAGACAAGGCAGCAAGGGTGAGTTGGGGGCGTAAGTGGAAAACAAGAAGGCGGTATGAACGAGGCACTTCTGTTTTGTATGAGGACACCAGCTGTTGGAGAAGTATCAGACCCGCCGACGCGGAGTGGCCGGGGGTAAACAATACCGGTAATTACAGTACGTGGCTCAGAGGAAACCCCACCTGGTGATTGTGTATAGCGTAAGTCGGAAGTCGTAAAGTCGTATTCGTAGCCTTAAGCCTTTCCTCTTGCACTGCCCAGCAACTTCCTTCTACCCAATTCCTTCTTGGCTCGTGCCACTTCTCGTTGCCTGGCATTCATCTACTTCTTCTTCCTTCACTACCCCAGGGAGTCTCTGTCCCTTTGCCCCCTTCTTCCTTGCCCCTCCCCCTCCCCCCCCTCCGTCGAGCCAAAGCTCTCCGACCGCTTGCGCCCGAACGGCTTACCCCTCCACATTCATCATGAATGTCCTCAAGCTCCAGAAGTGTGTATTCACCATATTCCATATGAAAGCGCAATGTTCCAACGACCCATTGCTAACCATGGGCACCTTTCTTTCAATTTAGGCGGTTTCCCCAGCTGGACCAGGGCGAGATTTTCTCCCTCCAGGATGCATTCCGTAAGCTTGATGTCGATGACCGCGGCTACTTGGACGAGGCATCCGCAATCAAAGCCACTCAACAATCCGAGCGACAGCCTTATGACGTTGTGCGCCAGACCCTGAAAGGTGTGGAGCTGGATAGCTCTCGCCGCGTGGAGCTCGAGGATTATATCGATGTACGTGGTCTAACAGCTTACTCGGGTTCACTTTGCGTTGAATAGATGAGAACTTGAACTAACAATCTACCAGCTGGTTGCTAGGCTGCGCACTGGACCTGCGGCTGGCGCCCCGGGGGCTTCCCCCACCGCTGTCATCCAAGGAGCTGGAGCCGGTGCTGGCGCCGGTGCTTCCCGCCATGTTTCCAAGGGTAGCGTCGGTGGTAAGATCCACGTCCAAGGATCTTCGTCAAATGTCACCCACACCATCAACGAAGATGAGCGAACCGAATTCACCAGACATATCAACGCTGTTCTGGCCGGTGACCCCGACATTGGCGACCTCCTGCCCTTCCCCACCGATACATTCGAGATGTTCGACAAGTGCAAGGATGGTCTGGTGCTCGCCAAGTTGATCAATGACAGTGTTCCCGATACCATTGATGAGCGTGTTCTGAACAAGGCCGGCAAGAAGATCAAGCAATTGAACGCTTTCCACATGACCGAGAACAACAACATCGTCATCAACTCCGCCAAGGGCATCGGCTGCTCTGTCGTCAACATTGGAAGTGGAGACATTATTGAGGTTCGCGAGCACTTGATTCTGGGTCTTATCTGGCAGGTCATTCGACGTGGTCTGTTGGGCAAGATTGATATCAAACTACACCCTGAACTCTACCGCCTTTTGGATGAGGATGAGACCCTCGAACAGTTCCTGCGCCTGCCCCCAGAGCAGATCCTTCTCCGCTGGTTCAACTACCACCTCAAGAACGCCAAGTGGGACAGACGGTATGTGCTTTGAAAAATGCAGCAGCAAGATAGTGACAAATTCTAACAATGCTATAGGGTATCCAACTTCTCCACCGATGTCAAGGACGGCGAGAACTACACCGTTCTCTTGAACCAGTTGGCACCAGAGACCTGCTCACGCAGCCCTCTACAAACCCAAGACCTGCTTCAGCGCGCGGAGCAAGTTCTTACCAATGCGGATAAGCTTGACTGCCGCAAGTTCCTGACCCCGACATCCCTAGTTGCAGGAAACCCCAAGCTGAACCTTGCCTTCGTTGCCAACCTCTTCAACACACACCCCGGACTGGACCCCATTACCGAAGAGGAGAAGCTTGAAGTTGAGGACTTTGACGCAGAGGGCGAGCGTGAAGCCCGCGTTTTCACTCTTTGGTTGAACTCTCTCGACGTGCAGCCAGCTGTCAACTCGCTCTTCGACGACTTGCGGGACGGAAATGTTCTGCTGCAGGCATACGACAAGGTCATCCCTGGAAGTGTAAACTGGCGCCACGTCAACAAGCCCCCTGCCAACGGCGGCGAAGTGATGCGATTCAAGGCCGTCGAGAACACAAATTACTCCATCGAACTCGGAAAGCACCACGGCTTCTCGTTGGTCGGTGTCCAGGGCGCCGATATCACCGACGGCCAGCGCACTCTCACCCTCGGCTTAGTATGGCAACTGATGCGTCGGGATATCACCAGAACCCTTTCCGCACTGGCCCAGCGCCTAGGCAAGCGCGAGATCACCGATGCAGAGATGATCCGCTGGGCAAACGACATGTCCAAGAGCGGCGGCCAGTCCTCCGCCATCCGCAGCTTCAAGGATTCATCCATTGGAACCGGCCAGTTCTTGTTGGATGTCCTTAACGGTATGAAGAGCAGCTATGTTGACTACGACCTTGTTACGCCCGGACGAACGGACGAGGATGCCTACGCCAATGCCAAGCTTAGCATCAGTATTGCTAGAAAGATGGGTGCGACCATTTGGTTGGTGCCAGAGGATATTTGCCAGGTTCGCTCGAGACTGGTTACTACCTTCATTGGTTCCCTTATGGCTACGCATGAGAAGATGTAGATCAGCAAGCATGCACTGTGGACTGTCATTTTACTTTACACATATCCATTTTCCCGTGAGGCGTTGCTGTCTCGATCGCAAAGTACGCTATACCATGGCTATGCCATGGCCTGCAAACAAACACAAACAAATACCTTTTGACTACGCTTTTTTGTTTCCGATGCATGTATATCTGATTTAAACATGGCGAACGAGAGGACTGGCTCGAAACCAAAAATTTCACATGTTAATTCCATTAGCTCTTATTTCCTAAGTTGTAACTAAAGCCTAAAGGTGCTGATTAAACCAAACAACAGCCTGAGTAAAAGCAGACTCCTTCGCAAAGCGAATAATAGGCTTGGTAATATCAGCGCGAACAGCGAAGCCGTGCTCAACGCCGCTGAAAAGATTGATTTGATAGGGTTGGCCTGTTTTTAGCAGGATTTCTTCGGATTCGTGTCGTTTGGGCGTTGGGAAGATTGAGTCCGTTTCTGCGATATTTTGTTTTAGTCAACTTGCTTTTTTTGCGAAAAGGAAAAAGGTGGAAGTGGAGATATGTGTAGGTATAGGTGTGAAGTGACTGAACTAACCGGCAGCTGCAATAGATAGAGGTCCTTTAATGGCTGCTAGTTCATCGGCCTCGACGAAACTAGGATGAGCGACGTAGGAAACGTCGATGTTGCCGGGTTGAAGGAATCTGACAGCATATTTGGCCTGTAACAATGCAAATGCAAGTCAATAAGCAGAAATGTAAATTTAGGACTAGGAGTAGAGAAGTGGAAGTGGAAGTGGAAGTCACTTACGCCAAAACAATACCCAACACCCCCAATCCGCTCACAACCCAGATTGGACTTCATCTCCTTCAACACAGCCTTCACCACCGGATCCACACGCTCAGTCAGATGGCCCGGCGGACCATTTAGCCACTTCATCAGATCGAAGCCTGGCGGACGGTTCTCGGGTACGGGGTCTATCGGGTCGCCGTGGAATAGATCGGGCATGACGACGAAGTATCCATTTGCGGCGAATTGGTCTGCGATTAACTGAGCGTTTATGAAGCGGTGGCCGATTACGTCTGTTAGGAGGAGGATTGCGCGTTTTGTTTGGCGGTTTGAGGGGTAGGAGAAATAGACCTCGACTATAGATGTGGGTTAGGAAATAATTATTTGCGTAGAGGAGGGCCCTCGGGGAAGATAGTAGTAGTAGTACACCCAAGGACTATAATACGCACCATCGCCGACCTGTTTAATCTGGCCCTTGGCTTCGCCTTCGTGCTTTACACCAATGGTGCAGCAAGCTGCAGGGGGGTTGGATGCCATAATGATTGGGTGATGGAGATGAAGTTTGGAAGTATTTCAAGTCACAATGAGATCAGAGGAGATTAGAGAAACGAAAGATAAATGTGGGGGAAGCCAAGATGCGGGGCTCCTTATATGCCGATCTCTGATCTAGGTTACAACTGGGGTACGTACAAACCCGAGGTCTAGTACTACCCTAGGGTAGTCATATGATTAGATACAAACTGCAAAGAAAACTAGGTCCCATAAATATCCCCAACCAAAAAACAACATTCCCCACCAATTGACGATCCCGCATGAACCGGGTTCGACTTAGAGATACCAGCGGTAATTGAGACATTTGTAGAATCAACAAGTAGCCCCGCAGACGGCGGAAGATACATAACATGATGAGTTCATGTACACAAGCGGACAGGAAAAATGTGACCAAGCTCGCCGAGACCCGTGAAAGATCGAACGTGCTGATAGAGCTATGGTAGACGTGTCGGAGTAAGAAATTGTGTACAGGCCGATTCCAATCGCGGGCAAATTGGTCCCAGGAAACCGAGTTCCACCAGTCGGCGTAAAACCCGCGATCGGCGAATTGGGTGATTTCTGCCAGGGCATTTAACTGTTCAGGAGATGTGAGTAATAAATATGGAAACTGGATTAAATAGTAAAACAATATGTGCATAGGAATCAAACTCACCACACACTCCCAAATAACGTAAAAAGCCAACAAATACTCCATCATAAAGGGAAACAGTAGATCACTCAACACCCAGGGGAATTCCTGGAGCCGCTGCTCAACCGTCATCCCTTCTTGCTCCATGCGCAGAACTGACATAACAACAGGATAAATCCAGTGTTGGGAAATGACAATCATAACCACGATAGTACCAAATGTGGCAGCAGTCTTTTCCACAACATAAGCCCAGTCAATGCGTTCCGTACGTGGATATTCCAACTCATATACCAGCGTAGGCAGGGTGATGAAATCGCAAAAGTTGCCAATTGTGAGATTACCCGGGTAAGGATTGCTCGATTTGGATTGGCCTTTGAGTGCTTGGGTCAATAACTCGATCTCTTTTTCGAGCAGAGACTTGAGTGACATCATTTGTCTCGGTGCCAGGGGTGTTCCATTTTCAATTGTCTCGGAAAGTAGAAGGAGGTGATCAGTATCATGAGAACTATCACTTTGGATATTTTTCAAATCAATCGAGCGCTGTCGTGAATTTTGTCGCTTCAAGCTGGCGATTTCGGAGCCAAGGCCTTTGCTTACTGCAGATGTTTGAGCTCCGGGGACGGCGGGCTTCTTGCTCTGCTTTTCCAATCGGCCAAGGCGAGTTATTAGTAGCTCTCGCTTGTGGTATAATTCAGACACTATTTTGGTTAATAAATATAGGTGTAAGAGAGTACAGGGACATTTTCATACAGTAGCCATTGTAAGATGCATAGCTGTGTTGCTTCATCAGCATCGCTAAACAATGCAGAACCGTGAAAACAGTATGAGTCCATGCCCAGTCACGATGGTAAGTCCACCAGATGAAACCAGCAAGGTATGCTGTTTGCCAAATCTAGCAGTCCCCGGATTTGTCAACACAGTTCGGATAAAGAGCCCTGGATAGGGGGGGAGAGAGAGAGAGAGAGAGAGAGAGAGAGAGAGAGAGACCCAATCTTGACCACCTACATGTTGAATGATCCACCCTAGGCCATTCCAGCGAAGATAACCCTTCAGCAGTACTCGCTGTAGTCCTAGACAGAAAGTCGTACACCAACACAGAACAAAATCCGTCAAACCGAGCACCAATACATCCTTATGAAACATAAGGCGCACAATCTCATTCTGAGCCCAAATCGTCCCATGGTCCCTCCAGTTGTTCGCAGCAACTTTAACCAAGAGTAGGGCAACCCCAAGCCAGAATAGCGTGAAGAAGCCCCGAAACTGCGATGAGCTCAAGCTTGGATTCTGACGGTCAAAAGTGCTCAACTGCCGGGTGAACTCCAGGTCTCGAAAACGATGCAGATGTCTCCCTGAAATGCCGGATCCTTCTAGATGTAGTAGATTTTGACGGAGAATGTCTTGTAATAGTTCGGCGTCCTCTGCCTTTAACAAATACTGGTCACCCTTAACCTCGACCGGTATACTCGGTCGCTTTCTCGTGTCTTCGTCAGCGTCAGCCCCAGCCTCATAGCTTGAGCTAAAGGTTGAGTCAAGCTGCCCTTGCTGGGGACCAGCTAGCTTGTCACGTCGTACACTCATTGTAATGACTGGACTGCTAACGTGGAGGTTCTCAGTTAAGCAGGCATCAGTGGTTCATACTTGAAGAATGCAAAAGGAGTCGGATGGTTTGGTTCGTGTGGTCGAGCCGAGGGATAAAGGGCATATGACGTGGGTACTTCGGATAGAGTTCTAGTTAAGATTCTGGGGAAATAAAAAGACTAAAAAAAAGACTAAAAAATAGAAAAAATATATAGAAAATTAGAGAAATCTAGAAAACTAAAAGAAAAAGAAATAGAATTTCTTCCCCCCTGTCACTACTACTAGTTGTTTGCACTTGTTGTGTTGGCTCGGGCGGAGAAGCCAAGAGGAGAAGCTGCGACACCCTGAAACCCAATCCCCTCAACCTCGCCTCCACCCACCACACTGCCAGCTCCCAGAAACCACCCTTCTGTATTCAATTGCGCATTCAATTGCGACCAATCCAAAAATGGATACCCCCCAGGTACAACTTCCGGGCCCCGAAAACCCAGGCACGCAGAATGCGGCCAACAACTCCAACTCCAACTCCAACGAGGTTGAGATGACCGATAGCCACAATGCTGCAAATCAGATCGAGGAGACCCAAGCCGCTGAAGATAATACCCTGCCTGATGCGCAAGCCGAACCTGAGCCTGAGGCCCCAACCCCCGCAAAGAAGAATGCGGGTTTCAATTTCCTGGAGTAAGTAGTTGCGATATTGTTGTGAACCTGAATAATATGCTTCTTCCACTTTCCTCCCAACTACATAACATCTCTGGGTAATGCAATGACAGTCATCAAAATGCATGCTAATCCCACACCCTCTAGCTTCCTGAAATCTCCAATCGTCGAAATCGCCATCGGCGAAGGTGTCAACCAGACCATTCTCACAGCGCATCAAACACTCCTCATTGAATCACCCTTACTTTCCGAATTCGTGAATAAATTCGAAGCATCAGGCCCGGTAAGCACTTATTTATCCTCCCGTCAAGGCTTGGCCTTTCACGCTGGTACATACCTAGGTACTTATATATACTGACTGAACCACCAGCGCCGCATCGCCCTTCCCGCAGAAAACGTCGATGCCTTCAGCTGTTTCCTTGAATTCCAATACACCCACGACTACACGGTAACTCAGCGCTCGATCCCGGCCGAATCTTCAGAAATCAAAACCAGCGATAACACCGGCGAACAACTTCTCCGCCACGCGCGTGTCTACACCCTAGCAGAGAAACTGGGCATGCCTTCCCTGAAGCGTCTTGCTCACACAAAGATCCACCAAGTCAACGGCACCCCCAGTGGCGAACTTGCATACGCCCGTTACGTCTACACCAACACACCCGAAGACGACACTACGATTCGAAAGCCCGTTGCTTCGTACTGGGCTGGTCGTAGCCATACCATGCGCCACGCAATTGAAGACGAGTGGAAGAAGATCTGTCTTGATATTCCTGAATTTAGCTTCGATGTTTTGACTATGGTTCTTAATAAGAAGGAGAAGGCTAACAATGCCGAGGCAGAGGGGACGCCGAGGGGACGGGGTCCTAAGCGACTCCGCAGTGAGAAGTAAGGTTGGTGGAGAAGGTCGCGGTCGCCTGTACAATTCCTGTACAATTTCTATGAAATCGTATGGTTCGTACTAGTATTACATCCCCTGTTTATTGATCACTAATATGGATCTATGAGCCTTTGGATCGATTCGAATCGAACCTCGTGTTAACGAGAAGAGACAGTCAGATTATTCATTCTGATCATTAGCTCTATGTGAAATTAGGCTAGGCTATCTGCTCTCTATTTATTGAGCCAGGGCCTCAATCTCTTCAATGGCCTTGGGGGCCGAGGTCAAATTGTCATGACCATCTTTAGTGATGTGAATATTGTCCTCGATACGGACACCTCCGACATTCCAGTACCGTTCCAGGACAGCGGCGTCAATGTATTTGCCCGTCTCCGGGTCATTCAACACCGGGTCGATAATGAAGCGGCAGAAATAGATCTAAGAAAGATCAGCATAATCCTCTCGGGGGGTGGGGGGGATTGAACAAAAAAAGCAAGGCTCTCGAACAATCTTAACTTACACCAGGCTCAACAGTAATGACCGAACCCGCAGGCAAGATCCCCCTCACACGCAGGTACCGGAACATCTTATCAGAATCAGAATAGTTAGGATAACCACCAGTATCATGAGTATCCATGCCAAGATAATGGCCCAGACCGTGCGGGAAAAAGGCCACACTAATCCGTTTCTCGAAGAGCTCCTCCTCACTGCCAACAAGAATACCCAACTTAAGCAAACCCTTGATAGCAACACGGTGCGCATGCGCATGGACATCATCCCAGCGCACTCCTTCCTTCAACATGCCAATACACTCGCTCTGCATCTGCAGGACGATCTCGTAGATCTGGCGTGTCTCAGTAGGGAACGTCCCATTTAACGGAACAACACGAGTAATATCCGCACAGTAGCTCCGATATTCACCACCGGCATCGATGAGCAAATTACCTTTACGCTGCTTAGTCTCCTGATCAACGAGATACTCATCATTCTTAACATAATGCAGCGTCGCACCGTTCGCACCACCCGCGAAAATAGGGTGATAGGACTGTTCCCGGCATCCGTTCGCGATACATCCGCTCAACCACGCAGCCTCCAACTCGCGCTCATTAGTCGCGGCCCGGGCCGCCTTAGCGATGGCGATATGGCCCTTGGTCGAAATGTCGTTCGCTTTGCGGAGTAAGGCTACCTCGTACGCGTCCTTGACGACGCGCGCATCCTCGATGACCTTCTTCAGGTCTGTCAGGTTGGGCTGCGCGAATCCGTCGAACTTGATGTCCGAAGAGACTTGCTCGCCGATAGCGAAGGCAATGGTCTTTCCGGCCTGCGCGCTGGCGATCTTGGCCAGGGTGGCGTTGACGTCGGTGGTATATTGGACGTGGTCGACATCGTAGAGCTTGGCGGCTTCTTCGAGGGAGAGAGGGAGACCGGACCAGATGACGGAGTCTGGGTCGATGGGGGGAATGAACAAGGTTAGTTCGTCGGCCTTGATGTCGTAGACCATAGACGCATCGGGTTCGGGACAGCCGGTCAGGTAGAAGAATGGACGACGTTGTCTATATGATTATAATTAGCTTCAGCGGCTAATATCCAAGCTTGTACTCCGTAGGTGTACTCCGAGCGTCTAGGTGTAGTGTAAATATTTACCTAAAGGGTTGAGCCTCGTCGTTATCTTCAATCAGACGAGTTTTTTGCGCCTCGAGGTAGATGGCGCCGGCATCTTGGGCCTTGAGAGCTTGGGCAACCCGGCGGGCGTGAGCCTTGCCGGGGTACTTGGCAGCGAGAATAGCATCGACGGTCGCCATGATGAGCAAGATTGAATTGATGTTAGAACCAGAATCAGAATCAGGCACTCGAACCAGGAAAAGGAAAAACTTGACAGCTGGGGGAGGCGGGGCAGGTAGTAATTATTGATGGATCGATGGATCCTCGGTTGCATTGCTGCGGGGCCTCCCAATAGAACTGCCGGCGATAAGCGGTCTGAGCTTGAGCTTGCATTGGCAATTGGCATTGGAATTGTATGAATCATAACACATCAAAATTCAACTATTAACATGGGATATCATTGCAACACAAAACGCCCCCAGCAGAAAACTTATGCCTCTCCTTTCCTTTAAATCTCCGAACCGGACACATCCTCAAACTCCATTTCCCATTGATCGATCTCTGCAAATTTCAACGTTGCGGCGCGCAACTCGGCACTTGTAAAGCGACGAGGTGTTCTGTTTCCTGCTCCCGTATTAGACTCGGCATCCGAGTCAGGTACAGAAGACAAGGGGGACCCTGATCGCGATAGTTGAAATTCATTCTCCTTATCAACTCCCCCTTCTCCCCTTGAGCGCGAGTAAGTCGTCGTCGCGGGTTCTTCTTCTGGCGCCGCTGCTGCCGCCTTTTTGCCTCTAGGCTTTCTCTGCTTCGGATTGTTGAGCTTGGACTTATCATGGGAATTCCGTAGAGGCCTAGGCTTAGCTGGAGCCGAAGCTCCTCGCGATTGAGACCGAGACCTCCTTGAGGAAGTGGGACGACTGAGCTCGTCGTCGTCACCCGATGCGGCATCGTGCGTACTACCGTCGTCGCTATCGTCACTAGACCCGTCATGTTGTTCTCCAGCATCTCGCTGTCTCAGACGACGTAACCTTCGCCGTGGAAGTAGTTTGTTTTGTAGCGCGGCTGTGGACATATGCGCGGAATCCTTGGGTCGTCGTTTACCCGAGACCTGAGGAACGACCAATGGTGAACGCGGGGCCGTAGCAGCAGTGCTTGCAGGACTACTGGCAGGCGGTAGGAAAGTTTGACTTAATATATCAGAGAACCGTGGAGGTTGGGGTGTTTCTCCTTCTCGCTGGGACTCTTCTGGGTAGGTATTGCGTGGGATTGGCGTAGCACTCGGTGTATCGTCGATTTGATTGATCTCTTCGTCCTCGATCTGGCTTGCTTTTGGAGCCGATGACCGTGGCACTTGTATTTGTACTTCAATTTTCGCGAAGCGTTTACGCTTGCGCGAGCCGGCGGAGTCGGAGGACGGGAGAGATTGAGACGGTGAAGGTGAAGGCGACTGCGAACCCGATGGTGATTCCTCTTGCTCATCTGGTTTCACCAGTAATGATTTACCACGAGGGCGATTCAAAGGCGTCGATTCATCCTGTGGACTCAATCCACCCAGAAAATCATCATCGTCCAATTCCGAAGACCCATCCTCCGCCTGCACCATCTGCAAAATACTCTGTTGGCGCGGTCGTCGTCGAAAATTGCTCAGCATTGACGTGTCGAAGCTAGGTGTACCGGGGATTCTGGAATTCGCATTCGCATTCGTCTCCCCTTTGCGCCCAGCCACGGACATGGTCGAGGAGTAACCGCGCGATCTGGTGGGAGGTCGACTCGCTGTTCCCGGTCGACTGCCTGTTCCTGGCCGGTCGCCGGTGGGAGATGACTCGATCGCGTGGTCATGATTCTTTGCTAGAGGTGTTTGTCGCGGGTCGACTGAAGGCGCGCGCCGCTCGGCGGGGGGTGATTTTGCGGTTGTTTCATTTTGGTCGGGCTTGGGCGCATTTGCCTTGGTGGCTTTGGGTTTGGTTAAGCGATTTCGTTTGGGAGCTGGGCGTGGCATGATGATATGTTTTGCAGTAGGGGAGGTCTTGGGATGGAAACCCGTTGGTTTATCAAAAATGTCAAGTCGCGTCGGTCTTTTGGTTTGGTTTGTTTGGGACGCGTCCCACGTGTGATAAGGTAAGCTTTTTGCTTATCGTGTTGATGCCTTGTTCTCTGTGTAAAACATGGAAGCCCAATTTCGAATCTTGCTGTATAAAAATAATTCAAACTTCGAGTTTATTATTAAATAAGCTTAGAAAAAGTTATGACTTCAATTTTAAAGTAAAACACTACGTTGTGGTTGAATCATCATAGAATAAAATGGTTGTATTTACTATGTGTTTTGGAGTGATCGGGTCCACCACCCGGGGTGATCGGGTCGGCCGGGAATTACGTTAGTAACTAACTGTCAGCGCATGGAGTGGTAACTTACCACTAGGACCCTTCGGGATAGGCATTCATCATTCACCCGATTCCCTTTTTTGCATCTATTCGTACGAGATCGAAAGTATGCTGTCATAACACGCCATAGCTCGATTATAAAAACCCCATGAGATCGCTTAACCGACCGGGCAATCAATCAATCTTGTTATTCTAAATTGGTTCCGCTTGATCTCATTCGCCTCGAATGCATACTAGTCCGTACACTATTAGCCTGTTTTGATACTGACTTATAGTCTGTCCTAAATAGGTAAGATGTGGTATATGCTAGACCGTAAGGTCAAGTAGGCATAGGTTCTACTTGTGAGATATTACCTCTCCGTCAAACAATAGTTGGACAAAAATGGGGGCTCGAATACTTGCCCATCATTCGCCACACTAATATGTTCACCCACACATCGATCCCTTTGCGGCAGTTTTTTTCGACGTAGCACTGACATCGCTGATGAACCCCGAGTTTGACCAGGCGACGGGACTCCGTTCCCAAGCGTGGATGGAGAGTGAAGGGGAAAAAAGTCTCTTCGTTAACATGGCTGTGCGCTCTGTTTTTTTTTTTAAAAAAAAGAAAAAATTCCTTGGTTCGAATATTCATATGGAGCGTGTTAGGAAAGGATGATGAATATTCGATATTGAAGTACAAACGCTCTAGAGAAATTTCCATACGCATCCCGAGGTCGCAGTAAGACCGCGTAGTAAATATAGACATGATAAAAGTGGGATATTATGGACAATTTTCCCGGAACCATGTCGGAGACATGGCCTTGGTATGATTAATTTCGCCAGAAGCCCGGTTGCATCGTCTTGTCATAGAAATATTCAATCATCTGAGGAGGCCGGAGATATTCATCATGCCATAAAGCCTCGTGAGTCCACGCAAACCGGTCATACGTTTCAACGTAGTCCGCGACAGACATGTACATCCAGCCAACATGCTCCTGCTCCTCATCCGTTGTCCCATCATGCCACTCGGGATCAATTTCGTAGTTTCTCTCCTCGGGGCTCAAATCCCCCCCATTGCTTATACATAATCTTCACAACAGGATCGTCCATATGGTCCAAAGACTCCAAGCAGATATCATCAACAAAGAGAGCCAAGTTGAAGCGTGCTCCAAACCCATATTCAGGCCCAGGAAGCTCTCTTTTATTCTCTGAATGCGATTCAAGAATCCGCTGTAGTGTTTCAGGCGTGTCAACCACTTTTGGTAGTTGTTCTGCCACCCAGCCATGGAAACGATCGCGCACCTCATGTGAAGTCGCGCCGTTGAACTTCGGCTCGTCATGGATGAAGAGATCGTGGGCCTCTAGGAGCTCGGTTCTTTCCTCCCCAGGTGGCATGCAACATTCGATGGATTTTTGCACGCTTTGCTGAATGAGCTGGAGCATTCTGTGCCACGCAGCATTGTCCTTGAATGAACATCGATAAATGCAAAAGCCCCATGGAAGATTTGGTTTTCTCTGAAAATCCGATCGTGTCATTTTGATCCCCTCGAATGGGATCTCACCCCCTGATATTGGGCCTGTAGTTGACATTTTGCAGATGATTTGATGAAAAGGCTGGCGGAACGAACGAATAACTCGCGGTCTGAAGAGCAGCATTGCAATGCCAATGGGGAGTCATGCCAGGAATACTATCTCGCTAACTAGAAGACTTGGACAAATCTGATATTTTTGGCAGACAAGTGAATGAGGCGGGCAGTAGAAAAGAGGAAGAGGAAGAGGAAGAGAAGTATAGGCCACATCACATGACTAGAAATTCCCCCCCTTAAAAAGCCCTGGAGCCCTTGACCTTGTTATTTATTTTTTCTAGAAATTTCCAAATATAAAAGAATCTAGTAGAATTAACAAATCAAGTTCATTTTGAGCTCTCATTGGGTTAGTTATCTCATTTTAAGAATTCAGGTAATGTGAGCTGCAATGGCATTGCCTCGGGCGGTGGACGAGGACAGCAAGTGAGAAAAGCGTATGCGACGCATGATCGTAAGGACTACTCCGTACTCGTATCAGTCTTGTCAGGTATTTTACATTTCCATTCTGACGCGCACGGTTGATCTATGGCCTAGCTGAACGGGCCTAATTCGTTTCACAATCGTCTTGGCAGTGGGGCTAGAGATATTTTCTGTGTAAAACATGGAAGCCAATTTCGAATATTGCTGTATACTACCTGGTATACCACCCTACAGAAAGGTATACTCCAGTACACAGTGGACTCTAAAGTATTTACTTACTACACTTCCTACATCTTCTCCTTGAGACAATATTGAAAGATTCGCAAGTACCAGGCGACAGCTAAATGACTCACATTATGGTTAGGCTGTCGCATAGGTACATATGGTTGCCTGAAACCTAGAATGAGGCGGGTTCCAAAAGCAGTGTCCGTTCATCTTTATTTGCTACCTTAACGCTGAAGTAGGAAAACACGATGCAATGCATTATGTCTTGGAAATAAGTCTCTGCAAAGGGGGATGCTTTTAAATAACTCCCTGTCGCACAAAAAGCTCTACTTCAATAATCCATTCATCACTCGCCAAACACTCTCCCATCACCATGGCTTCCAATGGAACAAGCTCAATAGCGGATGCCTTATCGCCAGATACTGCACTGCTGGAGGCCCTCGTACCAGGCTATCGAATCATTTCCCACTTCTTCATGTCATACCTCAAAATCGACACCAACGGCTATCTCCAAATTTTGATTGGTTTCGCCCTACTCGTAGGGTGCATACAATATCTGCATCCCACTATCTTGGAAAATATCGGTGATCTCATCATCTCAACGGCAGAAATTCGCATGGAGGACGAGGTGTTTAACTACATGATGTACTGGATCTCCCGTCAATCGCATATGAAGCGTACGAGTCGATTTCTTGCTAGCCTCAAGTTCAAACACGACCCCTGGGCCGATTCAGACGACAGTGATATTGAAGACAGCGACGATGAATCTTGGGACGAGTCAAAAAGCAGCAACACCTCCACCACTACGTTCGACGATTACTGGGCGAAAATGATGAATCGAGACAAGTACAAGTCCATCAATTTCACACCATCCGAAGGCTCTCACTATTTCCGCTATAGGGGCCGTCTCATAAAGCTACGCCGTACACAAGAAGAGAACAGGCCTCACAACTTTGGCAGAAATGAGCGACTGTGGCTATCATGTTTAGGAAAGAATCCGGAAATACTCAGGCAGCTGTTGCTAGAAGCTCAAAAGGCCTATATCGAGCGCGATGGAAACCGCACTTTGATCTACCGCGCAAAACGGGACTATGATCGGAGTTTTACCTGGATTAGGTGTATGTCGCGATCACCGCGTCCTATGTCCTCTGTCATCCTCAATCAGGCACAGAAGCAAGAATTTGTTGATGATATGCGAGAATATCTTCACCCGAAAACTCGCCGTTGGTATTTTGATCGTGGAATTCCGTACCGTCGCGGGTACCTGCTTCATGGCCCTCCTGGAACGGGGAAGACGAGTCTATGTTTCGCGGCGGCGGGATTGTTGGGGTTGAAGCTGTACTTGCTGAATCTGAAAACGAATGGGTTGGATGAAGAGTCTATGTCTTCGCTATTTGCGAGCTTGCCCCGGCGTTGCATTGTGTTGCTGGAGGACATTGACACTGCGGGAATTACTAAAACTCGGGGGAAAACTGTTATCCCTGGGGACGGGGGTGGCCCTGTAATTCCTGCTGCTGAGGATGACCTTGACGAGTCTTCAAAAGATAGCATCACCTTGTCTGGACTGCTGAATGTGATTGATGGCGTGGCTGCTAGTGAAGGTCGGATTCTCGTCATGACGACCAATCATCCCGACAAACTAGATCCAGCTCTTCTTCGTCCAGGTCGCGTGGACATGTCCATCAGCTTCGGGTACATGTCAGAGGATGATATTAAGGAGCTCTTTGCATCGATGTACAGGTTTATCGGAAGTGATCGTCCATACGCACCAAATGACCCACGGCAAGCCAATGGACCGGTCAAGGGGGAGGTAGAAAACGATGAAGATACCACAAGAGAACAGGAAAAGCGAGATGCTTCACTCGATGCTCGGATTTCTAATCTCTGTGTCTCATTTGCTCAGGCTATACCAACCGGCGAGATTACTGCTGCGGAAATCCAAGGCTACCTGCTAAACCACAAGGATAACCCCGAAGCCGCCGTTGCAGGGGCGGCGAAGTGGGTCGAGGAGATGCGGAAGAACAGGGAAACTTGAAATTCAAATCATAGCAAATATCATAAATACAATTACAGCGAGAATGTATTCACATTGAGAGGGAAAGGAAGTATGTGTAGAGTACTGCTTAAAATTTCCTTTTACACTGGAATTATGAATTCAATAGTCTTACTAGTAACATAATTCTGAACTTAAATACAGTACATCCCTCCACTCTTCGATTGTTTCTTGAAAATAACGCAAAAGTCCACTAGACTATATTAAGAATAGCTAAAAGGCCCGGAATAGTGACGTTCCTGTATCTTCACATATACAATAAGTTGCCATAATTTATTATATGAACCACGTCTAACTAGTTTCTCTTACCTACGAGATCCATGGTTACAGCCGCTTGTGTAATTTATGGGTAGCTACTAAATCGACAGGTACTCCTTGACACTGTATTCTAATCCTGGGCATCAGCTGGAACAATGGTCTTCAAATTGTTTGTTTATGCTTTCTAGCGGAAGGATTCAGGTCATTTTGATTCCTTGCATTTCTTTTGGGTGCTTGGATACGAGTATTCTGAGAAAGCGGGAGTGCAATAATGTCTGAGTGCCAGCCGAATCTGTGAGTGTAATTTCACAGAGGAGCATCTTGTCAGGCTTTAGGAACTGAATTGCGCTCCGGTTATTAGGTCAGATGATGGCATTCCTATCAGCAAATCCCACCAAAATTACTACATGATCATCTATCCAAAAACAAAAAAGTATATTATATTGTCCTCAAGGCTGTGTAATTTTTATACTACAACAAAGACGAAAATAGAAGACTGTGATCTACTGTCTACATAGGAGAATTTCTCCTAGCTTGACCAACTACTAAAATCAAGAGGCAGAAAGATACCGCTTAGAAGACACACCGAGAAGGAGAAAAGTGCATTCTTGGTTAATACTAATACCGTGGGTTCATATCATCCTACAAATCCTCACAGCCTTCTTTTCTGACCTGAAACTTAGAACTCCAATTTCTGTTCGGCGTCATCTAAGCTCGACAGCCACGAAACACGGTGCTTTACAAATAATTCCTGCTCAGGTGTCGACTCTTCAAGGCCATCTAGGTTATCCAGTGTTCCCGCAAGAATAATGATACTCTCAGGGAAAGACTCGTGCGTTTTGTAGATAGTGCATCCGCATTCACCACAGAAAGTGATTTCGAGTTTCATGCCACTCTCATGGATTTGTGAGTACCGCTTAGCAGAACCAGCAATAACATGGACCTTATTCTCTGGATAGAGTAAATTGACTGAGTTAGTTCCGCCACTGATTTTGCGGCATGATAGGCAGAAGCAAGTGGCCTGTAATATAACTATATTAGTGTGAACGCTGTGACTAGGAGTGCTAGCTCTTCTTGCCTTGACTAGAGGGTCCCCCTCATACTCATATCTGAGATGGTGACATAGACAAGATCCTGTGGGCATTTTGCGTATTTGCTTGTGAATAGGGAAAGCTTCGTAGGGTTAGGTGTATTTCACTTGAGATATGTGAGTAGTTTGAATTAAAAAGCATTAAATACACCGAGAAAGTTGGGGATCGCTTATTATAACTATCTTTCCGCTCCCCGCAATTTTATTGTGGTGAAGCAGAAGTGAATTTATTCATGATGTCATTAGCAATTACAATAGCGAATACGCTTCCTTGCGATTTTCTCTTCCCGCCCGCTAATATGCCATTTACTTTCTTAGCATATACTCATTCGTTGAATTATCTAGATCTTTCTGGTAGCGAGAAGTTCTTGATGTCACCTCCAATATTCACTGGTCGCTAATAATGACAATCCAGCCAAAGTCGTCTATTGTAGTTTAAAAGCAGTACGATACGTTCTAGGTCTATAATCATAGGTTTTTTAGTAGTGGTCAAGTCCTCCAGTATGCTCATTTTGACAGTTTCCTTTGATCAGCATAGGTGATGCTAGATTTCGTTGTCTAGACATGGAGCTTGTCCTACAGGAACACCGCCATCTCATCAAAATACAAGTCGGGCTTTTTGTGGAGACGATCGCAAGGGCTTCTAGTATGACTGGTGTGATATTTCATGGCCGCCTACCTTTTTTGAGCAGAGCCTTGACACTAATAGTACCAAACTTGAACAACTGTATGTTTAAGGAGATCCTTAGGATAGTATACTTGCTACAGCTGCCAGTGGCAGCCTCCACCATCTATGATGCGGATAATCCCCCACCGATTACCATGTCATGAATAAGCTCATGCTCCAAAGTGGCTAGGCTGGGCGTCATCCTTGGTTGACCTCGATGATCTTCGAACCAAAAACAATAATCCTCAAGGCGGGGCATAAAGATGTCAAGCGTATTAATGATACAGGTAATATACGACAAGCCACTATTTTGATTACTACTTGAATGATGCGAAACAAACCCACTGACCTGGTACTCCGGAAAAACTGGTTGGACAAACAATCGAAGAGTATAGGTGGTGGCAGCAGTTGCGAGACATACTGTATAGCCATCAATTAAAGAGCCAATCTAATCTATGGCTATTTGATGGTTACATAGAAGTGTCCACAATGTAAGACTTACACGCGCATGAGTGGCCTGATCCCTTGTAGAATATTGGCTGGTTGCCCAACCAGCCACGGGTAGATTCTCCGTGTGCTCTTTGCGCTCAGGCGTCAAGAATCCCGCACTAATCCTGCTTGGGATAGCCACCGTTGGATCCAACCGACAGGAACCACTTGCTCATGCATATAATAGTTATCTCGTGCCTGTCGCCCCGCTGCTTTCCCCAGTTTATGCGGCTGTATAGCTTTTTGTTCGATCTCAAAGGATTCTGTGTCGCCAATGTGCTAGTCCTATTCATGAACTCGGCGATGGCATGAATAATCAACAGCGGACTATCTGTTGGAGCTAGACCGACTTTTTATCGCAGTACCACCTAATATCTCGCTCGGTTCGGTTCGGCCTCCACGGGTACATTCAATTCCTTGAACATCATGTCACCACCACCCCCAGAAGGGGAGAATTATGATCATATCATCACAGGGAGTGAAGTCGGCTACATATCTTCACAGAAAAAGCGCTCTAATTCAGATGCGACGGAATACCCTAGAAGGAGGGCAACTATTGCTGTAGGCACCCATGCGCTCTCTCTCCGTGTATACAGTCTCGAATTCGATCAGCTAAACTACACAGTGCCAAATATGTCGACTGCGCAAAACAAGATGCAACGGAGCTCGGCCAAAATGCCAACTCTGCTCAGACCTCGACGCTGAATGCGTCTATCGTGAACCAGGCATCAAACTCGACGCAGGAGACAAATTAATACTCGACCATTTAGCCAGAATAGAAGGCCTCCTTCATTCAAGCCTAGTGGGCCACCAAGGCCAACGATCTATTCGATTAGCCTTATCTTCAACCTCCCCAGCAACAAGCAATGACACCAATCTCGCCAACGAAGACCCAATGATGCCCAAAATACCTAATAATAAAATTTCAGCAGCAGGACTCGGCTCCTGGGCCAATCCGCCCCAAAATATCAGCATTTCCACAATGCCAAAGGTACACACCACGCCGGCCCTACATCTTCTACAATGGCCACTTATCCGAGACTTAGTCTCGCGACCCTACGATCCGCAAAATCTCCTCCAACTCGAAATGGCCCGGGAACCGCTCCGAATGACGCCGAGTCCTACCCCTACTGGGGCTCTTGATTTAGCAAATGCACCGGCTTACGTACGAGCCTTCTTCAGCCACGCAAATATCTGGTACGCATGCGTGAATCCATACACCTGGCCCCGATACTACCGAACCGCGCTCGCAAAGGGGTTCCAAGACGGACCTGTGAGTTGTCTGGTACTCCTAGTTTTGGCTTTGGGGGCAGCGAGTCGAAATGGGAGCATTGCTTTTATACCGAAAGATACGCAAGCGCCTGGACTTGCGTATTTTGCTGCGGCGTGGAATCTCTTGCCATCCATTATGATGCGGAATTCCGCCATTGCGACTCAGTGCATGGTTCTTGCTTCGGCGTATCTGTTCTATCTGGTGCGTCCGTTGGAGGCTTGGACATTGTTGTCGAACGTAAGCATGAAATTGCAGTTACTGTTTGGAAACCCGAGTCGTGTTCCAGCGCAATGGAAAGAGCTTAGTGTGCGCGTTTATTGGAATGCTTTGCTTTACGAGAGTGATCTTTTAGCGGAGCTAGATCTCCCACATTCTGGAATTGTTCATTTTGAAGAAATTGTGGATCTACCTGGAGGATTTGAGGAAGAAGAAGACGATGATGACGAAGAAGATTATGATGATAACGGGGAACTAATTCATGGCGGCGACACCGGAGAAGAGGACCATCACCACATTGCTGAAATACTACCAAACGGACAAGCACAACAAGCAGGAAGAGATGAGCTCTGGTACTTTTTATCAGAGATCGCCTTACGAAGACTACTGAACCGAGTCAGCCATCTCATATACCAAAAGGACAGTACCCACACCCTCTCATCATTAGGACCAATAGTCTCAGAACTGGATTTCCAACTATCACAATGGTACGAGAGTTTACCTCAACCAGTCCAATTCCCTCTCGGTCAACTACCATCCAATAACCCGGTGCAAACGGTCCTTCGACATCGATACAACGCATGTCGCACAATCATATACCGCCCATACATACTAGCAGTCTTCGAAAACGAATCCGTCGGCGCAGACAACGAGGCTCTAGAATGCTGTCGAAGATGTCTAGATTCTACCCTGCGCCAACTAGAACATATCACCAGTCACCGCGAAGGACACCTCCCTTATCTGTGGCAAGGAGCGCTGTCGATGGTATCACAGGCACTCCTAATTATGGGCGCTACAATGTCACCGACTCTTTCGACCTTGCTTCCGCCTCCGTTGAGAGTTGATGCGATTATCTCGGGTGTGGTGGTTGAGGTGGAGAGGTATTCACACTTGGCGCCGAGCTTGAAATTATCGGCTGAGATTATTCGGGATGCTGAGCGTCGACGACAGATTTGGTTGAGGTCGGCGGGGCAGAGATTGTTTGAAGGCTGAGTAGGTTAGCTTAATTTCTCGGCAAAGTCTACGAGTTTGACTCTACAAAGAGCCATACTGTGGACGAGTTCTAAATTTCGACAACTGTTGATGATGTGTATTCCCTCTGAAAGCTAGCCAAGTACCAACAATTAGGCAATCTCTTATCGCATGCAACAAGCTTTTCGTGATATCAGCGTTATGGTTCTGCTGAAAAGGCCGATTTAAAACTCCACGAGCTATCAGCTTACGAAGAATTTAAACACTGCTTGCTGGAATGTCGCAAGCATAACTACATAATACTCGCGCAACTAACCTTTATCGTGGGTGATCTCTTGCCCTCGCCCTGCTGTATGAATGATATTTGACACCACTACTGCCACACCATTCGAGTGGGTAATCAAGGAGAAGTCGGAAACTGGGGTTTCTATCTGGGCCTTCTAGGGTCTGCCGGAATCTTGTATAGCTACATCTGCTTTCTGCCCAAGCAGTAGCTTCACCACTGCGTCGTGTCCATTTTCAGCCGCGAATGAGAGTGGAATTTTGCCAAAAATATCTCGGGAATCGGAATCTGCTTTCTGCTCAAGCAGTAGCTTCACCACTGCGCCATGTCCATTTTCAGCCGCTAATAAGAGTGGATTTTGGCCAAGTATATCTCGGGAATCGGCGTCTGCTTTCTGCTCAAGCAGTAGCTTCACCACTGCGTCATGTCCATTTTTGGCCGCGAATGAGAGTGGAGTTTGGCCAAATCTTTCTTTCATATTGATATTGGCTTTCTGCTCAAGCAGTAGCTTCACCACTGCGTCATGTCCATTTTCAGCCGCTAATAAGAGTGGATTTTGGCCAAATCTTCCGTTCATATTGATATTGGCTTTCTGCTCAAGCAGTAGCTTCACCACTGCGTCATATCCATTTTCGGCCGCGAATGAGAGTGGAGACTGGCCATGTATATTTTGGAGGTTGACATCTGCTTTCTCAAGCAGTAGCTTCACCACTTTATCATGCCCATTTTCGGCCGCGTGTGAGAGTGGAGTTTGGCCAAAGTTGTCTTGAAAATTGATATCGACTTTCAGTGCAAGAATCCTTGATGTCAACTCCACAAGCCCAAGCCTCGCTAAGAGGTGCAAGCCTGTTATCCTCTTTTCAAGATCCCAGAAATACGGCATTTTGATATATTCCTCCGCTTGGCCGCAGGCAGATACTTTAGACGTGTTCATGAGAAAGTCAATTATCGATCGGTTGTCAATCGGGAGATATCCGACATGGCATCCCCAATTTTCAGCAGCATAGCCATATAGAGCGGTAGTTTGAAATCTCGCACGCCACTCGTCATGCGTTAGGCAGTTTCCGGCTTCAAAAATGTCAAATGATAAGCAGGTGATGCAAGCTCTGGCAATTTCGGCGTGGGCATTGAAAACCCAGTCCTTCTGGGTCTGGACGAAGTACTCCTGTGTGGTATAGTGCACCAAACGTATGATGCTACTTTGATCATCGATAGTGACCAATCCCAAGCAGACTGATACTATATCATCGATATGAGGCAAGTCTCCTTCGTCAAGATGAAGCTTCCCTTCTTTTATTGCCAAGGCAAACTGAAGTTCTGCTATACTGAGCGGCCGCTTCGCACAGGTTAACCAAAACAAAACCTTCACTGCCAATTGTTTCAAACCTGGCCGCTGTTGATGAATTCTCTCCATCACCTGATCGTAGGCATTGCTCAATATCTCAGTCTTCTCATTTTCACTCGATCCTTGATTTTGCCTCTGAAAGCTTTTCAATGACTCCCGGATATCATTCGTGGTCAGTTTGTCGTTGAGAAAACCGATATAGAGTTGTGCCAACAGAAACATCCCGTCAACTGCATGTAAGATTGAAGTTCTAATCTCCTCTTGCAGTTGGCGATTCTCCCGAACAATAGGCCGTAGGTTTCCCATATGTTTTTCCAGGTACATGCCCACATCTTCATCAGTGGCACGGATCTCTAACGATAATGCGTCTTGAAATTGATCCATAATGTTTGATATAAATCGCGATGTCGCAAAGATATTCACGCTCTGCTGCGTCTGAAGGTTGAAGACCTCCGAAAGGAAATGCTCCCGCTCAGATGCCTGGCATTCGTCAAGTGCATCAACAATGATAAAGACTTTTGAAAAAGTCGCTACTATTCCGAGGAGAACTTTCGAAGCTTTCTCGGTTGACGGTCGTGTTCTTCTGGCTTCGTGGTATTCGTAGAGCTCTTTGACGCTATCTGGGAAAGGCTGGCATTGTGCAGCTAACTGTTTCAGTAAGCTTGCCAGCAAATCTTTGCCATTCTGACTGTCCTGTCGCTTGAAATTACAGTACACATAAGCGATGCCAATTGTTGGGTCTGCTTGAAACTCCTGGTCGAGATGGTCGATCACAATCGAGCTGATGATGGTTTTGCCAGCTCCAGGCATTCCGGGACAAAACATTGTCTGGTTCTTCGTCGCCTTCCATGTCTGAAACTGTATCGACTCTAGAAGCCACTGGCCAGTTCCTCGTTGTCTTCTTCCCAAAAAATCGCTTTGTTCAGGGCCATAGTTAATTGGCGTAATCCAGTTGAGTATCTTAAGCTCTTTCTTTTGTTCCAAATGACCTTTTATCCTTTTAACATTTTCCCCGGACTGGGATACAACGTCGAAAACTAAATTCATATCAGAATCGATATTATTAGAAGACTATCAAAACTCGGTAAAGAATAGTAATTTTGACTAACCCTGCCCAAGTATTTCTTTCACTGGCCGCTCTCCCTCAACATCAGTTGGTTGCAAGAATGCCAAAAATTCCTTGGCAAATGCTGCTGCAACAGCCGCCGCATATTCCTGCCAATCTTTGTTTTTGTGTGAGTCCGCATAGTCACAGATTCCTCGGATGACGATGCACGGGAAGTTGTTCATCAGTCCCGCCGCCTCCATTTCAATACAAAGAAGATGACCACCAAGATCTTTGTTGAGTTTGGTTCGGAGAGTAGCGTCCTTGACAACCTGGTTTCCTGATGCAATCAGGCCAAAGTGAACAGACATGTCTCTCGGCCTTCTCTTCACAACCTTTGTTTTATCGCAAAGTCGGCAGCTCTCTTCCTCTTCCTCCTCATCAATATCGTCAACGTCGGACGTATCATCGAGATCCTTCAAGACATGCTTCCTTGAATGTTCATAATCTGCTTTGAATAACATATCCTGTAAATCCGAAGGCAAGTACTTTGACACAAGTCTTGGCCACTTCTCCCTCAACTCCTCCAAGTACTCCGGTATCTTAGAGCCAACTAAATCATGCTCCGTCTCCAAAGCTGTCAGGGCCGTGAGTAAAGACGTAGGCGGATTATTCAGTGACCCAGTCCGTTCAAAGCTTCCACCTTCTTTCGCCTTGCCAAAATCCCATTGTACCACGCCAGGAAACTGGCCCACGGGTGTGCTAACGACCACATCGCCAAGTCTGACCTTGGGTGGAACACCGCCGCCAATACCCACCATCAAGCCAAATTTGATAGATGGAAAAGTCGAGATCATCCAGGTAGCAACACTCGCCGCCGAATTATTGCCAATTTGGCCTTTGGGCAAGCAGGCTATGACGACGTTGTGGCTTCCAACAGATCCAAGGGTGTAAGTATTGGGATCATTCTGCGGTTTTGGGAGCCCGGCGTGTCTTCGATCCAGCATGGCTGTTGCCGCGGTCTGCTCCTTTGGCAAAGCACAAACCCATCCCACAGTATATTCATTGTGAGTCTTAGGCTCAGTGTCCATTTGCGCAGTCATGGCAAGGGGTCTGGGCTAGGCTTTGAGCTACCTGAACTCAACATCGATATGAATCAGCCGGAGTCGGTTTCGCTCGATGAGAGTTCTCTAGTTTGATCCAAAGTAAAGAACAGGACTCATGGGGACGATAAAGCCTGTTGCGCATATGAAAAATATTAACACCAAGCAAGAAGAAGGAAAAGTTTTCCCTCAAATGTCACTTTCATCTCCGGGTTATGAGCTGAGTGTATTCAGCCTCAAGGAGCCTTGCCACGTCAGACCTGCATGCGGGGCTCAGAATTCACACGCCGTGATCTGCAACTCCCATCACGGGACACTTGGGGGCGCTTAACTGATACCTGACCGACCAGAGGTAGCAGTAGTGAGATCTACCGACATCAAACGCATATTCACAGTCAAAAAAATAAAATCTGATGCTATTTACACTAACTATCAACACAATCGGTGCGGTTATGAACAAAGAGACCCCCACGCTCTTTGACCGCTTGTTCCGCTTCGATTTATGTCTCGCATTGCTGCATGAGATGTGGTGGCGGTGATGCACCATACTTCTTTCAAAGTGGTATAGAATATAGGAGCACTGCTATCACATAGATATCAGATTGTGGGCCCAGATCCGGGGTGAACTCATGCATGAAACAAATCATATTGTCCATGTCACGCCTCTATTTACCGGTATGCGAAAACAGCACCTGTGAACACAACCTCTCGATCCAGGCTCATGCGCCTGTAGCTTCCTCTAATATCAGGGACATCAACGACCTCAAAAATAAAGGCACACACTACTATACGATATACAGAGAGGAAGGTAAGGAATTCAAAGTGGAAATGAATAAATACAATCCCATTTCATGGCAATTATGTTCTTTCTTCAAGTCATATCTTAACGGCGAATCATGGTATCTTAAAAGACATGGCGGGTGTGAAGGTGAAGGTGAAGGGTGAAGGGGTGAATATGGACGTGAAAAGAATATCGGCAGTGCAAATCAAAAAAGAGTCCTTACTCGGCAGTTATGGCGAGATTGGTGGTGGTGGTGGTGGGTGGTAAATGGGGGAGAGTGTGGGGGATGTTTGCGTGAAATGCCTCAAATAATTGGCTAAATCAGCACCCACTCACTACCACGCTTGATGAATTTATCAAGCATAAGTCCCACATCAGCCAAGGCAAAGCGACAGATGTAGAAGCCGAAGAATTCGGCTGCGTGTCTTGTGCTGAGTTCCAGGCCAACGTGTGTTGGGGAGGAGTGCTTGAGTCCGGGATCTTCTACTTGTTGAGCGATTTGATCTGTGGTGGTTGAGTCAGTCAGAAAACGATAATTTAAAAGAAAAAGGTTGAGAAACTCTTCAACATACCTATAACTTGAGCAGCATCAAACAGACGCGCCAAAGCACTCATATATTGAGAATTTGGCCCTGAAAATTCAAGTTGACTCGTATTGCGCTTCACATACGATGACGGAGCCGACGTCATGGGCAGGGAGCTGAGATTGAAGCTATCTTTGGCACTATCCCTCCCGCTAGGCGGGGTAGGCGTAGTGGCACCAGCACTAATACCGGAGGTCTTTGCTCGAAGACGTTTCCAGGTGGGTAGGTAGGATTTGTTTGAGGTGCCGGATGTTCTGGAGGGCGCAGGATCGTGGTGTGCGGGATCCTCGGGTGCTGCATTCGGACGAACGATTGGAATTGCTGTGTGGACGCCGACTTCGTTGCCTAGCTTTTTGGAAAGAACACCTTGAACTTGGTCGAGAACACCCTCTAGAGCTTGCATCTCTTCCAACACTGCGTCTGCGTCGTAGGTATCGACCTGGGCAAGTTTGAGTAGTGCTGCTGTCAGGAGGTCACAGTTGGCAACTTTGTCTTCCAAAGCCTTGAGCTTTACGTTCTTGACGCGCCAGACGTCCCGAGGGATGAAAAGCTTTGCGGAAAGGTAGCCGCCATGGGGATGGGCGATTGTCTGGTATAGACACCTCATGAGCCAGAATGGGCGGGAAAGGAAGGATTCAGGGCATGGCTCGAGCTGTTGTGGCGCATTGGCTATCATTGTGTTCGGACAGCCCAGACTGGTAGGTGAGTGGATGTCATAGTCGAAAAGGTTCAATCCGCCGGTAGGCAATCCATTCTGAGTGAAGAATGTAGCAGTTGGTGTGGGTAGAACTGGCATGGTGCTGGGCATGGGAGCTTTCTGAGAATCCAAGGATGGGAAAGAACCGCTCCACGGGGTGGTAGGGGATCCTGGTGCTGTCTCGGGGTTGGGAACAGACACGTTACGCGTTCGGAACGCCTTGTTTTCGGATCCTATCTTGTGCAGCCCGTCTGGAGCAGAGGGTATTTTTCCAATAGTTCGAGGTAAAGGAGGAAGATGCTCGTCGTCTTCCTGAGTGCGTGTTTTGGCGAGGTGGATTTGTTCCGCAATAGAGCCAACGGATGGGTTGCGTTTACCAGGACGTAAGCTGGATCGCGATGCGGTTCGAGAGTGTTCTGGTGTCGGTTCGTCCTTGGGAAGAGGTGGAGGTGGCCGACTCGCCGAGGGTGTTGTTGATAAAGGATCCAAAGCAGAAGTGTCAGAATCCGCACGAGTGCGATTCGTCTCGATCTTTAACTCTGTGGGTGCCTGTTTGGAGAGTCTTCGCGCGCGCACTCCTGGAATTGGAGGCGGGCCCATAGTTGGTGGAGGAGGAGGGTTGGTCAATGAGGCTCGGTGTGGTGGGAGACCTGGGAAATCCGACGAGACTGGAATTGGGGGCAACGCAGCGGTTGGTGGAGAGGAAGGCAAGTTGCTACGCGGTCCTCCCGGTCCATCCAGAGGCAGAATGTCTTCGTCTTCGGTAAGAGTGGAAAGTGTTGCGCCGGTGCCTGTGATGTTTGAACCAGCCGAACTTTCCCAAGTTCTGCCTGACATATTGCTAGAGTCGGATTCTCGAGGCAATGCGGACTTGGATTGAATGCCAAATTCAAAATCGTCCATTACATAGCCCTTGGTCATTTCTTCGAGAAGGCGTTCTTCTTCCTCTGCCTCCTCGTCCAAGTAACCAGAATGACGATCCATGGGTTGCTCGTCGAACAAATTTTGTTCCTGAGCTCGGCGCATTTCACGACCACGGTTCATCGCAACCTCCGCCTCAAGCTCAGCCTCTCGAACTCGCTGTTTTGCCAGTTCGATATTCCGGCGAGCGTTGGCCACAATATCGTCGCTTTCCTCGTCCTTGTATTCGATCACAGGCTCTAACCCATCATCATATGCGGCTTCGACTGCTGCATCGAGAGCCGCGTCAAACTCGGCCTCGGTATCGGTGCTAAGACGACGGCTTGTACGTCGACGCAAGTATACCGATGATGCTTTCGAGTTCGCAGACGACGGAGATGATGCTCCCGATTCATCGATTGTGTCCAACCACGAGGAAGGTTCATTCGTTCCTTGCGCAGCCGTATCCAAGTATTGACCATTGAAAGATGTGTTTCCGACGCTGGATGGAGTCGATCTGCCAGATTGGCCGGTAAGTCGTAAAGATTGACGACGGGGTGGAATGGCCTCCGCTGGTAAGGATTTCATCTCATCCATGGCCGCTTGAAGAGAAAGGCTGGAATTCGTAGAGTTATGTTGACTGTTGGGGTTCGATTCGTCATGCGCCGAGGCATGAAGTAGTTCTCCGTATGACTCCTGGCTGAGAGGGCGCTCTGGAAGAGCTTTGCCGGCGCTATTGGGAAGGGGGAAGTCCATGCGTTCGAGTTCCGTAATTCTGATCATATAAGTATCGCGCTGTGCTTGGTTAGTCTTTCTGTCCATCTGTAGTTTCCTGGTAAACCCTCAGACTCACGATTTCCTGTAGCTTGAGTTTCTCTTCATCGCCTCCATTACTCCGCATCATCACTAGCTGCAGTAACTGGCAGGCATCCGTGTATGCTTCCATGGCACCTTCGAAATTGGCCGCGTTGTCGAGAAGTACAGCCGTATTCGCCTTTTGAAGAGCTTTTGAGAGCATGGCTTTTTGAGTTTGGCCATGTTGACGATTCTCCGCCTCGGCGTCGGCATCGGCATCGCCTTCTCCATCTGCCGAAGTGGCGCCTTCGCTTGTGCGCGCGGGATTGGAAGGCGCAGAGCCCGAGTCTCGAGTATCGTTGGGTGGAGAGCTTTGGAAGATGTTACTTGAAGCCGTGAAAGATAGATCCAGGTGGGGATTGTTTGGGCCTGGCGCAAACATGTCGGACGCCCTGAATTCAGGGAGACTTAATTCTGGAAGCTCCCCGAGCCCGGCTCCTCCGTGTGGACTATGGCCGGAGATTGACATTTTCGAGCTGCCTCGACGGTGGCTGGTCGTGTATTCAGATGGACTCTTGCTTGAGGTTGTGGATTGTGACCATCGGTTTAAACTTCCCAGGCCCTCTTTGATTGGACTGGCGCTGCTGAGTCCAACCGGGGAGACCTCCGGGACATTATTCTCCGTCACCATCCCAAGTCCTGTCGGGGTCACAGCCCTAGATGTCTTTATCATGCGAGTTCGGGAGCCTGGCCGGGATGACCGAGAAGCGGGCCGATTAGGGGGCGGTGCCGACGGGGGTTCTGAGAGGGGCCCGGGAGGACGTCGGTGGAAGGCTCTGGGATCATCGTCCACGGCCGAGCGGTGGAGCATATTTTCGAGGACGATAGCGGTATAGAATTAGGTATTAAAGATGGGTTAGACGTAGAGACCAGGCATGGAGGAGTGGAGGATCGGCGAGCAGGATTTATAGAGGGTGTATTGTAAGCGGCGCTACTCGCGCAAGACCGGGCGAGAAATTAGAACTGTATAGGAAGATGCGGGTTGAGCGGCGTCAATCATTCTTCATTCGGAAGATGACTGGATATAATGAGGGCGGAGGATTTCGTGGGATCGATCGAGGCCGTCTTAACGTTTCACTTCATATAGAACGGGGAATTCCGAAGATCTATCGCGAGGCAATCGCGGACTGCAGAAGCATAAGTTCCAAACGTTCGCACACAATTGATCTATTTGTTTCTGCCAATCAAGTTAGGGTCAGCATTTGAGCGCATATCCAGACTGAGAAGGACCACCTACCGGGAGATCGGATCAGAGTATGCCAATCAACAATAGGAAAACAGCGAATGTGGTCGCAATTGTGCGAAGGAGTTCAGGGGCCGCGGTCCCGCGCTTGGGTCAGGGGTGGTCCGTGGCAGGGCGGTGGGCGAATGAGATACAAAGAAATGCGGGGGTTTGTTGGTGGTGGGAGAGGGGGATTTAAGAATAAATCAAGGAATAATCGGGATAATCATTGAATGTATAGAGAAAAGATCAACTTGGAAGGGAGAAGAGATTGATTATCTTCTGGGCTGGACTGGACTGGGGGGGGGGGCAAAGCAGAAAAGGGACAGGGAAAAAGGGGGGTGACGGGGACGGGTGTTTGTCCCTAGCGCATCGAGTGTATACATCGCAAACCAGGGAGAGAGATGTGTGTTAATGTGATCAAGAGCTACGAATGGTTTTTCTTTCTTTTCTTTCTTTCTTTGTCTTTGAATGCTGCTATTTCCCAATACAATACATGTTGATAAGGGCTGTAGTATGACAGGTGTATCATAATTTCCCTCTTCTCTCTCTCATAAGTACTAGTATTATATCAGAATGATCTCTTAAAATGATATAATAATATAATATGTCATGTATCACTGGTAGAACCTTGGGAGGTTATCAATCTCTGAATCAGGCATGACGGAGTCTTGAAATTCGATTCCTCCAAAAGTCTAATCAGACTGTTAATCATCTGCAAGTCTTGGATTTAACCGGATTGGACTGTCACTGTGACTGATCGCAAATTGCAACGCAGCACGCTTAGTGCCGGCAACTCCGAAGGGGAAAAAAAAAAAAAACTACACCAACACCGCGACTCCACAGATCCATGGAAGCACCCAGATGAATCCAAGCTTCTTTTTCCCCGCGCGTATCTTTTCCTTCTTGTCATTCTCCACTCCTACAGCTGTCCCTGTTCGTCCTCAACAATTATTCCGCAGGATGGCGACGACAGTCACTAACCCGCGTGATCCGAACACGCTAAGCAACTACAACAACTGGCGCTCTGCCCATATCACCGCCAACTTCGAGATCCTGTTCGATCAGAAGAAGCTCGTCGGAAATGTCGTGCATAAGTTTCGCTCCACTACCGAGGCCCAATCCAAGGAGATCATCCTAGACACGAGCCATCTCGACATCGGTGAGGTCAAGGTGGATGGCCAAGCTTCCAAGTGGGAGCTGCTGGCCCCGCTGGAACCTTTTGGTACCCCGCTCAAGATCAGCCTCGAGAAGGGTGTGCAGCTGAATGAAACCATTGAGGTGGATGTACGTTCTCCTGCTCGTGAGGGCATCCCTTGAGAGAGAGAGACAGGGGGTGTCGTATCATATCGTATGAGCATCAAACTAATGTCGCCCTCCGGTAGATTGCCGTCAAGACCACTGACAAGTGCACTGCCCTTCAATGGTTGACTCCCGCTCAAACCTCTAACAAGAAGCACCCATATATGTGTAGGTCACTAATCCAATCATTTGGCTCGAATCCCGTCATAACGTGTGTAATCAGTCTCGCAATGCCAGGCCATCCATGCCCGCTCCATCTTCCCCTGCCAGGATACACCCGACGTCAAGAGCACCATTGACTTTAACATCACCTCGCCCTTGCCAGTCAAGACTAGCGGATTACTGATCAAGGAATCACACCCGACGACTGAGTCTGGAAGTCAGCTCTACCGATTTAACCAGTCGGTCCCGATTCCAAGCTATCTCTTTGCCATTGCAAGCGGGTATGATGATCTTCCTTGAGATATCGACTCAAAAGATATGCCACTAACCTCTATCCTAGAGATGTAGCGGAAGCTTCGATTGGTCCCCGCAGTGTCGTGGCTACGAGCCCGGACAAGCTTGAGGAGTGCAAGTGGGAGCTCGAAGCTGACACGGAGACTTTCATCAACACCATTGAGGTATGTGTGCTGAACGATGTTCTCACAATTTCAAGGTCTCGTCTCAATCTCATATCTAACGAGTTTGCAGAAAATTGTCTACCCCTACGCCTGGGGCCAGTACAACGTTTTGATTCTCCCGCCCAGCTTCCCCTACGGTGGAATGGAGAACCCGATTTTCACCTTTGCAACTCCCAGCATTATCTCTAAGGTTTGTCCCACAGAAGGATCCCTTTCTGACTGACTACTCCTTCTCCTCCTCCTCAGAAGCTAATTCACGGAACAGGACCGTGAAAACGTCGATGTCATCGCGCACGAGCTCGCTCACAGCTGGAGTGGTAACCTGGTGACAAACTGTTCCTGGGAGCATTTCTGGCTGAATGAGGGCTGGACTGTGTATCTTGAGAGACGGGTATGTAATAATTGTGACAATACCCATCTGCCTTCCCCTGCTAACCTAGCCGTGTACTAGATTCTGGCCGCTATGTACGTACGCCTAAAATGTCAACTGACTGGGCTTAATAAACCAAAACTAACCTTTACAGTCACGGCGAGGCATACCGCCACTTCTCGTCCATTATCGGCTGGAAGGCCCTCACCGACTCCGTGGACCACTTTGGCCACGACCACGAGTTCACCAAATTGATCACCGACCTGAAGGGCAAGGATCCCGATGACGCTTTCTCCAGCGTTCCCTACGAGAAAGGCTTCAACTTCCTTTTCCACCTGGAGAACCTTGTTGGAAAGTCCAAGTTTGACAAATTTATTCCTCACGTAGGTCTACGCACATTCTATCATTAGCATTGGTTACTTAATGCTAACTTTCGCAGTACTTCACCGTCTTCAAGTGCAAATCCCTCGACTCATACGAGTTCAAAGCAACAATCCTCGACTTCTTCAGCTCCGACCCCGAGGCCTCTAAGCTTCTGAACGAACTAGACTGGGACAAATGGTTCTATGCTCCCGGCCTACCCCCAAAGCCAGACTTCGACACCTCACTCGTCGACGTCGTCTACGATCTCGCCAACAAATGGCAGACTCTGTCCGGAGCCGAGTCCTCTTTCAAGCCCGCGGCAAGCGACCTGGATGGTCTTACCGCTAACCAGATCCTGGTATTCCTCGAGCAAATTCTGCGCTGGGAGCAGCCGCTGCGTCCTGAGCTTTCCAAGCTCATGGGTGACGTCTATGGACTGTCTAAGAGTGAGAATATCGAGGTTGCGAACCTTTACTTCCAGGTCGGTATGAAGGCTGGTGATCAGAGTGTTATTGAGCCTACTGCGGAACTTTTGGGCCGTATTGGTAGAATGAAGTTTGTGCGACCTTTGTAAGTTGAAACCCCTTGGATGTTCAAGTTTCACGCACATCCGAGTCCCATTTGTCTCTTGAAAGAAACGCGAGAAAATTACTAACAAATATTGTCAGGTTCCGCAATCTCCAGAAAGCTAATCGTGCTGTGGCGTTGGAGACCTTTGATAAGTATAAGGATTTCTATCACCCCATCTGCCGGGCTATGGTTGAGAAGGACCTCTTTGGCAAAAAGGAGAATTAGATCTAGAATCAATACACAGCTCAAATGCCAAGAGTCGAACAGAGAAGACATAAACTTGAATGTACCCTAGTAGTTCGTAGATATGGCACCAGTAAATGCAAAATATACAATAGACAGAGTTGCGTTGAAATAGATTACTGTACATGATTAAGCTCGTGAAGAACGGGCCTGCAAACAAGATCCCCCGTACACATAATAGAACAATGAGGAAGAGAAAATAAGAATCCACGGGGCGGCATGTCTTCAGCTCAACCCGGCCCAGCGCAATCCAACACCCCATTCATTCAGTTACTCGCCTCGGCCATCTTCTTATCAATAGGATTATACCCAAAGATTGCAGATTCCGCGCCACCGCCCTGAGACAGCGCAAAAGCCATATCGGCCTCATCCATCTTCGAGAGTTCAAAAAGAACACGACGCATATAAGCCACAACCCAGGCAACCTTAGTCCAATCAAGCTCCTGACCATCAGGGCCCGTGGCACTAGCCTTCCACAAATTCCTCCAGACAGCAGCGCCCAGCACCGCGTCACCCTTAATCAGACCCTCGTCGTAGGCGGCGATGATTCCACGCCATTGAATGAAGAGATCCTTCAAGTACTTGTTGCGGATACCCCGGCTTCCGAGGTCGTGCAAGACATCCATGCGGTGCTCGGCGTTGTGGGAGAAATGGTCGATCAAGTGTCGGGAATAAGTCTGGACGCTGTCGCGGTAGGGGAGGGCGCGTAGTCGGACGGTTAAGAGATACATGTGGAGGAAGGTGATTTGGGACCAGGTTGAGAATGTTGGTGCGAGGCCCAGTTCTGTAGACATGGAGTTAGTATCAGTTCACTTTCGCATTTCCAATCCAATCCAATCCAGATCCAAGCTGAGATGCGCCATCCGGTATAGGCGGGCGGAGGGGAGGAGGGGAGAGGGGGATAGTTTACGAACCTTTATACCACCAGCTCTCACTAACACCAAGGTGTTCACCAGACTCAGTAAGCGGAACCTCAACACCCTTCTGCGACGCTTGCGGAACAGTATAATCTCCCTGCTTCGAACAAGCCTCGAAGATCTTCTGGGTCATGCCGTACGCCACATAAGTCTCGGCCGCAGCTCCAGGCGAAGCAGCACTTCTAGCCAGTCGCGAAACAGCGGAACCTTGGGAGTATGATCGGGATGGAAGAATCAGGGTATTAGGGGACGTGGAAGAGGTCTTGGAGCTGACATTGGCACTGGATGCTGGCCATGATGTTGTCGAGGAGATTGTTGCCCGTTGGCTGAATGGCCGCTGTGCAGGGGATTAGCATTGGGGCTTGTGAGTAACGAAGTGAGGTCAGCGTGATATCATACCTGAAGGCCTTTAATATGGAACCCGCGGATCTCCCGCGCGCATAACGTTGTCAATCTTGAAGTCGGCATTTTGCGATGGCGTTGGTTATTGTATCGTTGCGATTGGCGATCTTTTTTTGGGATGTAGGTTGTTTACACTGTTTGTCTCTCAGCTCTGTGCGAAGGCGGTGGGCGATGGTTGATAAGTTATCAGTTGCAGTAAAAGCGTACCTGAAGACTCTAGAGTATCTTACAAAGAAGCAAAAGAAAAAGAAATGAAGAGGGCAAAAAATTCACGAGAGAAAAGATAGTCCGAGACCAGGAATTGACTGGAGCTTCATTGTAGTTTTCAGAGAGGCCCTGAGAAATTATTATACATGCACATGGTCCAGTAGAAGGGCAGGGCGGGCAATCTACAGATCAGTGTGAGTTGACTAAGGCCTGAGGCCTCCGAGGCCTCAGTCACATACACAGGATAATGTCTGGCCTTGGTGTTCCTTTTGAATATACTTAATTTACGACATGGTCCAGAGTCCAGAAAACAATAGAGCTCTTCGTTTCAAAACAGCATCAGCAGGCCCAGCCATCGCCCCCACGCATGTAATATTCGATATCTTCTTTAGGATCCCGAGTATTCTCGTCCAGACACTGTCCATCCATGAAATTAAATATCAGTTGAGCTGCGTAGTCAGCGCTCTCACGAATCCGGAAAGGAAGAATCTCTCCCTTCTGATTCACAGCCAAGAACAAAACCCAACCCTCTTCACACGCTTTCCGATCAGCGACAACGACCATGATACATTGCAGCATATCTGGCTCAGGTATTCGTTTATACAGCTCTTCAGGCCAATCGCGCTTCGAAAGACCGTCCAACGTATCGGGTTTGCGCATTAAAGCTGTGATCATATATGACGGCACAGACCATGGCGTGCCGCAGGCGACTCCATCGATAAAATCAGGATTTGTATCCCCTTCAGAGATAGTGATACTGCCATGTCCAAATTCATCTTCGTTCTCGAAGAAACTATCTTCATCTAGACATGCGTTGATATCATTGTCATCAACAATTGAGCGTAGACGGTTGTATCCGGCATTGGCAACACTCTGGCTGCTTGGATCATTCTTCTGCCTGAACCACGTTCGAATCCAGAGTATCGGTTTGTGGTTCTGCTTCCTCAACCTTGACTTGGTGGCCAACCTGGTCCATATTCTCGAATACACTTCGTTGTAGTTCGCCGGCGCTTACTAAAATTACTGTCTTGCTGCGAAGATTGTTATTGTCCCTTAGCCGATGATGTGCCTCTGTATTGCGGGCCTCTTGCTGCATTTTAGATCGATATGGCGTAAATTGATGCGATGTCACCATTTCTGCGGCTGATCAGTCGCCACGGTGGTGTATTGTTGTAACGCCTATACTCATTGTGCTATTTTTCTCGCTTTCATTGAATGTCTCTGAAAAGTTGGTGATCGCATACAGAGAATTTGAGTACTGTGACAAACTACCGGTGATATCTCCATTCTAACCTTCTCCTTAGGCCAGGAAAGACTGCACAAGGTAGTTATAGCTGAATTGGACCATAAGTCCCCAAATTTGGGAGCTAACAGGGTCAGGATTACTACCTTGTGCAATTTTTCTGGGCTAAGTAGAAGGTCAGGATGTCGATATCACTGGTAGCTTGTCACAGTACTCAAATGCGCTGTATGTGGCCGTCACAAATTTGATAGATCCTCTTCGGACTCTATCCCTATCTCTGAGATGTCCCGCTCAAAGACTCCTAGAATCTGGCAGTGGCACACGGTGTATACCTAGGTATAAAAAAAACAGCCAGCCACTATGAAAAAAGTCGCTTCACGAGGAGTAGCATTTAACGTAGAGGAAGGAGGAGAAGAAGAAGCCGAAGGACACTGGCAAAAGATCGCAACGAAATAGTACCCACATGGCTTCGACGTCTAGGTGCTAAGGCGCTGGCAACCTTGGATTCCTGAACGACATGTAATACGTTACAGTATATACTCACTTGGACAGTGATATATGTAGAATCTATCTCCTTGTCGGGATAAGGCGCAGTATATATACTAGTGGTAATATCTGGCAGTTACCTGCCTAGGTGATTGCTAAACAAAGGGCTTGAACCCTGTGGCAAACATGCAAACAGGCATGGTGTTGCATCAACAGTAGAGTCTATACTATAAAATCCCAGTGTGGATAGCCGTCTTTGTACTGATATGTTTGCATACAAGTAAATAATTCACCAGAAGTTGTTTGGGGGGGTTGAGTTTGAACGCATAATGTAATGCAGATGTCCGGTCATAGTATTCTGGTAAGCTACATACCTTTCTAGCCTACTAGTAGAAAGCCTAGTTGTTTGCCATTTGGATTTAGACAACCTAAGGTATTGAGGATATTTTCATTCTTTTGGATATTTAGTTCGTTCACAACCCGCGAAAAAAAAAGTTTCATATCATTTCCGTCTATTTCGTAATGTTTCTTCATGGATGACTTTCATGGCTAGCTGGTTGTAGTGGATCTTCCGAGAGACGAAAACACTTTCCCATTTGAAAGCGACGGAATGTAAAATGCGAGACTTCACTGCCAAATTCCTGAGCGTCGAAAGTTGGCGATAAGACGGTCTACTGCTGAATTTGATATAGATCATACCCATACGTCGCTGGAAATCCCATACAGACATGCGAGACATAGCGCAAGTCTCACACTTCAGCTGTCAAGAGCTACACACTCGGACTTCTTATCTACCACAGGCAGCAATTCAGAAAGTCGATTGGCATCTCTCATTAATGCCGGGATATCATCCCGGGTACCAGCAAGCATCTAGACAGAGGACAATGGGGTTAGTACGAGTGAGCTCTACCTCTGAGCTGAATGAGGGGTTCGTACCTGTCTAACTTTCTCGTATTCACATTCCTTGGATTGGTATTCCCGAATCACCTCTTTCTTTTCAAAATCGACATAGACCCGAGTATCGCGAAGTCGAATCAAGACATTATCCAGTCTCATGAAGAACCTCGTCAAGAGGAGAAGTCTCTCTGGCATGACGCGGATTTTGCAGGAAAGCATTGCAATTCCATTATCAGCCAACTCGTCTTCATAAAGGACGACTTCGTCGAAGAATAGGATCGGATCCGGTCGCTTCAGGAGCTCGATAGGGATTGGCTTCGTTGTTTCCTCGAAGGGTCGGGCGTTCGGGCTTAAGGTGCCTTTGTAGTCGGTGCTGTACGACCAATCGAATGGCTTAACAACCTCCTTGATTCCGTCGTGTGTTTTTTTCTCTAGAGAGAAGACCAACGTGGTAAGTCAGGGTTTGCGCAAGATGAAACATTGAGGCAATCGAGTGCGGTCCTTCCTACCTGCTCTGTTGCCATTCTTTTGAGTATGCGACCTGCAGCATCGACTGTCCTGTCTTGTCCACCAAGTCCAGCGCATCAAACGCATTGAAGTTGATCCCCCAGCCACTGGGCGGGTGCTCAATGCACACATAATTATCGCCGAATATCATCTCAGGGACCTGAATGCCCAGCTTCTTGGTCATTTCGTCAATCGGATCGGCTTTGAGGATGGGGAGCTTCTGGGTCGAGATTCGGAAGCCACCAACAGAAATCTGCTGTGGCTTCTTGACCTCAGGTGAGACTGAGGCATGGCCTCGCGGGGGCGCAGCTGGTGTTCTGGAAGCCATCAGCACGTTAAATCATAACGTCATGGAGAGAGTGTTGCGAGACAATTCCATGCGATGGGATGGTCCTAGGTGGATCATCGCGCGGGGCTAATCGCTATCAGCGGAATAAGGGCGGGCCGACGGGGTTGCTGGGGCGACGCGCTGGACCCGAACCCAAACAGTTCAAGTTCCAGTTCCTCCATTCCCCAACTTCCCTTCTATCGACAACTTCGCCCAACTTCGCCAACTTCGACAACTTTACTGACCATGACAGTCCAGGCTTGAGTCAATCAACTCGATACTTAAGTCGACAGATCTCCTCTTTTCTTGCTTCCTATTCTTTCTCCCTTTTCGCTGCACTGTTTCTACTTCTTCTCAACAATGGCGACGAAGACACTAGAGGCTCGATTCGAGCACCTGTCCGTCAAGGAGGAAAAGGAAACTACCGCCAACCGTGGCTATGGCAAGCAAAAGGTACCTTACAACAAGATCATACATCACCTTCCAACCAACCTGGCTGACTCGATCTGCTCTAGGACTCTCTCTCTACCGCCTCCTCTCGACCCGGTCTGGGCGCGAGCCAAAGCAACTCGAACCGCGCCCAATTGCTAAAGCTAGCTCTGCAAAATACCAATGACCACAAGACCAACTCGATGAATATCCCTGTCTCCCCTGGCAAGGGATCGCAGGGCACACTGGTGACCCGCAACACCGACGAAAACGGCGAACAACGCACCTCAACCTCTGGATCCGAGTCCACTATTCCCAGAGAACTGCACCTCGGAATGTTCGAGATTGGTAAACCTCTCGGAAAGGGCAAGTTCGGCCGTGTCTACCTAGCCAAGGAGCGATCTTCGGGCTTTGTCTGCGCCCTCAAGGTCCTGCACAAATCGGAGCTGCAACAGGGCGGCGTCCAGAAGCAAGTTCGTCGCGAGATTGAGATTCAGAGTAACTTGCGCCACCCGAACGTGCTGCGTCTGTACGGCCATTTCCACGACAGCAAGCGGATCTTCCTTATTCTAGAATTCGCCGGCAAGGGAGAGCTGTACAAGCATCTTCGGAAAGAGCACCGATTCCCCGAGTGGAAGGCGGCGCAGTACATTGCGCAGATGGCGGCAGCTCTCAAATACCTCCACAAGAAACATGTCATGCATCGTGACATCAAGCCGGAGAATATCCTGGTCGGTATTCACGGCGAAATCAAGATCAGTGATTTCGGCTGGAGCGTACACGCTCCTAACAACCGCAGACAGACGATGTGCGGGACACTCGACTACCTGCCCCCAGAGATGCTGAAGCCCGGCTCTCAGGACAACTACTACAGCGAGAAGGTTGACCTGTGGAGTCTGGGTGTTTTGGCCTACGAGTTCTTGGTCGGTGAGGCGCCTTTCGAGGATACGCCAGTAATGACCCAGCGAAGAATTGCCCGCGCGGATATGTCTGTACCTTCTTTCGTCAGCCCCGAGGGCAGGGACCTCATCAAGCGAGTAAGTTCCCAACACGCGTCCAATCTATCTCCTTTCGATATTCGCATGCTCATTTGGTAATAGTTGCTTGTTCTTGACCCCGAGAAGCGTATTCCTCTCGACGAAATCCAGCGCCACCCTTGGATCATCAAGCACTGCGTCAAGGAACCGAAGCGGAGCTCCGCCTCGTCCAAGGAGGGCAAAGCATGATTATTTTACGCATGACAGAATTGGTGTTTTGGTGTTACTTTTGGTTCTGTTCTGTTTTCGCTCGATCCATGACCATAGCGTGGATATCATGGTGTTTCTGGCGTCCGCGCATTTTGTGCATTTTCGGAGTTTCTTGGAGTATAAGCTATGGTATGGATGGCGCCTGCGATCTGGAACATGTGCTCTTAATTTGATCTTTTCCATACAGTGCCAATGAAATGACATATGGTACATTCACAAATGGTTCTATTGTACAGGGTAGGGCTGCGTGAGATGAGATGAGATGAGAGTGAGAGGTATATAATATAACACGGTGTAGGTGGTAAGTCGCTGCTGTCGGACAGTGTCGACTGATGGAGGCAAAACTTGAAAGGTGCGGTGCGGTATCATCTGTAAATTTCATCAAACGGCCTCGTGTCTCGGAAACAGCTATTCCAAACTTCATTGACCACTTGAGTCGCATGCGCCTCGTCTTTGCAGGTAGGTCGAGCACGCACGGAGAGAATCGCTCTCCTACGAACACACTCTTGGTGTTGTTGGGTCAATTTCCATTGCCCTCTTCGGAAGAATTCTCGTGACCATCTACACTCGCCACTGAGTGAACTAGCTCGAATCTGCAACGGATTGGATTGGATTAGTCGGTCACTTCGTGCCATGGGTGCGATTACAACCAAGAGGTGTGTAACTGCATCGCGCAAATATCTCAGAGTCAGAGTCAGACATACCTCTGTACAAGCGGCATGTCGCAGATTATTAGACCAATCGACCTTAAACCGCAGATGATCGAACGCGTGAACCATCTCGTGAGCCATGGTATCTTCCAAATGACCCTGGTCTTTCATCTCGTTGGCGCAAATCAGGATTCCATATTCCGGGTCGAAACCGCCGCCCTTGCGGTCTGTACAGCGGCGGCAGTAGATATTATGGTTGTGGAGGTCGCCTCCCAGTTGCTTGATGTTATCGCTCAGGTAACGGATGACGGGGCCTATGGGTTGTGGTTTACCATTGTTAGTCGGTGAAGCTCAAGCTTTGTGCACACGATTGTGGATTTGGGGAGAAGGGGGAGGAGTGGGAGCATACTATATTGAAGTAGAAATTCTTTTTGCTCATCACAGCGTTTGCAGTCAGCCTCTTCATTCCGAATATCGCGCGCAAGTCGGAACTGTTCGATGCCATCCGGAGACATCTTTCCTGTCAGGATGGAGTAGATATTCTTGAACTGGGTCCACGTATCATCACCCGAGACAAAGCCGGTATCCGGCTTGTCCTTGCCATTGGAAGGTGAAGGTGAAGGTGCAGCCGCAGCTGAGGCTGAGGCTGAGGACTGAGAATCGGACATCTTGAATCGCAAACTGCAAGCTGCAGGAAGCGCGCAACGCCGACGAATCTAAGAATTGACCTCCGAAGGGCGGAGATTCCCGGCAGAACCCGCGGAGATTGCTCCGGCTCCGATACAGGGCAGTAGAGTCAGAACTTGACATTGACATTCGCGCAGTGCAAGACAGGGATACGGCGCGGACCTTTTTCATTTTCGATTTTTCTTTCGAATCGTGGCACGGAAGCATTATTTTGTTGCTATAAATTGATCCGGCCTGTGCAACATGGCGGCCGCTTCGGGGCTGACGATTGTGATCAAACTCGGTGCGGGGATACATATACGTCAATGCGTCAACTTGGACGTGCGAAGCAGTATGGATTAACTAACAACACTGTTCTTCTAGGGACAAGTTCGATTGTCGACGAGAAGACACATGAGCCCATTCTCTCCATTTTGACATTGATTGTTGAAACGGTAGCTAAGCTGCGCAAAGATGGACATAGAGTCGTGCTCGTTTCCTCTGGCGCGGTGGGGGTTGGTTTGCGGAGGATGGACGTGGATGAAAGACCGAAATATCTACCCCGAATACAGGTGAGAAAGCGAATCGGACACCTATGAGCCCAAGATCTCTCAGTATTCTCTACAGGGCTGGCTGGGACTGGGCCTCTGACGACGGCGCTAACTCCAATTACCTAGGCACTCGCTGCTGTCGGACAGTGTCGACTGATGAGCTTGTGGGATAACCTCTTCTCACACCTCAATGTTCCGGTGGCTCAAATTCTTTTGACGAGAAACGACATTGCAGATGTATTTATCCCCGAATTTCTCTCGGAATGCCTGCCCTTAATTGTCCTCGCCGACTAACCTTTACAGAAAACTCAATATTTCAATGCACAAAATACCTTCGAGCAACTATTTGACATGGGTGTGATCCCAATTGTCAACGAGAATGACACTTTAGCTGTTTCTGTAAGAAAATCTACCCCGTACATCTCAGAGTCCCTCGAACACGTCAGCTAACCTTACATGGCGTTCCCGTCTTCAAGGAAATCAAATTTGGCGATAACGATACCCTCTCAGCTATTGCTGCGGCCACAGTCAAGGCCGATTACCTATTCTTAATGACGGACGTTGACTGCCTCTACACCGCGAATCCTCGCACAAACCCCGATGCCGAGCCCATCGAGGTCGTTTCCGACATCTCATCGCTCGAAGCCGACGTTTCATCAGCGGGATCTTCCTTAGGAACTGGGGGCATGAGTACTAAGATTGTGGCAGCGAAACTCGGAACCAGCGCCGGAGTAACTACAGTTATCACCAAAAGCTCCAAACCCGGCAACGTTCACGACATCGTGAAGTATCTCCAGGCCCTGCAAGCCAAATCCAAATCCGACTCAAATGGTGATGGTGCCGGTGATGGGATAGAAATTCCCCCAGCACCGTTACACACGCGCTTCCTCCCCTCGGAAACCCCAATCCAATCCCGAACATTCTGGCTCCTGCACGGCCTCCAACCGCACGGAACAATCTACATCGACCCAGGCGCCTACGATGCCCTCCTCCTAAACAAAGCCAGCCTCCTCCCCGCCGGCGTCCTCGCCGTCGAAGGCCACTTCGGAGCCCACGAAGCCGTCCGTCTCGTCGTTGCAGAACGACCGGACCTAGACGCACTTAATGGCGATTTCCTGCTCCATAGCCAAGAACCGAAGGAGGTTGGCCGCGCGCTCGTGAATTATGGCAGTTTTGAAATCGATCATATTAAGGGTCATCGGAGTTCGCAGATTAATGATTTGCTTGGGTATTCGGATAGCGATTATGTTGCTCTTCATGAGAATATCTCTTTTCACCCGGAGGATCGACATAATCATCGTCCCGCGACACCGGTTATGACTCCTGCGCTTGAGGAGTGGAAGTCGCCCAAGTCGCCGACGCCGATGTCGCCTTAGTGGTGAGATGAGTACTATGCCTATGGCTACGCCTGTACCTACGGACACTGCATGCCTCACGAAACGAATCATGATTCTGGACGACCAGCACATACAGTTGAAAAAGCTGGAATTTGTATATAGGCATAGATGGCCCTGTTTTTCATCAATCATGGGCCATTTGGAGTACAGCCTTATTGAAGAGGATAAAAGGAGGAAGAGGAGAGGGGAGGGTGGTGGTGTTGCATTTACATTTCTCAGAGATACCAGTCCAAAGCGGACAAAGCATTTGAAAATGTCCGCTAGCATATATTGAGCTCAACCTCAACTAAAAGCATTTATATAGAAAACATGAAAAAAATGAAGATCTCAGAATAGAAGCAAGCAAGAAAGAAATAACGCTGAGCAAGTGATGCACTGAACCGAAACAGAAAATACCCTAATCCTGCCAACGTTCTAACCATCGCTGCATCCTCTTATCCAAAGTCGGTGCCGCGGCGGGTGCAGCCTGGAACATCGCGCAGATAAGTATTAGCATCATTTCACTTCGAACGAATTTCAACATCGTCCCGGGAAGGCAAAGCCAGGTTCAAGTTCAACATACCGTATTCTCACTACTATGCGTAGTAAACGACAAATACGCCGTGTCGGTATACTGAACCGTCGGCGCAGGAAGATAAGTCGTAGCTTTGACAAAGGGAAAAGTCGGGTACTGAGGCGTGGGTGATTTATCCAATGGCGGGATCGTCGTGCCAGCCATCTTGGGCATAGGCGCATACTTTGTCAGACCGGTTTGTTCGCCGTAGGGAATTGTGTGAGGGTCTACGTCCACTGCGGCCGCTACAGGTGCAGCTGCTATAGGGGCTGCTGCAACAGGGGCTGCCGCAGCTGCGACGCCGAGTCGTTTCTTTAGCTCGAAGTGTTCGTGACCAGATGAGGTTGGGGTTGGGGGTTGGAGGGGTGGAGTTGCTGGTTCGTTATGCTCATTGCTGTCAGTGTCAGCGTCAGTGTCACTGGCGCTGCTGAGGGCATTCCCATTATAGATTGGTGTTTCTGGAGACCCGGCGAGAATCTGGGTGTCGCCATCGACTAGACCCAATGGGAGTGGGATTTGGATAGGTTTCATCGACTTGACGGCGTTGGAGATCTTGGTGGAGAAGGTGCCTTTCATGTTGGTGAGGGTGAAGTGGGAAGTAAATCCGGACCATTTTTCCGATGGATTTGAGGGAATTACTTTAAGGAAGCTGTATGTCAACGAAAGAGAGCGTTGAGGTTAGCATCTGTCTTTGCGAGAATTGATTATGGAAATGAGTAGGGTAGGGTAGGGTAGGATAGTCCATACTATGCATTGGGCTCATTTCCTCCGACATTACGGTCGACTTTAAATGAGAGCAGGTCACCTGGGACAACAGCCCCGTCATTGATAACTCGCTCGAGCGATTCCTTTTAGCGGGGATTCCGACGTTAGCTTGAACATAGCTTTGGCGTGGTCGTATATCTCGAAATGAAGCACTCACATAAGAACCCGTAGACTCATCACCAGCACAGAGAAAGAAGTCATAACGGCCAGCAGACTGCCCATCAAAAGCCCACATAAAACTCACGAGATCCTCGCCATCAAAGGATAACCCACTGAGAGTCTGGGCCGGAGCAAGTCCTAAGAAGGCGAACAGAGCAGACAATCGAAGCAAGCGCATGCTGTATGTCAAGCTGTCGAGACTCAAACTCAAGAGAAAGAGAAAAAGAGAGCAAAGAGAAGCGAACAGCAAAACAGATTCAAGCAGAGTAATGCGGACCAAGGGTATTGGTATTATCCCTTGGCCGCGAGTGGGTGTGGTATGTATCCCTCATTCCATACCTCTAGTACCCTTACCACCCTTGTCCCAGGGAGACTAAGAGTAAAGTAGAGTGAGTAAATGATGTGCAGCGCTAAGATAAGAAACGGCCCGTGCTATCAGCAGCCATGGGAGCCCTTCAGCCCGGAGCTTTCGAGCGGGAACTTAACTCTCCTTTACCCGCTCCAATCCCGAAATCAGCCCACACCATGTCGACTCAGGCCAACTGGACCTCGTTGACAGGAATCCTCACCTTCCTCTTCGAAGGGAGTTTGAGCGCCATTGCCGTTGCAATCCTCATCACCTTTGGCGTTCCTGTCCTTCTTCACATCGTCTTCTTCCGCTCGGTGGCGTCACCGCCATCCAGTAACTTCCTCCTACTTGGACCGAGTGGTGCGGGCAAGACTGCCTTTACGACTTTGGTACGTACACCCCTATCCAACAGAAATCCTTCTATTCTAACATCACCGTGCACTACAGCTCGAAGCAAAATCAACGCCCGCCTCCAAAAAGTCCCAAACAACCCACACATCCCAAACCTCAACCCTGATATCCGTCACCCTCCCACCATCCGTACCCACAGGGAGCAACCGCTACAGATCCATAAACGACCCCAGTCTAAAAGAAGCAACCCGCAACCCAGTCCGATACCGGTTGAAGGACACGCCCGGTCATGGCAAACTACGCCAAACCCAAGGCATCGCCGAACTAGTCTCGATGTCAACCAGCAAGGATCTCAAGACCAAGATTCGCGGACTGTTATTCATGGTCGATACCGCTGCTCTAGTCGACGAAGCCACCCTTCGCGATACAGCGAGTTATCTGCACGATGTATTGCTAGTGCTCCAGCAACGTGCGCTGGGTAAGGGGAAATCTTCTACGAAGCGGGATGCGGAAATTCCGGTTCTTATTGCGGGGAATAAGCAGGATTTGTTTACGGCTTTGCCGGCTGGGTCTGTGAGGGAGAAACTTGAAGGGGAGATTGAGAGGATTCGGAAGTCGAAGAGTACGGGGTTGATGGATGCTGGTGGTGGTGGTGGTGAGGAGGAGGAAGAGGAGGTGCTTGGTGATGATGATGGGAAGGGGGTTTTTAGTTTTAAGTTGCTTGAGCAGGTTGGGATTAAGGTTGATGTTGTTGGTGGTGCGGTTAAGGGGGATGCTGAGGAGGAAATTGGGTCTGGTGTTAGGAGGTGGGAGGAGTGGATTGGGATGTGTCTGTGAGGAAAGATCAGAGGATGTTGCTGTTTTGAAGGTTGGTGGATGGATGTTGAAGATGGGACTGAGGTTGGAGTTCCGAAAATATGCGTTGTTTCGTCGCTGTGTTAGCGAATCTAGCTTCAAGTTCTTGTTACATATTGGGATTATATAGCTGTACACCTCTCCCTTCACTCAAATGACATCAAAATCGAAATACTAGTACCTAAACACATGGATCGTAAATAGTATCCATTTAATGGATGAAGAGTGTCAGTCAAGTTGAAACACGGCCAGAAAAGTAGAGTAATTATAAAATTTGAAACCAGGATCATCAAAGTCCAAATATTCTCATCAAATATTGCCGTTGTAACTTGTGGGCCGGGGTCTATGAATAATTATTTATAGGTACGAAGCCATATTCGCACGATCTATCCTCAATTCCCAGTGTTGAAACCGATCGGAGCCCCGAAAGGAAAAAACGCCAGATCCCAAAAGAGATCTAAAACAAAAACAAAAAGCATAAACAAAAAACAGTAGAATCCTCATCAATTAGCAGGAAATGTTGAAACTCCGCCCCAAAAAGCAGCGACTAGGCTGCTCCATATGCAGATCATCCAGAAAACGTCGTATCATGTTTTAGCTTAAGCACTGCCACCATTACCGTTGGCCTTACCCTGGTGCAACAACCAAGAAAGAAGATCCACCTTGGTAACAATAGCCAACGGCTTGAGCGAACCACCCTCACCCTTCTCAGTAACAACAGCAGCAGAGTTCCACTCGAAGAAGCGGTTCAGCACGTTCAACGGGGTGTCCATGGTGATTTCCATGAATTGGCGGCGCTTTTGCTGCCCGGTTGCCTCACGGGGGTCAGTCACGACTTCGGGGATCTTGGAGAAGTCAAACATGACGTCGGAAACGGGGCTCTTGGCCGAAGCGCGGCCGTGTGTAAGTCGGCTGAGGACGTTACCCAGAGTGATCAGGCCAACGAGTTTACGGCCCGACGGGGCGAGGACGGGGAGTTGGTCGAAACCCTTTTCGCGCATGATTTCGATGGCAGCTTCGCAGGGGAAATTGGCCGTCACGGTGGTGATGGGTTTCAGGCGGAGGGCGCTGACCTTGGCGTTGGATAGAGGGTCCTTGGATTCGGTGGGCTTCAGGGTTTCGGTGACGGTGTCGGAGAGAGGGGCGGTTAGGAGGTCGTTGGCCGCGAGCCAGTCATCGTCGGCAAACTAAAAGTGAAAAAGAATGGTCAGTAGGGAAAGAGCAGAAAGAAAGAAAGAGATTCGCATGGATGAATCGTATCGTACCTTGGTGAGGTAGCTGCGAATGCTGTCCGGCAGAACAACAACCACCACATCATCCTTAGCAAACTTGCGCTCCTCGTTAGCCTTCACCAGAGCGGCAATGGCACTTCCACTGCTACCGCCAACCAGAAGACCCTCCTCGGCAATCAAACGGCGAGAATATTGGAAAGACTCCTTATCAGCAGTCTTGTACCACCGATCAACGATCTTCTGATCCAGCACCTCAGGAATGAAATCATAACCAATGCCCTCAACCTTGTACGGCTCATTTTCATGCGCATCATTCAAGGTGGTTGGGAGGGCGAGAATTGAACCAAGAGGATCGGCGGCGATCACATCGACATTGGGGTTGTGCTTCTTGAGACCGCGGGCAATACCGGTGATGGTACCACCGGTTCCGGCACCCGCAACGACAGCACTGACAGCGCCGTTGGTCTGGGCCCAGATTTCCTCGGCGGTGCCAAATTCGTGGGCGTTGGGGTTATTCTCGTTGCCGTATTGATCTAGGATATGCGCATTGGGGAGTTCCTTCTGCAGACGCTTGGCGACTCCGATGTGGGATTCGGGGGAGTCGAAGGCGGCTTCGTTCGGAGTCCGGATGATGGTTGCATTCAGGGCTTTCAGGACGGAGACTTTCTCGGCGGACATCTTTTCGGGGAGGGTGATGATGGTCTTGTAGCCTTTGACGGCGCCGACCAGAGCGAGACCGATGCCACTGTTCAGTAGGTTAGCGCAATGCTAAAGGGTAGAGGGCACAAGGCAAGGGCAGGACAACGAACGTGTTGCCACTGGTGGGCTCAATCAGAGTATCACCAGGCTTGATGCGGCCAGACTTCTCGGCCTCCTCGATCATGCGCAAGGCAATGCGGTCCTTGACACTACCTCCTGCATTGAAGTATTCCAATTTGGCGTAGACGGTGGCATCAATTCCCAAGCTGCGGGGCAGACGGTTCAGTCGGACTAGAGGAGTGTTGCCGATCTGTTGAGTGATGGTGTCCAACGCCACTGGTGGGTTGGCAGGCTTAGTAGTGGAAGCCATTGTTAATCAGCTCAGCTCAGCTCAGCGCTCAGCAATATGTGTGGTGTCTAGAGGAATGGGATGAAAGTAGAGGAGTGGGTGAAATGGACGTAGAAGTAGAGTCGAGAAGAATTCGCCATTTTTTTGGTCGGAAGGGTGATCGCCCGATGATAACCGTAGGAGTGGATGGACCCGCAACCAGACTTCACTCCCTATAGAAAACATTGAAAACTCCGACCTCTCGCCGATTACTCCTTCATCTCGGAGAACAATTTGGGTCCGTCAGTAACTCGCCGACAACACCACCACTGGTGTATACATACACCCCTCCCCTAATGCTGCTCCTCCACTACAGACTCTGCTGATCATCTCACCGGGCGTGTCTGGGCATTTCCTGGCATTCTGGCATTGGCATACATCGGATCCGACCGAACAAAGTGAACAAGAACAAGCATTGCAGAAGCATGGTGCAAGGCATCAAAACTGCAAAACACACCCAATTAACTCATCCGATCCCACTGACAGCTCCCGCCTCTCCGCAGGGGATTAACTTTGATAGCTTGTTTATCTCACATCGTCGATCGTGCTCTGGACCACCCACAGCCATTCTGCAGCCAGCCAAGTTTGTGGCTGTGCCCGGATACTATTCCCCACTGAGCGCGATTTGGCCTGGTCTCATCCCCTGAGTGCTTGGAACACGGAGATGACCTGGCCTGAGGTGAGGCGAGACTAGGCGAGGCCTCTGAAAAGAGACATGTCTACATGGCTGTGCCCATGACTGCCAGCAAAGTTGCTCGGATGGCTTCCTTCCAGCCTGTTCCAGGGCAAAGTATATGCCCAACCACCGCCATCCACACGAGAAAATCCACTGCATGAGCCGATCTGCGATACAATGTATCATGGATCGTGGCCGCCAAGCCCTTGCCGGCTCATCAGCTCCAGTCGCTGCACTTTGCCCAGTGTTTCATTGGTTGTGTGGACGTGCCAGTGCCAGCGCAGCCCCGGCCAGGGTGGAGAGGTCGTGTTTTTTTATTTCCTTCCCCGTCGCTTGTATACAAAATCCCCAGCCTTTGCGTTAGCTTTTGCTTTTTCTCTCCTTGCCCCTCTGTGCGACCCTTCGTGCGTTTCTCAAGCGTTCCTCGTGCATTTTTCTTCTTCGATCATCATAAAACAAACCCCTTGGCATCTTCTGCAGCTGGTCTGCCAAGCTTCTCTGGTTATTTTGTTCTCTCTCCTGTTATCTAGATTAATCGCCCTCGCCCACCGCGTCAATGGGCTCCGTCAGATCGTACGGCTCCCAAATCGGAGCAGTCTCAACCAGAGACGATATCCATACCCAACCACAGGAAAAAGGGACAAATGGCCAACAAAATTCCGTCTTACCGACCCTCGAAAAGGACCACCCCGCCCGCTATGTATTGGGCATCTTCCGCGTCAAGAGCGCAGGAGAAAGTGGCCGAACAGGAATTCACCCAATCCACTTCCTCCTCGTCTGCTTCAAGAGCATCTGCACCCTATCAATGGTCGTCAATATCCTCTGGCCATTCGTCCCCGCCGCAATCGTAATGCATTTCGCCCGACCCGATCTCCACGTCTGGGTATTCTCGCTAAACTACATCGCCATGGTCCCATCAGCAAACCTACTCGGCTTCGCGGGCGGAGAACTAGCCAAGAAGTTACCCAAAGTATTGGGAGTCTTGGTCGAAACGACGCTCGGCTCTGTTGTCGAATTGGTCCTTTTCATGGTCTTGCTGCATAATGATACCAGTAATGAACCCAACAGCGAACATAGCTTCATTCCCGTCATTCAAGCTGCTATCCTCGGCTCGATTCTCGCAAATTTGCTGCTCTGTTTGGGCATGTGTTTCTTTGTCGGGGGTTTGAAGCGCACCGAGCAGGTCTTTCATGAGGCTGTTAGTGAAGTTGGGACGGGATTGTTGCTGGTAGCTGGATTCGGTCTTTTGATTCCGAGCGCGTTTTACTCTGCTTTAAAGGGGGCTGTGAATCCGAATTTCACGCTTCAAGAGTTGGATGAGTCGGTTACTACGATTAGTCGTGCTACTTCGGTGATTCTTCTAATGGCGTTTTTCGGGTGAGTTTGAACTTCCAAAATATCGGGCTGGCTGGTCTTATCTTTCCAAATTTGCTAACCATCCATGAAATGCGTGATAGATACCTCGTCTTCAATCTACACAGCCACAACTCCATCTTTGACGACGTCCTAGAAATGGACGAACGACAAGACGAAGACCGAGACCAAGAAAACCGGCGCGCAAAACTCACTTTCGTCGAATGTCTAATTGCCATCGCCGTCTCCCTAACATGCGTCTGCATGTCTGCGGTATTCCTCGTCCAAGAAATCGAGCCCATTGTCGAACTAGGCGTCTCGGATAATTTCATGGGATTAATTCTAGTCCCCCTCGTCGAGAAAGCAGCTGAGCATTTAACCGCCGTCGACGAAGCTTGGGACAACCAAATCAATTTTGCGCTATTTCATTGTCTTGGCCCTTCGATTCATACCGCGCTGCTGAATGCGCCTCTTGCTGTTATTGTGGGTTGGGGTCTTGGTAAGAACATGACCCTGAATTTTGAGATTTTCATGGTTGTCCTACTTGTGCTGTCGATTTTGGTCGTTGGGAACTTTTTGCGGGATGGGAAGTCGAATTACCTGGAGGGGATGCTTTGTGTGCTTGTTTACTTTATTATCGCTGTTACTTCTTGGTATTATCCTAAGGTTGATGTGGCGGCGACTAACCAGGCTTGACCTTGAGCGATAGTGATTCTGGACTCAAGATGGACTGGACTGGACTGGACTGGATTAGATACTTGTAATTTACCTCTTTCATAAAATATACATTTTCGAATAAGCCCATTCAGTATAAGCTACCTATTATCTTGCTGTTCTGTCGAACACCCTGGGGCAACCCTACCTTTAGGATTTCCACCCAAAAGGGAAATTTGTATACATCGGTCTATTCACGTGACCGGGACCATCTCTGTACGTATGGCACACCGCAACGTTAGCAAACGAAGAACCCCTTACGCATAAAGACAAATTGTTTGAACGAGATTGTTCGCACCATGGGGCGCATCTAAACCTCGTGGCTAGGCTGATTCAGTGAGTTGGAGTACCTAAGCCATCATTGGCCCCGAGCTGGGCAGCTACCGAGCTGACCTCCGCTCCGCTAACAACAAATGGATCCGTTCCCCGTCCCCGTCCCAATCTCCGGCCCCGCGAATCGACGCTCAGCCCAGAGTCCTAAGATGGAAACCCACGACACCCTCGCCGACACTGTCCTCTCCTTATTCAATGAGCGAGAGTTACCCGTGAAGCGCGACGCAATAATCTCGGCTCTGGAAGACTCGGGCTCGGCCTCAACCACAGCCACAGGCCCAGGCCCAGACAATGCGCAATGGGTGTCAACACATCTGCACCCTGATACCCTCCTCTCGCGAGAAGAGCTAGCACTGTAAGGATAAGATATTGTGCAGCACAGTTCGCGCATTCTGAATATATTACTTACCTGAATCATTTTTGGTTTTTTTTGGCAGGTACAACAAACTCTCGCAGACGGGCAATCTTCATCCAATTCTACGTGAACCAGACCTCGATGCCACGCGACCATTTTTAGAAACCGATATTCGAGCCGCAATTCAATCTCTCGAGAACTCCACAGCCACGATTCAAAAACAATCAGATACACTCTCGCGACAATGTGACATTCTCAGAAAGCAATTTCGTCAGCAGGAGAGTTTGGATGGAGATCGGGGGCGGGATATCACGAGATTACGGAAGAAGCATGAGGTTGGGAGACAGAATACAACCATTGCGGTGCGTGCGCATTATACACTACCACAGAGAACTTGACGGAAGCTAGGGCTAAGCTAGGCTACATACAAGGGCTGTGCTGATGCTAAGTGTTTAACAGGCAAATGAACTTTCCGACGATCTCGAAGCGAGCTTTAGGAGCGCTACAGAATCAGCGGGTGTCGAAAACAAGAGAATTCTCTCCACACTATCCACCCAGCTAAAGCAGGACGATAAGAGCCTCAATTATTTGGAGAATCTCATGTCAAGCATCAAGTTTAATAGCAATGATGCGGATACGGTTAAGCGAACGGGTCAGCTCAGTTCGGTCCTTGCGGACTATGTGGCTGAAGAGATCCACGACCGGTTGGATAGGCTGTATCTTGAGGAAATTGAAGCTGGAGAGTCTGCTGCTTCTGCAGTAAGCCAAGACCAGGCTTCAATTTCAAGTGAATCAGAAACGGTGGCCGCCTTGGAAGAGGAATTGGGGTCCCTGTTCCCGGAAATCGAGGTGTTGGCGGAAATGTCGACTCGTCAAGAGTTCCAGGAGCCTATTCTTCGAGAGATTCAGAATGGACATAGTCAGCTTCGAGTTGTGTCGCATCAAAAGTTGGAAAAGGTGGGTCCCCTTTCATGGGATTTTGATTGTTGATATGGCATGCAGCTAACCCTTCAAAACATTGAACAGGTCCTCGATAGTATGGTCGATATGACATTATCCAAACAAGATCTAATCAAACAGCTCGGGGAACGGGGCTCAGCGAACGAAGTCCTAGAACAACTAGCCAACTTATACCAGGCAGAAACTGCCATCCCACTCGTGCCCCAACCCTCTTCTCGACGCGAGTCACTAAGACGGCGCTCGCTTCAACCAGGCATGATTCTCTCCGCTGCGCGTAACCCGGGTTCAGGTCCCGGCTCCTCTATCCCCGATCAACCACAACCAGACTTGGAAAGCCTACTCCGACGCGTCGGACTATCGCCCGAATCAGTACTTCGTCCGCGGGCGAACGGTGATGTAGAGGGTGGCGGTGCTCAGGGAATGCACGAGAAGCGAATTCAAATGGCAGAGACACTACGGAGTCTGGGCACTGCGGTGAACTCACCACTTGTGGGACAATTGGCCTTTTCTGACCATGCGATGCGGCTCTTGGACTCTTCATTGCATGCGAATTCCCGGTTTGAGACCTCGCTGTCGGATCCGGGACAATTGGAGGCTCTCGGGGCTTTGGAGGGTGATCTTGCCGAGCTCCAGAAGGGTGTAAGGGGGGTTGATTTGGAGATTTTGCACCAACGGGATAAGTCACGGGCTCGACTGTTGGAGCGATGGGGTTAGGTTAGGTGTGCATGGCCCGCTACGCTACTAGATGATGGTGTGCAGCCTAGGAACACAATCACTATTGTCGCTCTCGACGACAGGCAGGAAAACCAACGCCCCGAACTGTTGGTTTTGGATTGGAAGCTCTCGTCCTGTAGATTTCTCCTGCGCGCCATCGCCCCCAATTCTCCGGGCTCGGCTATGGCTATGATTCGATGAGAAGTGTGGCTGGGGGCAGTGTTGCGCCACCTGTGCCGTAACCATTATTTATCGCTCTCGTGGAATTCGTGCATGACCGTGACTGTTTTTCGATTTGCGATCCATGACATCGAAGGGTGCCGGGAATAATTCATGATGATTTGCAGGGTGGGTCGGCCACTCCCGCGCCCAGGCGGTTCCTGCAGAGCAGAGCCGCCCGTGAAGTACATACGAAGTACGGACTACCATATTCCCCTCGCGAAAAAGAAAACAAGAAATGAGGAGACGGTTTAGATTTTGCAATCAAGCAATCTCTATTCTTAACACGAACAATCGAGAAACAAAGTCATCCCATTCCAGCTCTTACTATACTACACTATATAGCAGTGTTTTGTTAGCCTTCGTCACCTGTGGTACCCCTGCTGACACTCGGACTGCGCCCCTGTGACCAAAGCGCATCATACAGCACTGGCATCAACCACATCCCAAAACAATACTACGAAAAGAAAGTCTTGGAAGTAGTTGCCTTCTCTTTTATCTTTATCACTTTTACTGCCTACGCCCGAAGCGAAAGAGAGAGAAAGAGAGAGAGAGAAAATATGCAGAAATAGTAGTATATAATATGTCATCGCCGCGAAAGGCAAAGAAGAATTCTTTGTTCCGAGTCCAAATAAGAAGTCTGCACTATTCTTGGCTACCCCGGGCCCTTTGTACTTCAAGTTGTACTACTAGTATGCCCTCAGACAATGCCAGCTGCCCGTGAATTCCAAGGTTCTGCAACTGCGACAAAACTTGAATCACCTGCTTTGAATATATGACCGGCAGCCCATGCATATGCACATGCACATTCCTCTTCTTTATTCTATCTCTTTCATAGATCCTGGTATATCCCATCCCGCCTGGTCTAGAGGGGGCTGTTTGAAACCAAACTTGAAAAGAACAACCACCCACCCAGCGCCTTGGATTGGGACTTTGTTCCGTATTCCAACTCTAGACCTCTCGGGGAGAGGAGACCTCTTTGTTTGGTTTCGTAAGCCCTGGAGGGGGTGTGGTGTCGAGTTCAAGTATCCTGTCTCATCTTTGATTCATATACTCGACCTCGACCTCGATCTCTTCTCGTCGCTTCTTGGTAAGTGAAAGTACATAGGTATTGAGCCAAGCCCCATATGGACTCTTACAGCTACTCATCCGTCGCCGACGGGAGGCATCGACCAAGATCTAACGATGATTTCAGGACCCGGGACGATTTAATGCGAAGAGACTCACGACGAGAATCTTTCTCTTCATCTTCATCCCACTCCTCCAATAGAAGAAGATCGAAGTGGTATCACGAAGTTCCGATCCTTGGATCTGTCGTACGTACAATGAAGGATATTTTGGGCTTAGATGACTCGATGCGGTACCGCTTCAGAGAAGGGTACCAGCGTATTGAAAGCTCACGTCGTCACCGTCGAAAGAGATCGTCTCCGCCGGATGATGAATACTACATTTATCGTCGAAGCCGTCGAAGTTCGGGATCATCTCAAGCTAGATCGCAGCCGCAGCCGCAACCGCAACGACAGTATGATGGAACACGCAAACGCACCCGTGTCTACTACCCCCCGGGCCTAAAGCCACAACGTGAAAGTGGGTGGGGGGGATATATACCGAGACCGTGATCGAGATCGAGATCACCCGGCTGGTAGTGCCTGGCGGGATAAATCTTTTCTAGAACACCAACACCCTCCCCGATCATCTTCAACCTCATCCTACACGAGACCACGACACCCGAACATTATCGAGAGATCACCCGGTGCTGGCGCTGAAACCGAAACCAGAAGACGAAGAGTATCATTCGCAGATCCACTAGAAACCCCACCTCACCCTCTAAGACAAAAACGCCCTTCAATCAACGACCAAACCGGGTCCCGAAAAAGATCTCCACCCGAGACACGGGAAGGAGGTCGATTCTATATTCGGGAAAGTACTACTGATATCAATTTCCGGGCACCGAGACCACGTTCACCGGTGACGGAACGAACGCCTCTACGATCCGGACAAAGGATTCCAATACCAGGCTCTCCTCCAAGATGCGGATCCACGGGAAGTTATGACTGTTATGATTATAGTTACACTTATAATGGCGAGTCGGACTCTCGCGATGATGTGCAGTATAAACTACCCCGAGAAAGCCGCCCATGTTCGTATTCGAGTGATGTCGAGATCGTTGAACGATCGCCCAAGCGTCCGCGAAGCTCATACTCAGAGCGGCGGGAACGACAATATTATAGTACTACTAGTATGGACAGGCCTTCGGAAATCATCGACTGGGGACTCAGAAACCAGGACCTAAATGCAAGATCCCGGAGAATCATAGACGGGGCAAATCCTCGCGGATCTTCTCTTCATAAGCGTCGAGGTGAATTTGAGGTACGTCGCTCTTAACATGGAACTCAACTCAGACGAAGCCTGGCGGGCTTCTCTCACAGCATACCCTGGGCTCCTCGAAACCTGAATGGTCGCTTACTCGGTTTTAAAATAGAGGAGGATGAAACGGTCTAGGGTATCTGGACCTTTACTGTGGATTATTACGTAGGCCATGCGAATCCCGGGAAGATGGGCGCGGTTCGCTCTAGGCTGGATAGAGGGGTTATAGTTATCTGTGGCTTTGGATGACGGGAGCTCTCTTTGTTATCATCACTTTCTTTGATACTTTTATCTCTCCCTTCTATTATTCACAGGCTCCATATTGAAATCGAAATACAAAGGGTAGAGACGAGGTGTCCTGCGCCTTGTGGCGCTATTGTATTCAGTGTATATTATTCACGATTATATAGACATTTCGTTTTGTATAGTGTACGAGTATTTAACGATAATTTATGACTATTGGATCTGCTGTTACTACTAGTATTCTATGCTATGCTATAATGGTGCGTCTTACCATTTACCCAGCCATTGATGCCCTGAGCCGGGCCGTCACCTACTACTAGCCACCCGTGGATCTGCATGATATATATACTACTGGTGCCAGTGGTCACCTCGGCAAGGGGCTTCCAGCAACACAACCCGAAGATTGAATGCTTGCCCAAGTGAGCTATAAGAGTTGGGACGGGAGATCATCAGCATCCATGGATATGCTTTGCGCTTATTTTGGTGTGAGGACTTGAATGTTTATCTCCTCTCTGCCATCTTGGCCACTAAGGATGTAATAGTCACGTGTGAGCTAATCCCGAGGTTGAATTTACGGACACAACTCGGCATTTGGATTTGCGCCAATTTGCAACCTTTGGAACTATTCGTCAGATTCAAGAGTGAATACAATAAATGCAAATGCAGTAAAAAGAGAAAGCATCGAAACTTGAATCGACATTCACTCATCCCCTTCCCACTAGAACGGAAAGTTTGCCGATCACCTGCGAGTCCCCGCGGGTGGAGTGATCCAAACAGCTTATCTTTCGCCCCCTTAGGGAACTTGCACTTGAACTGGGAACTGGGAACTGTGGGAACTGATCAAACTTGATTGCTTCCTGGTTTTTGTTCCACCTTCCACTTCCACCTCCACTTCCACTTTGCTTATTTCCTCTTCTGCTCCCCAATGCGCGCACTTTAGCGACCGCGACTTGAACGATTGTAAGTACCACGCCGAATCTGGCGCAGTGGCTTTTTTGGGCATGCGCAGTTGACACAATCAGGCAGCCGGGCTTGGTTTCTGGTTTCACTTCGATCCTCTCCCTAGAGTCCTTTCTAAAGACTATCCCCTATCAGTATCGCTATAGTATCGCGACTATCATCGTTATCGGTCCTCTTCTGTCACAGCTACCGGATCTTGCCTACCTGTCTTCCTCTGACTTGCACCCCGTCACGCGCATCCATACCACCTTTCCTTCGACCCCCGACTCCGTGACCCTTCATCACGCCAGTCCAAGCCTCAGCCAATTTCCATCGTCGCAAAAAATGAGATATCGATCCGAGGGACTACAATCCACCTCCCGGACCGGGCGCGCTCTCTCTCACTCAACAGCCACCTCGGCACACCTTTACCCCGGACAATAAAATATAACCACAACCAAAAGATATGGCTGCTACAATGACTCAAATTGAATGCAACACAAATGGCGCCCCATCACCACCGCCTCTACTGAAGCTGGGCTTACCGGTCGAAGATTCCACATCCAATCCCACGATGGACGACTCGACCGCGGCAGCAGCGGTCTTTAAAATCTCCCCCCGAGGAAGCCCTGCAACAGCTTTGCGATAATGTCGAAAGACTAAACGCCTACTTCGCATCGAGCACGACAACCACAGATCCAAATTCTTTCTGCTCAACTCCGATCGGAAGTGAAACACCGGCGGAGGAGGAGGAGCGTCTGGGTCTCGCCGTAAAAAGCGTCGGTATACACTGCGGAAACACAGAGGACCAAGACCACCATACAGAGCGAACGAAAGAAGAATTTTTCCAAATGGCCATCCTTTCACGCAAATTTCTCTCCAAAAAGATCCCTCCCATTTCACTGCAAGACTACTTACTCCGACTACACCGCTACTGCCCGATGTCCACGGCCGTATTTCTCGCCACCAGCGTCTACATTACACGAATGACACTAGTGGAGAAGATGTTCCGCGTCACGCCGAAGAACATGCACCGACTGGTATTGGCGGGTCTTCTCGTTGCTATCAAGGCCTTGGAAGATCTGGGATTTCCGCATACGCGGATTGCGAAAGTTGGCGGTGTTGGCGATGTGGAGTTGTCGAAGTTGGAGATGAGCTTTTGTTTTCTTGCGGACTTTGATCTAAGGGTTGATGCGCGGATGTTGATGAATGAGATGAATGAGATGAATCATATGAATCTAGAGGAAGGACTGGCGCCAGAGTCGCCTGGCCCCGAATAAGGTCCTCAATGATTGATGATGGAGATATTTAATGCGTTTCTGATAGTGTTGCGCGCTGACCCATTCTGTACACTTTCGAATGCTCATCTATGTTAATAAAGAATTCTCTAAGAATCAATGGAATGCAATGTTAATAAAGTCGAATATGACTACCGTGACCCAGACTCCGCCAAGGTAAATCTTGAGGCAAGAAACCAATGGTTGTCTTTTGATTGGCCGAGGCGGAGGCAAAGGGAGAGTGTATACCAGCAGGCATTAAGCATACAGTAGTAGTAGTAAAGTTGGAACCCAAACAGTTTCCCCCTAGCAATAGAAATAGAACCAATTTCTCTGCAGACCATAATCCACTCAGTCATCCACTGCGCTGACTGCAGGGCAACGTCAAGTCGGGATCGCTGCAGCCTACGCTTAGCGTGGAGACTTTCTGATTTCCCCGACTGCCAAAAAAGTCCGCCCTTCTCACCCTGGTCTGTTCCTGTTCCTCCACAGCCACTCCCCCCCCTCTCTCTCCATTTATTCATCTACGCGAAATCTGTGCTGGTTACGGGAATCGCAATGTTCCGTTAGAGAGCCAGAGTTTCTATAAAAACACTCCTTGGAATCGCGCCCCCCATCGATTCCACTCCGAATCCCCTGCCCCGTCCGAACGGCAGCCTCCCGATCCCGACTGATCCTCACCCCCGTTTCACGATACACGCCTCGTCATGTCTTCCAAAACTCCGCCCTCCGATACACAGAGTAGTAGTCCCCTAGGACAAAGCTCTCGATCGACATCAGCCGTGACCGGAAAAGAGACCCCAACCCCCTCAAACACCGATGTCGAGATGAAGAGCATGCAGTCCAATGCGCCCAAGGGCTCTATCCCCCTGGGTGAGGATATCATGCAGCTAGCTCGCATTGGAGAGATCGGCGCAATGCAGAATCTGTTTGCGACTAAGAAATTGACTGCGAATCATAGAGATGAGGAAGGAATTACTCCGCTACACGTTTGTTTGCCCCCCCCCTCCTCCTCCTCCTCCTCTCCACCGCGGAGATGCAATAGACCGGTCCAGGTAGCTGATTCTTTGAAACCGATGCTAGTGGGCTGCGATCAATAACCAATATGCGATGTGCAAATTCCTCATCGACTCCGGAGCCGACGTGAACGCAAAGGGCGGAGAGTCCGTAGCCACACCAGCGATGTGGGCAGCGCAACGATGCCACTACTACATCGTCAACCTGCTCCTTTCGCACGGCGCAGACCCCCTCCTAACCGACGTCCAAGGCTACAACATCCTCCACCTCGCAACCATCGACGGGAACGCATTCCTACTCGTCCTACTCCTACACCAGGAGATTCCCGTGGACGTAGTCGACCAGCAAGGCCACACAGGACTGATGTGGGCCGCATACAAGGGCTACCCAACATGCGTGGACCTATTCCTACGCTGGGGCGCCAATGCCAATGCAGTAGATGAGGGCGGACTAACGCCTCTCCACTGGGCATTGGTGAAGGGCTCATTACCGTGTGTGTTGAAGCTATTGGAATACGGGGCCGATCGATTCGCACAGACCCGCGATGGAAAGTCGCCCAGTACGGTCGCGCAAGAGATGAATACTATGCGGGTCTGGTATCGTGCTCTTAATGAGCGGGGCTATGAGCCTGATGGGACTCAGAAGGAGGTGCCGATGGGTCTGGCGATTGTTCGGAATAAGAGTACCATGGCGAAGTTTTTCTTCCTTTGGCCGTTTTTGACTATTCTGCTTGCGCTTTGGATGCTTAGCCATATCTCGGTTTTCTTGAGTATTCCGCTTACGTTGGTCACGCTCTTTGGAATGCAGTGGTCTGCGCAGCAGTTGGCGAATCGGGGGCCTTCAGAGTATCGTATCTTGCAGAAGACGGTATGTTATTTGCTTATATTAACAACGGCCATGTTGTGATTGAAATATTTACTAACAAGGTGTGTGTAGCCGTACCTCGCTGGTGTTTTCGCAGGCACATTGTTTTGGGTTGGCTTTTGCTATGTTTTCAGGGTATTGCCAGGTGAGTTGAGTTTGGGGAGATTGATGAATCCCAGCATTCAAGAAATTCGCTGACAGAATGGGAATAGCCACTTATTCTTCATCCCCGATTTTGAACATCCTGTTTGCCGTCTTCTATAGTCTTACAACCTATTTCTATATCTACGCCATGGTTCAGGACCCGGGTTACGTGCCCAAGATTAGCAGCCGGAACCAGCAAAGGGAAATGGTCAAGCAACTCTTCGAGCTCTGGAAGTTTGACGAACAAAACTTTTGCGTCCCTTGCATGTCACGAAAGCCTCTCCGCAGCAAGCATTGTCGCCGTTGCGGCCGTTGCGTTTCGAAGCACGACCAGTAAGTTCACGCCCCCCCCCCGGGCGCTTCAGCTCACCTGCTAATCACATCCAAAGCCACTGTCCCTGGATTGACAACTGCGTCGGAGCGAACAACCTCCGCCACTTCGTTCTCTACATCGTTTCCCTCGAAGTCGGCATCATTCTATTTGTCCAGCTGACCGTTCGCTGTGAGTAAATTCCCAGCCATCAACACCCACCCTAAGCCCCATCACTAATCTCAATCCCACCAGATATCAACGCCCTGCCCGCCCCCACAGCCGCATCATGCAACGTAATCAACGACGCCCTCTGCAGCTACGTCACAAGGGACACATTCACCCTAGTCCTAAACATCTGGGTTATCCTCCAACTAGTCTGGGTAACAATGCTCTGCGCAGTCCAACTAGTCCAAATCTCCCGCAACCAAACAACATACGAAAACATGCGCGGCCACCACATCGACCGATCATACCCAAGTTCCCAAGCCTTCGCCTCAGCAATGACAGCAGGAACAACCTCCCTAGACGCGGCCGGCCTATCCGCCTCAGGCGCAGGACCCAACCCAGCCCTATCCGGACCTCCCCCACCGCGTCGCCGCCATGGCAACTGTTTCTCGCAATGGTCCAGCTTACTGGGCATTGATGCATTCTTCGCAACGGCGAGAGATGGCCTGCGTGAGGGCCAGGGCCAAGCAGTCGCGCGTCCTAGGAATCCGTTCTCCCGCGGTATTGTCACGAATTGTCGCGATTTCTGGTGTGATCCTGCGCCTGTTTTTGGGAAACGACAGTCTGGGTCGGCGATGTTGGCGGGTGAGATCGTTAATTATCATGATATGTATGAGACGCCGATGCGGATGCATACTGGGGCTAGATCGAGGTCGAGGGGTGGAGGTGATGCGGATGGTGGTGCTTATCGGAGTGTTGCGGATGAGGATCCTGAGCGGATGGTTTAGATTGATCCTTGATCCGAGGTTTTTCATGTTCATGTTCATGTTCATGTCTGACTGAATCGGATTGATGCGATGCGATGCGAATCAAATATCCGTTCCAGTTCCCCTTTGCATTTTCCTGGGCTGGTGGTGGTTGAAGAGTATTTATTAATGACCCTGCCGACCCTACCTTACTATGTGATATTCCACATTCCTCCCTCCTCCCTTCACAAATACTTCATCATGTTTTTTTTTCTCGGGCCTTCTTATGTATGACAGCAGCGACGGTGTTGTGTTGTGTTGCATTGCGTTGGCATATTCTTTGGTTTTCCCGACATTTTATCATATGTTATGGAGTTCATTTTTGGAGCTGAGCTTGAGCTTGAGCTTGAGCTTTCCTTCAACTTGAAGTTGGTAAGGGTTGACTTGACCTTGAAGCTGGGCTGGGCTTGCTTGTATTGTACAGTGGATGCTAGAAATAATGATTATATTAGCCTTAGCCTTTCAAGTTTTATCATGATCCGTGGATATAATTTACTGATTCTGTTGGTAGTAGTAGCCAGCTATTACCAGTAACTAGTAGATAGAAACTTACCAATGGTACTAGTAACTCTAAACAAAAGAGATGGTGTGAGAGAACGAGTAAGGACTAACAATAATAACTAATATCAGTACGACGACGCTATGGATAGTCCTGGCTGGACTCGACAACAGCCAGAGTCAACCGGCAAAAATTACACTCTAAACCTCCCCAATAGATAGAGTATAGATAAAAAGAAAACAAATAGCGATATAATTCACAGCCATATCTGGAATAGGGGAGGAAGTTCCAATTTCACTTGCTAGAGGGGAGGGAGTACTGGCATGGGTTCAAGTGAATGACCCCGAGCCCTCGGGATAGCCTTCAACTTCAAGCTTACATAGTACTATATATACAGTCAAACGCCCTAGATCCAGGAAAAGCTACTGAGTAGTCACCTACTACTAATACCTAGTAGTAAAAAAACTAATTAGCGGGTTTCTGGACGAGCGACATATTACCGTGACTGGCACGGCATTCAGATACGCCTTTCCAGACTAAATTAGAGTAGAGTAACTAATCACCACTATCACCTCGACCAAATAGTTCAACATAGAAGGAAGGACATAATTTGAATTCCGAATTATTACCCTATAGGAGAGGAGTGAGTAGTTCGTCTATTTGCAGCCTCGAGCGCCAAATACTCGTATTGCCCCTGCCCCTGCCCCAACCCCAACCCCAACTCCAACCCCACGGCACTGGTCGAAAGTGGAAAGAAAGTCGATAGCATGACTACAGTAGGTAAGGCAGGCCAAGCCAAAAGTTACCGAGTACATCCAGGATAGGACATGATGGGACAGACGTACCGTTGGGGTACACTCACTGCCGGGCCAGGTAGTGGGGAGAGGAGAGGAGACGAGATTGAGATTGGACTGGACCCTGCATTTGAAATTGAAACTAATACAAGAGAAGACATGCTCGACAAGTTACCGATGATCACTTCACTTTCGGCAGGGAAAGACATCCGCAGCAGGCGACGTGCCGATCCCTGCAGATGCCTCGCAAATTCTGGAAAACTGCCTATTCTTGCCTCATTGTCCGAGTCGGGGACCGAGCCGAGGATGGATGCAGATGCAGACGCGGACATGGACACGGGCTAGGCTAGACTAGGCTACATAGGAGAGATGAGGAGACAAGATGAGAGGAGCTAACTACAGTAGCTAGCCAGCTACTCGTAGCTACAGTACACGGTTCAAGAGAGTGGGTGGGAGGGGGCAGGCAGGCTATCCTATCCTATCCTATCCTATCCACTTTCCTTCGGGGCGAGAGCGAGGGTGCCAGTGACAGCTCAGCTCAGCTGGCATGGCTGGCGTACTAGTACATACACATATGTATAAGTACTAGTACTATAGTTTGTGACTTGGTAAAACGAACCAAGGAACGAAACGAAATGAACCACTTAGCTCTGGGAAAATTGGTCCGAGGATCCGTGGAACAGATTAAGCCAAGACCTCGGGAGCACAGGGAAAGACATGATCTGATTTGATCTGATCTGATATGAAATGGCCTGATATGATCCTGATCCGCGAAGAGCGCAGTAAGCGAATCGTCGCCGACACTGATGACCCGACCCTAAGATGAAACGAGGCCGGAAACTCAAACCAAACCAACCCGGACGCCACGAAAAGGGTTTTAGTGTCAGTGTTAGTGTCAGTCTTGACGTGACAAACGTTATTGGAGATTTTATGGACGCTTGATCGAATCGAGTTCAAGTTGAGAGGGTTAGAAGTACTTGAATGCAGGGTCTTTGATCTGAAGGATGGTAATTACAGTATAGCATTTCACCGCATTGCATAGCATTGCATTCCATTACCCAGCCATGCCGCCGTGATGCATGTATACGAGTACATTTTGAATTTCCGGAATCAGTCGTGACTCGTGACAGGTCTAAGGCGTTCAATTTGAAGTTCGCAGGGCTTGAGTTAAGCTTGTTTTTCACACATGGCGCAAACCTCCAGATGGACTTCAAGTTCTATGGCCAAAGCCAAAGAATTTCGGCGACATTTTGGATCTTCTAACTCCAAGGCCGTTCTGTACATTTTCGCATGTATTTCGTCCTCAACCCACGCAGCCTAGCCTAGCCTAGTACTCTGTAATGTGTATAACTAATCTCCAAAGCCTGCACGATGCGAGCCGACTCCACCCTGTGGGACCTTGCCCTGTATCCTTGCCCTGTGAATTCGACAGGCGGCTCGGTTGGGAGCGAGCGAAGGAGCAAGGGTTGGCGTTGGCGTGGCATGGAGTGCGAAGCGGGTCCTCGGTAGCCGGAAAGACGAGGATGAAGATGGGTACATCTGCACCTGCATCTTGGCCTAGTCTACGGAGTAGGTACATTGTACAAAGTGCTCGTACACGAGGTGTGTCTCCACCGCCTCCTGCCAGGTTGGCGTAAGCGTTGCCTGACCCAGCCGAGGACCAGGAATGAATGGAAGAGTAGGGTAGGGGGGACCCCATCTCGCTAAGCACAGTATAGGAAAGTGATAGACGGGGAAGTGGGCTGGACTGGATACTCGCACTGCCGTAATTGGAGATTAGATCCTAGCCTAGATTGTCCAAGGTAAAGTAAAAAAAAAGTGCGGTGACAGGCAAGGAAGAGTTTGTCTCGACTCTTCAACGCGCCATACGGGAGTGGCAAGGCCCGACAGAGTGGTACTGTACATGTATGTATTTTCAAACTTTGGACTTTGGGGGTGCAGCCCAATTGCCAATAAAACCGGGAAAGTGGGAATTTCTGATCAGATAAAAATTTTCGTTGGGAGTTATCTGATTGCGCCACGCTGGGACCCACCGTGGCTTTTTTTTTTCTTTTTCGTGTCGGGTCTCGTATGAACCTGTACAGTGTGCCCAGGTGGGTAGTTACAGAAAGTTCCGTCTAGTACTCAAGTACACTGTATTCATACTGCTTTAGTACTCGTACTTGCAAGGAAAGAAATTTGGTCTGGATGGTTCTCCCCCACCCAGGAGTACGAGTACTAGTAAGGGACACTCTGACGAATTCCCCCGATGCAGATTAATTAACATGTGAAGTGAAGTATTGTACATATCCCCGGACGGAGGGTGAGGATCACTTGAGTGCAGTTCTTGTAGATGAAGTGGTTCAACTATGTAATTCAAATCCAAACTCTCCAATTCCTTACCACTTTCCTTTAAGGGGACAGGGACAGGGACAGGGACAGGGACTCGACACTGATCAGCGCGCAGATCATCGCTTACGCTGGTCAACGACAGGCTCCTCTCGATGGGGGGGAGGTGGACTCGGCTAGGCAAAAGGTCAAAGGTCCGTTCTTCGCGCGGTTTCCGATGACTTTTTTTAATTGTGTGGTTGGTTGGTCTTGGCGGACGGAATATTCCTGTATGAAGGAATTGTAATTGTATTTCTATTCAGTATCCACTTGGTATACTAGTACAGTATACTCGTATGTGTATTAGAGCTCGAGCTATGGGGGTATTCGTATGAAGAAATCAAATCAATCCCCACTAGATCATACCATACTTCAATCTGTCCCTGTCAGCCTCAGTACTCCGTAGTAAGCTTATGTACGAGTACTAACTATGTAAGTGTCCAGCCCCGAGGCGTAAAGGGCTGAAACATTGATCTCGGCAGAGTTAACCTTTTTGAGTGTAAGGGTAGAGGGGTAGAATGAAAAAAAAAGAATTCTCTACAAAAGGTGTGGTGATTTTAAGTCAATTGAAAAATAGCCGTTCTCATTAAATTTCCAATTTCCAACAGTCTAGAAAACAAATGCCGCGCGTAGACTCTAATATAGCAATTGAAATTGAAAAAAGGGGGTATGTGAGAAGAAAACATTGAAAGTCAGTTGTGCGTAGCCGTAGCCCAGTTGTTTTTTTGTGAAAGAACCTGCACGTTCTGGCAAGGTTCCTTAGTAGCATCCCATTCCATCCCATCCGCCGTACCCCCACCCGAGGATTCGGATTCGTAAAATTGTAAAAAGCTCATCATCAGAAAAAAAAACAAATCGGATCACTCCAATTTATTTACAGCATAGCACGAACCCGGGTGTCCTGCACCACCGTACCAGTACCAGCAAGCTGATCTTCAAATACCGAATTAACAATCTCACCACCACGCACAGCAAGAATAGAAAGCAAGCTATCACTCAAACCATGAGTCTTCTCATTACATCCCTGCAACCAGATCCCCGCATCCTGGCTAACCTTGCTGGTATCCAAATTGACGCGGTAATCACGGCCAGGAGTCCAGACTGACTGTCCAGCGGGTCGTAGAGATCGCACCTGTTCCAGCAATTGCTCGTGTGCGTCGCGCTGGTAGCCCGTAGCAACCATGACAGCGTCGACTTCGAGTACTTCCTTGCCCTCGGCGCTTTCGTCTTCGACGCTCTTGACGTGGATGCGCATGCGTTGGGCCGGGTTGTGGTGCTCGATGCGAGCGACGCGGCGCTCGGGGAGAATGCGGTGCTGCCAC